ATCTACCTCTCATCCATCGATCAGGCTCCCGACGTTTCCAGACTCTTCGCTACCCCAAGCTTCGACTCAAAGTCTGTTACAAACCGACACGGCAATTGATCAGGAAATCTTATTCGGATCTTGTGCCCTCGGATTTCGCATATAAAGCTCGCCTTACCCGGTGGCGAATCCTCTGACGTCCCCCACCATAATGCTTATGTACCCACGTAAGGGTCTCATCACCGATCCATACAACCCAGAGGACATCATCATACAAGACGACCAGTACCCACCTGAGTTCTATTCGGAGTCGAACTGTCAACGCCTGCAATCGCCGTTCGAGTGCCACCCCAGTGTACAGCTTTCTCCGCCATCTTCCGCACCTTCCTCGCCTTCCTTCTCCTCTCCGACCTTCTCTATTCCTTACCCACAAACGTCGGAATCGCAGTCGTTTGGGGCTCCTTCGATGACCCCAGCTTCTTCTTACAACCCGTCGTTTGACATCCAGGGTTCCAATTCGCCTCACTATCTTCCTCAATACCCTCAACAATACTATACCCCCATGTTGGCGCAACAGCCTCTCGCCACCAACCAAGGGTGGGATAACAACCTGCAGTTGCTGAGTCCTGCGCGTATTCCTTACGCCGGTGTGCAGAAGCGCACTTCGCCTCCATCACCTGCCAACAACTTCCACCGTCGTTCCAACAGCTCAAACAAGCCGTTGCCCACGCCAGTGCAGACCCCGCTCCAGAACTCCTTCCTCGCGACACCCTTCCAGAACTTCGATCCTGCCTCTCAAGATGGTCACAACGCCGATGCCGAGTCTGCGATGAGAAAGGCCATCATGGACCAGCAGAAGCAGTCACCTTCCCAGCCGCTGCAGAGCGACTACTCTATGGCTCCATCGGTGTCAACCATGAGCCACAACTCCCCAGTGACCCCACAGACCAGCCTGGACGAGATTGACGATGCAGCTAAGATGAATGGTGAGAAGCAAATGATTGACCAGTGGATGGACCAGTACTTACAAGTCGACGCAGAATACACCTCTAACGGTATGCCAATGGGAGTGCCTAAGCTGGACAGGACCATCTCCGATATCTACCAGGACGAGCTCTACAACCCTTCCATCATGGCTGCTCCCCAGGTGTCCAAGCCAATGGGTCAGAACCAGCTCAACCCGCGCAACTTCATGGCCGATCGCCTCCAGGCTGCCAACCAGGGACACATGTCTGCTCGCTCTCAATCTCCTGCCAACAGACGGGATCGTTCGCCTTTCCGCCCTTCTTCTCCGTTCGCGGGTGATATGGGTAGCAACCTCCAGCAGCCTCAAATGACTACCAGTGTTCCCATGACACAGAATGTGATGCAGGGAATGAACGGATCTCAGCCCAATCCTACCGGAGATATCAAGACCATGTCCCCCAAGGACGCAGTTTTGGATTTCCAGGATGGCGACGACCCAGCTCTCCCAGCTCTGTTCCCCCCGGGCCTACCTCAGGGTGACTTCAACCTGGGTGATACGCTTGGTCTGCGACGCGACAGCGGCTCAATGCGACCGATGGAAGGTTTCCCTCAATACACAACCGCCATGTCGCAGCCTCAATTCGCATTCGCTCAGCCCCCAAGCCACCGCCCTTCGCAGACCAATCTCTTGCAGCAGACACCTGATTTCCCGTCTGTATCAGTGGAATCTAGCGAGACCTCGCCGCAAGCTCAGGTCAACCTGCCAATGGAGAGCATCCCCCGACCGGACAACACCACCTCCGATGCTGGCACATACACCTGCACCTACCACGGCTGCGCATTCCGCTTCGATTCTCCCTCTCGCCTGCAGCGCCACAAGCGCGAAGCCCACCGGCAAACTACACCGGGCGGCCACCTCATCAGCCGCGACACCACTCTACGCAATTCCCAGGCCGGCCCCCACCGGTGCGAGCGCATCAACCCATCTACGGGCAAAGCATGCAATTCGGTCTTCTCTCGACCCTACGATCTTACCCGGCATGAACATACGATCCACACAGCGGGCAAGCAAAAGGTCCGCTGTCACATCTGTAACGAGGACAAGACATTCAGCCGAAACGATGCTCTGACAAGGCGTAAGTTACACCCGTTGATCTATTACATTCTCAAACTAACTATAATTACAGACATGCGAGTGGTGCATCCCGAAATCGACTGGCCAGGCAAGCAGCGTAGGAGGAGAGATTGAGGGCGCCTTCTACGTCATGGTCCACCAGATCGGCATACCTAACGTCATATGGTGGACCCACTCAGCCCCACTTTGGGCCCCTGTAAAATCCGGGGCTCGTCATTATGACGATGTGTATTCTTTACATTCTTATGTGTACGATTTTACGAGTTTTGCATGCGTTTGCATTGGTGGTGTGGTTTATGTTTACGGTTTATGGAAACGGATATATGGTGTTGTTTGGTGTTGTATATGGTCTTTCCCTTTGTTTGTTCTGTTTCTTTTTTCGAGCGCAGTACAGTTGCTGGTTCTCTTGTACTATAGTACATTCCTCCAAAAAATTGTACATTAGCTGGACCTTGGGATTTATTGGAAATATAATAATTCAATTTCAAATTGGTGCTCCGTGGCGATCGGGATCGTCTGAAACACACAGCTACAGTAAAGTATCTCTCCCTCTCTTTGGAGTTCGCAGTATGTATGTTCATCCCTTGAATCACGGTTTCAATTTCTCGTACCTAGGTACTGTACTCAATCCATCCGTAATATCAGCCACAGCATGCCCTTGCTAGAGAGTAAGTTATCTGTATGTCACTACCCACCAACAGTAGTACAGTAGTACAGTACACAATGAAACCCAGATGTCATCAGTCATCGGGACAATAATCATAAGGGCCCAAGGATAATATCCAGTTCTGAATCTATACTAATCATGTTTGAACAGGTCATATATCCAGAGCAAACTGGATATTGAATCTATGAAACTTGTAGTTGTACCGTCTGCTGAAGGCTATGTACATGTATGATCCCATCATTGCGTAGGCACCCGGTCGCGGACCCTGGTTCGCATGAATCATGAACCATCGAGTGTGGAGAGTTTGATAAGATATGAGATAGCTTGGGTATTTGAACGGGGATCGTGACTTGTAATTATTTGGATTGAAAATTGGATCATATTGATTTCATTGTTCGATTTGGAAGTTCATTGGTTTTTGGTTAATGGTTTGGTGTGGTTTACTTGAGGGGTACGGCTGTTATACTCCAGTCCAATCATTGTTTTCTTAATGTCAACCCTAACCCTGACTCTTCCAAGCTGCGGAGTAGAGTAGCTGTAAAGATCGGGTGTTGGTATCCTTGTCCCCCGGTCTAGTATACAAGTGAATGTAAAATTAACTTAAACGTAAACGTCGATGATGTGATTTGATTATATTAACACCACACATTGACTTATGTCACAATCATTGTCATTGTGGTACTAACCTTGACATTGTTGTCATCATCATCCACGGAGCAACCTTGTAAACCAATAAATCAGATAATCCTGTGAGACACGAGGTACGTACCTATGTACATGTCCACGTACACATTTACGGAGTACTCCCCTCCCTACCCCTTACCCCTACGCCAAAACCAAAAATCAAAATTAAGTTACATGTAGCGGAAAGCGCACCCTATGTCAATCCCATGTCAATCCATGCTCATGTGGATCCCCAATACTGTACAGGCCCGCGTGGACGATTAGCCCCTGTCTAATTGGAAGAAGTGGCTTCAGATCCTGGCGCCATGGCTTCTCTCGCGTGGGTCTATTACACAGGTTACGGAGTACACAGGGTACGGAGAAGCTACTTGCACCCGCTATGGCGGGTTGTGGAGATGGTGGAGTAGGTTATTGTACTGTACGTACTGTAGTAGGATGGAGCAAACACCCGTGGATTGAAGTGGGTTTAGTGGGCTTTTGTGGGCTCTGTGGAGACAGTGGATTTAGTGGAGGTGTGGCTTGATACGAACTCGTCTGTCATCTCCGATTGCATTGTTGATCTCTGTGCCCGTATTTAAACAGAGTTTATTCCGTAAATGAAAGGGGTTGAAATGAAACGGTCGGTGGGTGGGGTTTTGTGGCTTTTGGGGGATGTGCTTAGTCGCCTGTCGTTATTTAACTTTACGCTTTATGTTTATGTTTATGTTTACATGAGGGTTTAGTGGTTTTTAGTTCGTGGTTTACATATGTGGCTTGGGAATGAGGGTGTTTGTTCTATTTTGGGGTTGGTGTTGTGCGTTTGTGGCTTGTGGTGAGTACTCCGTTCTGCGGGTAGTATAGGATAGGATAGCATCTACTGAGTTATATTTGTTCTATTGGGTTATTGGATAGAGGAGAGAATCGCAGTGAAGAGTACTCTAGTAGATTAAATTTCTGGCTTCGGCTCTAATCATAACATCCTAAGAGCAACGTTTCTATAGTAGAGAGCCAAGGTAGCCAACAGTAGCCTCGTAGGCCACATAGAAAACTGACGCATATCTGAGTAAAACAACCCAAAAGCTCAAGGATGAAAACGATAAGAGTAGCACATTCTCTGTCTTAATGGATAATGATTCTTAATGAAGAATGCTAGACAAATTGGAATACTCAATCTCAGAAACACCGAGTATAGATCGATGTTACTCAGCCGACAATAGTTCTCTTTGGTTCATTGCCGAATCCGTCCACGCAAAGCATAGCAAGTCGTCTTGCGACTTCGATAATATCTGCCCGACGTCTTGTACATGGAACATTTCCTTCACAATCTTTTTCTACGACTTGAAACCTCGATAGAACAGTACCCTTCGTTTTGTGCAAAACATGCGTTTTATCAAGCACAACTGCAAAGGGTTTGACCAGCATTTACCACGCCACAAATTGCTGTCAATCATAGCAAGCTCGGAAATTAAAGCACACAGACAATCTTCTGTACAAGTTGTGAAATAGTACATTTTGTGGCATACAATTCTGTCCTTGCCCCCAGTCTGATTCTTTTGAGTGTATAGCTCTAGAGATCCTTATCCCTTCAACATGTATGAGCCTAAGGAATTTGCCGGTGTTTTATTATGCACACTATAAGCTGAAGAGCTCTTTACCTCTTTCTTTTTGTCGATATAAAAACCACGGTCTAAATTTTATTGAGGCATTCAATTTGAGTGTAGGTAGATAAACAAAAAGCAAAAAGAAGCAAAAACATACAACAGTAAGGATTCGCTAGTGGTCACCCACCTAACTACTAACTTACCGGCGTGTGGATTAAGTACGGCTGAGCGGACGGGAAGCCCTGTTCTCCACACCCTATGGTCGTATGTACTGAATCCAACATGAAGGGGCGTTATATATTAGGTAGACTTACAAAGGCCTTTGATTAAGCCTCACTACTCTGTATGGTGTGTGGTTTATGTGCGGCCAGTATTCGGGTCGGTGTCACCCGGGTAGTTTATGGTGAGAGCCGCTTTATTTATTGAGCCGGAAGGAAATTATCAGTACAGTCCGCAGGTCTACACCAAGACCCCCATACAGCCTCAGAATTATGACACGCTTTTCGCGTATCTCTTTGGCATCACGGATCCTGGCCCATTCCTAGATATCTACACAACTACTCAGCCTAGCGCCTTCGCATGCGTCGAGCATCAACGCCGCGAGATTGTCCACCGCAAGAGACTACACGTGGCTTCTAATAAGCGTCCTAACTCTCGGGGTCCTGGGTCCTTGAACTAAGTGGTTCCTGCATCTTCTTGACCTCGGATAGCTATCTCGCTGGCCGGCATCGAGAGAAAGGGAACGAACTTGGAAATGCCCCTCTCACAATCAAATTTAGTTAAAAGTTCCCGATCAAGGTGCGAGAAGTCGAATTATAGTATCGTATTCCGAATATCTATAGGGATATAGCAGACTTTGTTGAATTCGGGAACGAGATGGTCTCTTAAGGCTATTGAGATAACGGCGAAGGCACTAGATAATCAAGCTGCTATTGATTAATAGGTATATAGTATATGGAGAAGTGTTAGATCCTATATAACGCTAGATAGAGAGTGGAAAATTAAGTACGATACCGACGTGCCGCCTCTAGAGAAGACGGCTTAGGATAGACTCCTAAGAAGTTAGGGACATTCTCGGGCAACAATCTACTATAAACCATGAATCCGAGGATCTATATCTTATATAGGGATTAGCTAGTAATAGAAAGACACTCAATATTACAAACTTTATAGGCTCTAAGGAGAGTGATCTTTAATATGTTATTTATATCCTATTCCTCGCGGACATCGTAGATAATCTCCGCCTTCTAGAGCGTACAGCCCACATTTTTACCATACATATAGTGGCCCAAATTAGTTTCACGAGGATAAGATTCGAGTTCCGAATCCTAGGCTTTAGCCTACCTTCCATTTTGTCATCCCCAACCCTAACAACCTCCTCGTGGGTGCTTTATATAGTCTAAAGAATGGTTCGAAGTAAGAACGACTCGTCCCTTTATAACCCAGCAACATCGGCATAGTCCCTAACTACACATGCAAACAATTTACAGTCATACCCGATAGACCAGCGTTCATAACGGAGCCAGGTATCCTATTTCCTTTAGAAAACATGGAATCTAAACCAGAGCTCGGCTCCTGTGGCTGCGAAACAAGTATTCGACGCAGCGCCGGTGTGCCCGAGGCTGCAATATCTTTGGCCTTTCACTAGAGCAGTACCAGGAGGGGTGAGAATCCTTACTTGTTCCTATATCTGTCACCTTTGTATCTAGAATTCTCACCTACGTATATCACCCACCCACGCTCATCCTAAGACAGAATTTCTCGCTGCTTTAGTCCCCAAGGCACCTGAGAATTGGGCGCGTAGGGGTTAAAAAAAAAAAAACATACAACAGTAAGGATTCGCTAGTGGTCACCCACCTAACTACTAACTTACCGGCGTGTGGCTTAAGTACGGCTGAGCGGACGGGAAGCCCTGTTCTCCACACCCTGTGGTCGTATGTACTTGCTATTGCATTAAAGGGGCCTAGATGCAGTAGTTTTCGAATTCAGTTTTACCTGCATACTCTTACGACTGGATTCCCTCGGTCCCAGACCGCTTTCTTAGAATAGACTTCGTACTTTACAATAGGACTGCTGAGACTGCAATGTCTGTATTTATACGAAACTAGGTATAGATCTGAGATGGAGTCAGGTCTAAGTAATAGATTTCTTTATTATATTCAAATTTCATGCGTGCAACTAGTTGAGTGCCCTAGTATGTGAGCTTCCCGCTATACATTAAGATAGAAACCCGACAAACTGGAAGAGCGAGGCATCCTCAATGCGCTCCACACGCTCTAGTTCGGCATAGCTACCCTTAATAGCATCAAAATGATAATAGAAAACACCATCATAGAAAACAAACATGCTGGGCAGTCCGCGCGGGACGAGAGTGATGCAGTCGCGCGGCTCAGACACAAAGCCAATAGTGTAGTTCCGCTCGCAGCGCGGGCACCGAGTGGACGCAGTATGCTGTCGACATTCTTCATCCAGATACTCAGCACACCCGGCAGGCATTATAACAGTCAGGAACATGCCGTCGTCGGAGACGATCCGTGTTTTCCCATCATGCACGGAGAGCTCGAAGGTCAATCCATCGCTGTATGGATTTCCACGGAAGACGAGCTTGTCTTCGGGTGAGTGTTCGGCATTGCCCATCCACAGGCCCCCGATGGGGTACATGAGGAATTGTTGGTCCGGCTGGTAGAGATCGATTCCATCGGCGGAGATGGGGTTGTCGGCGCTGATAACCGGGCTGGCGAGCGGTGAGATGGTTGGAGGGGTCTCGCCCCAGTCTGGCTCCGGGTCAATCTGCACCTTGAGTGCATTGTCAATGCTGTCTGTCCATTTCCCCTGTGAGGAAAGGTACTTTTGATTATGTTGTATGTAGAACACGTCGTCTGGATAGTCCGGGTGACTAGTGAGGTTGCCGATATAGGTGCGATTGCATATTATCTGTTCTTCGTCATCAGACAGATGGAATAAAGTTCCGCGACTGTGGCGGTCGCGGTGTAGCTCAAAGTCGCTGCCATTGTAATGAATGGCAATAAAATGGCCCGTGACTATGAAGCGGAACGGTCGTCTGAAATCCTCGTATTCCATGGTACCAATCCGACTTTGCACTTCCTATGACCAAAGTGTACTTTTCTTCTGAACAGCAAAGTCCCACTGGACACGCGGAAAGGGGGATGCAAGTGCGCGATCTTGTCAGATTGTCAGAACTACTAGGCAATTATACGTGACTTGCCATAACCATCACAGTTCTGCCTAAAATTGCGGGGCGGTGACCTGAAATGCGATAACCGCATTCCGATTTTATTTTTTGGGAAGTCGTAAGAGTAAGGTTAGACTTATATAATCTGTATTTCCTCCTCGTTAACTTATCTCACGGTTGCAAGATAAAAGAAAGCCATTCTGGTGTACGCGGCAATCTCAACACGTTACAGTACATAAGGTTCGTATATTCGTGCCTCGTTGATTTACTAAGGGGAGAGGCATAGAGAAGAGACTACATCGTATTCCTCTTCTTCTGCCCCTTATATCTTAGACTTTTCCATAATGGTATATCTATCTGTTCTATCCAGGAAGAGAAACAGGTCAAGTTGAGGTTGAGAGACATGGCACTATCCTAGCGCTGTTTGATATCGTGGATGGGGATCGGAAGGTGGCAGTTGTGCGCGAAAGTATAGAGCACAACAAGATTTTGCTGTTTATGAACTCGAGATGGCGCAGGCATCAATATGTTCTTGATATCACTGTAACTCCTAGTGCGGACTTGTCACTGTTAAGGCTTTCATACATGCGGCTATGTCTGTGTTTCTGTGAGCTAAGAGTAGATCAGGCTGCTGTTGTGATGATTTTATCAGATTGAGTGTATAGGGGGTTATAAGAGACACTGCGTTCCAGCGGGCAAGAATGTGTTAAGGGAAATTGGAAACTACAGGTCTGTTTTTAACGACCTCGTTTAGATGGCTTGGTAGCAACTCTGTGGTTGCGATCCCCATTTAACACTGTGAACGCGTTAGGCCAGGTAATGTGAGGTCCCATGATGAGGTCTTCTCGACTGTTATTGTAATAATGTTAATGATATCGGTAACATTTACTGGAAGACCGGTAAGTTAACCATGCAATATCACCTACTGTATCCCGTTATCCGATCTCCTTCGCGTGATTAATTCTCTTTGTCGCCCCCAAATACCTCGGTTGTATTCTTTGCCACCGGTTTGGTGTAGAGACCCTATACAGGGTGAATCGAAATCGTTTTCACCACCTCGCTCTCATATAATCTGTCTCGAACGCTATTCCGAAACACGTTAATCCAATTCAATTCTGACTTGGCTGGGTTTCAAGTATTGAATTGTAAAAGATTCTATAAATTTCTTGTAGTATAGCCCTGAATGCTGGTATCTCACAGCCTCCTATTACGTATTACGCACATCGGCGTAGATCCTTCCTATTGACACCAACTAGGGTACAAAGTATATACAACCATCCATATCAAAAGATTATGTGAGCGAGGAGCAGATGGGGATATGAAGAACATCGATGGCATAACTTACCAGGAAGTTCCAGAATGTGCGAAACGCTACCCCAACGATTGGCATGTAGAGCCTAAATTGGGATCGTTTTTTTTTTCCTTTTTTTGAGCTCAAGGATCAACCTACGATGTAGCGGACTGGCAACGAACGGCATTTCGAGCTGCACCTGGGTCTCCATCCTTGTTATGTCCAGTCTTGCTCCTCGACAGTATGGAGGTGACAAGCCAATGCCCTTGATCGCTTCCACTACAATACGGACCGAGACAGTCGCATCAGGGGTTAGGAGTAGAGTAACTGTAATAAGCATAGCGTGTTTCGAAAGAGAGGTTGAGAAAGAATCTCTATGTGTAAGTGGTGAACCTGATTCCAATCCATCCTGTATCGCATTAGTCGCGTTAGATGATGCTAATGAGAAACAAAACGTGCTCTATAACCTTAACAGATGGTACCAAAATACCACTGAATTGGGCGGCTGGCCTAATGGTAAGGCGTTTGTTTTCGGTCCTGTTCACAAAAAATTGCAGGTTCGATCCCTGCGTCGCTCATTCGTTTCTTTTTTGCTTTTTTTTTTCTTTTTATTCCCCCATTACTTCTATCTATTTTTCCTTTCCTATTATATTCTTACAATTGCCTATGAAGGATGTTTGATCACTATCCTCAACGTCTTGGGCCTACAATCAAGTATAAAAAGGTAGAGATCTTTCGCGGGTGTGTGATAGGATATATATACATGTTGAATCATCGAATAATTAGGTATACGTACACCTCATCTCAATAATAGGAAAAATTAGCAGACAAAGTAATTGACTCAGATTCAACTCCATAACCTTGCAATCGCTAAATGCAGACAAGAGAACAACAAAGAAACCAAATACCAAAATGCAACCTCTGAATCCGAATCTGAATCAGAATCAGATCATATATCTGCCGAGGCACTAGTCCTCCTTCCCCTTCTAGCATAAGCCAACTCCTGCTCCTGGCGCCACGAACACTCATCCCGGAATTCACAAATCCGACACTTCCACGCATCCATAACCTCCACACCGCGGGGATCGCGCTCACCACGCCACCAGGTCATCTGGTCGGATAGGTAGGAGGTCATGGTCGTAGGATCGTAGAGGAATGATCGACTTCCCAGGTGGCGGGATTGAGACTCATCCTCAGCGGCGGAAGAGAGGTACCGGGCCGTGAGGACCGGGGAGAGGAGGGTTTGATACTCCTCGAGAATTTCTGGTTGGGAGGTTGATGGTATGGATGGTGCGATGGATGTAGAGGTTGCTTCTGGGAGGAACGTGAGGCGAAGTTGGTCTTTCATGAAAGCCCATAGACGGGAGAGGGTATTGTGTGTCATGAGGATGCTGGTTGAGTCTTGGCTGGCGGGAGGGCTTGACGCTGGGTTCTTTGCGTCTGGTGTGGGACTCGCTTCGCATTCCTCGGAAGAAAGTGCATCGAAGAATTCATCGTTCAGTCCGCCGACTTCCGAGACGAATGCATTCGTGAATGAACTTTCCGGATTGAAGTTATACCGAGCAGCGAGGACGTCGATCGTCACATCGTCGCTTGTAATGAGACGGTTGAGCATGTGATAATAGAGCTGCAACTGGAGAAGAGTAGGCCGAAATCCGGTACTCTTAACAGTCGGTATAGACCGACTGGCCTTGGTCTTGACATCCGTCATGTAGACCCGGGGGAGACCATAAACCTCCGCAGGCAATTTCAGCTCCAGCTCCTCTGGAACAGCCACCTCCTCACCACCACCCTGACCCCATTCAGGAAGGCTCCTCCCGCCCTGCGCAGAAGAAAGCAAAAAGTCCGACAAAGACATCTGATACTCAGGCAACGCAGCCCTCGAAGCGGCAAGATCAGCATAATACCCAGCAGCTGTCCCCTCAAGCCCAGGATCCGGACACTCATAAGACAATTGATCAATAACCCCATTAACAATTTCCCCATCAACAAGGCCCCAAACCTCCATCTCACGCGTAACACCATACTCACGCAGCATGCGCAAACCCTGGATAATATTCCAAATCCGAAGGCCCCACGCATCCTCCTTCGTCGTAATCTCCACTGGGACAGTCGTATAAATCTCATCCTCGAGAGTCTTATGCACAGAACTACCCCTCAGCATAGCAGGAGTGCGCTTCTTCCGTCCATGCTTGGTAAGAGTATACCAATACTGCAGCTCACACCAAGCAGGCGAAACAAGGTCCGTAACTGAAAACGCTTTATTGGGATGTCGGCGGAACCGTTCAACGGGCGATCGAGTGTCGAGTGCCGTAACGTCGGGATCTTGCTGCATCCATTCCTGCTCGCGTGCTGCGCTACGCTCACGCTCTATTGTTCTGCCTTCCGTTGAATTGGAGTGCTCGACTAATCGCTTCGGATAGATGTTGTCAGCTCAATTCGGGCCACGCACCACATGGGCAGAAAGGGAAAGTGAAAAAAGCATACCAAACGGGCTGGCCCTGTTGCTGTTGCCAGCGCGCGGACTTGCACTTGCACTTGTACTCGCCCTACTCGCCATCCTGCCAGACCCGCCCGCGCGACCTGATTGACCCTGTTGGCCCGACCGCCATGGTGAACGGGACGCTTCCCGGCCCAGCACCTTAGGTAGCCGTGTACCTGTACCCGGTTCCGCAAAGCCAGCGCCATCCTCGATATCGACAAGGAGGGCTTCAATTACCGTGGGATGGAGAGATTCGAGGTCTGGATCGGGGATCTCCGATCTTGTGGATGTTTGTTCCGGGGCGGTCGAGGTCGAGGTCGGGATTGGAGTCGGGATGGGAGTGGCGGGCTGGACGGTCGCGTGTTCCGCGACGGCTTTGAGGAGGTCGTCTAGTAATTCCTCTTCGTCTGTGTTGAAGTCGGAACCGTAGTTGGAATCTTGGTCAGTTCCGTACATGTCTGAAGTTCATGTTGAAGGTGATGTTGAAGATGAAGTAGAGTAGGATGCGTCATTGCATTAAGAATTCCGGAGTTGTGAGTGGCTGACATTACTAGCTATCCATGTAGCTAATTATTAACTTATATTCAACTTGACCGACAATAAGAAACAAAATCTATTGATCTAACATGGTATCAAATGCAACGCTAACTATAACCCAAATCTATAAATCTAAAATCTATACAAAACCCTCTCTCCTCTTCTCGACATCCAACATTCAAATTCAACATCACACAGTCCCAGCAATCAACGCACGCCCCAACCCAGCAACCTCCCTAACCCTCTCCTCCTCAGCAATCTCGGCAAGCAAGACCTCCTTAGCAGCCTTCTGATTCAACCAACTCAAATAAGTCTGCCACCCAACGGCAATAACACCCGAAAACACATTCCGGAATTGCGCTGGCACATACATAAAGCTAAACGCCGTAACAGCCGGCCAGAGCTTAACGCTGTTCGTAATACTAACCGGCAAAGCCTTCTTCAGCCGCTCGTATGTCTCCTCCATCGTCGCACCGCCGAGGACCGAGTGCACGCTGAAGAAGTAGGTGTTGAAAACGGGCGTGAAGCACACTTGCTGCACGATGACTTTTGTTAGGATTGAGAGGATTTTGCTGGGGTAGTTGAAATGGTTGCCGAGGAACATGAACCTGTTGATTTTAGTTCAATTCAATTCATACCACGTTCGTCATATTGGGAGGAGGGAGGCCTTACCAGTTATAAGAAGGAATACTCGACCCAGCCCCGACAACCAAATGCCGCATCGTTCTATATGGGTCATACCCAACAGTCCTAGGCCCGTCATCCCCATCTCCATCCCCATCCTCAGCTTGTGCGTGTGGCTGTGGCTGTGCCTGCGCATCACCTTTCTCAGGTAATATTTCAGCCGGGAAAAGCATCTGCGCACTCAAATCACCGCATAGGTAAATAACAATCGAACTCCAAAACTGCGTCGTGTACGGCCTCTCATTTTGCACGCGCGCATACCACCTCCCGACCTTCCCAATCGGACCCGCCTTGATCATTTCGCGGAAACCACGAGAGCGCGTTATGGAGTGTGTGGAGGGTGGTGTTGCTGCGCCTGCAGATGCGGCGAATGCATTTGATGGTTGCGGCGGGGAGGCATGGGTGTGTGAGTGTGAGTGTGTAGTCTTATGTGTGGTATTCGAACCCAGTTCCTCATTGACTGCCTTTTTATTTGTATTCGTGTTCTTCGACTGTGCAGAATCAGACTTGTAGCGCTCGCAGCGTGTTCGGCGCAAAGGGTGGAATCCGGGGGTTATCGGTCGCGGTCGGAGGCGGAGGGATCTTGGACCGAGGGATTTGGGAAGAGGTGTCATTTTGGGGGGTTTGGTCTATACATCTATTTGCAGAAGAGATACGTATAGGAAATAGGTAAAAAAAAAAAATAGAAAGAGTGGCAGGAGGTTGTAATACAGAAGTTCAAGATCTGATCTTGTGGCGGGAAAGCCGAGTGTCGGGTGAATGCAGTGCCGGGTGAGAACTCCGATGTGCTTATGTTATGTCTATGTTATTATTTTAGCTGTTTGTTAAATGTTGGATGTTGAAGATTGGATATTGAGTATCGTATTGTATTATTTTTTAAATTAATCAACGCCAGATCTATATAGATGCAAGACCATAAACACATAAGCGGCCATCCCCAGCGTGAGATCTCAAGATGACCAACCACATCGGGTATCAAAACAAAAGCAGATGCAGATGCAAAACAAGGGAGGCATTTTTGGGGGTAGGTAAGGGCAATAGAAACTAAGATTATAGCGACAAAGGCAAGCATAAATGACCAAGTCGAACAAAATGAGAAGAGGGGATGCACAGCAACCGCCTAGTTCTTGAAAGACTCACGAGTATTGACACGGTCAATATCGTAGGGATTACCCTCGTAAGTAACCGAGCGATGCAACGAGCCAGCAGTGCGAGTTGAAGCAACCGAGTGAGCATGACTGCGTATGCGCTGCGCAGAAGGAAGCTGACCAACACCATCCTCCGACTCACTGGACACAGAGCTATCAGGGACAGGTGCCTCAGTGCGGTCATATTCAACCTTCTCCTCCTCAGCAGGAGTAGTATCGGCTTGTTCCTGGACCTTGCGCATGAAGGCCTCGGACTGGGCGGCGAACTTGCAGCGAGTCCGGATTGCAGGGCCGTACTTGTAGAAGAGGAAGGGGAAAGGCACGCAGGCGAGAGCGAGGAAAGCTGGCACGGAGGATGCCCAGTGGATGCCGAGATTCTGATACATATAGGTGGTGAAGAGGGGGAAAACGGCACCGAAGAGGGAGCGTAGGACGGAGTTTGCGGCTAGGACGGAGGCGGCGAAGATAGTGTAGGCGTCGATAAGGTAGTTCATGATTCCTAGGAAGACGAGAACCATGCCGAAGCCGAAGGGGACGCCGGCGGCGATACTAGCCATAAAGTGGATTGAGGTGTAGTTTGTCCAGGCGAACCAGAAGAGACCAACCGGGATAGCGATAGCGGCGATTAAACATGGGGGGAGGCGGGCTTCGGGGGGTGCGAATCCGTTATGTTTGTCGGAGGTTTTGATATAGCGCTTGTTATCCCAGAGGGTGTAGACCACTGCGATTAACATGCCGACCATAATTCCAAGGAAGGCGAGACCGCTAACGCCTTGGTTCCAGCCCCGCGACTGTTGATAGACGATAGGGAAGGCTGCGAACATCATGTATAGGGTACCGTAGACGATAGCCATATATAGTGATAGGAGGAAGACGATAGGTTCGCGGAATAGCAAGATCCAAGGGCGAGAAAGCGAGATCTTAAAGGAGTTCTTAAGGGAGACCTTGCCCTGATCAATGTCGATCTTGCTGCGATAGATCTTTCCAGACAGCTTTGAGAGTCTCTCAGCACGGCGGCGCAAAAGAACAGGCGCATAGGTCTCGGGGATCAACAGAGAACCCATAATCCATACTGCTCCAGAGAATGCAGCCAAGAAACCAAGGACCCATCTGAATCCAGCGTTCATACCGAGGAACCCTCCAATAATCGGGCCCAAAACTGGGCCCAAGAAGGGAGCAGCTGCGAAGAGGGACATGGCGACACCACGCTGCCTAGCGGGGAACATGTCGGCAATGACACCACCGGCATTGGTCAAAGGCGAGGAACCAAATGAACCAGCAAAGAATCTCAGGATAATAAGAGTCCAGCTATTCTGAGCACCAGCAGCACCAGCGTTGAAAGCCGTAAGAGCAGCATAGGTGGTAACGAAAAGAATCTGGCGACCGTACAGCTCACTAAGCGGAGCCCAGAGCAAAGGACCAATCTATAAAAGAAAGCGTTAGAACCAAGTCCAAGACGAAAACCAAGCTGGAGCATTCACATACCGCAAAACCCAAAACGAAAAGCGAAACACCAAGAGTAGCCAGCTCTTTCCCTATACCGAAATCGATCATGATCTCCTGAATACCGCCAGTATAGGCGGACGAAACCAAAGCAACAGCCAGTGTAGCAATAGCTACGAGCATAGTAAACGACCACTTCTTGGCCTCGCTGAAGTTCATGGGATTGCGAGGATCATTGGGGATCCATGTTACGGCGAATGGGTCGTCGTCTGTTCCTGCGCCGGGGTATGGGTGGTCGATGACCTCTTGTGTGACGACACCTTGGTCAAAGACCAAGCGCCAGTATGGGATCTTAGTTGGTGCGGCGGTCTCGATCTTTTCGATCTGGGGTTCTGTGTCGGCTGCCATGGTGGCAGGTGGATGTCGAGTCGACTCTCGGGAGTGGTGTTTATTGACTTAAGGTGGGGAGGTGAGAGCTGTTTTTGTTGTAGACCCTGAGACCGTTTGCGGGGGTCTGGTGGGATAGTCCTAATTAGGTATTAGGTAGGTGGGATGGGAACCGATGTGGAAGAGTAGAGTATCAGATTGCAGGCTAGGTTTATTATATAGACTGGCCCTTTTGCAGGATTCCCTCCGTGGCGATTTTCTAAGCTAAAAAATCATCTTATGAATCTTGATGCAATTATGAACTTATGCAGAGTGGAGATGGAGGCCGAATGCGGTCTGTTATCTCCGGTGCAATTTGAGGAACTTATATTCTGTTGCAATATATCATTATATCATAGTCTAGTTGTATAGTGTAATCAATAATATAATTGCTAATTGCTTGCACTGGCAGACGCAACTGTAGATACAAGTATATGCCGTACACCATGCATCAGACTCTCCGATGCCACGTGTCCACGTGACTTATGAAACCATGCCAAGCTGCCACTCGGGTATGCGGCATCGCCGTGATTGGTCGGTGCCCTTACCTTTCCATGGTTTTAATCTTGAAAATCTTTAAACCTGCAATGTTCTCGCATATTCTGGCCTTATGCAACCTTGGGATCTCGCATTTTTGCACATCTTTGCACCATGGGCTGTCGGAGTACCTGACCGATACCCTACTCTACCGGTATCTCAGAATAAATCAAAGTTCTCGGGCCACCACATGGCCAGATAATCTCCGGTGCACGTCCATGCTCTGGCCCTTATGTCCGTTCCTCGAGCCCAAGCTTACCTACGGTACAGTGCTTTCTAATCATTGTCGGACCGGGGGCAAAGCTCCAACTCCGACTTTATGATGCACAAGGGCCTGATCTGCATAACTGACTCGCCGAAATCTGACTCATATCAGATTGACGCAACCTTGGGGTGCATAACATTATCGTGGCGTAGGGTTGTGCGTCACTACATCTGACATTAAGACATGCCCATTGGTAGCGAGCTACGTATATACATGCATTCTGACCGCCTCGTATACTCAACCTTGCATTCCCGAAAACATGACAACCCCGAATGCACGGCTTACAATCCCGACAATACAATCCCCGACAGTAGTACAATCCCCGAAAACACTACAAGTCCGCAAAGCAAACTAATAGCGAGAATACATGATCCAAAATCAAGTTTACAAACTCCAATACCACAATCAAGGTCATATCAGATACTGTACCTTGGAGAAACCGAGTTCAAGGTCACGCCACAAGGCCCATTAACCCAAAGTGGTTTCCCCGACCGGTGACGCCGCAGCCGGTGAGGCTTGCAGGCAGCAAAAGGAAACAGCGCTTCTAGCGTGTAAGCTAGAAGTTTCTATCGTATTGAAGTGGGTAGGTTTTGTGCCTTAGGCCGGTGGCTTTGTGGCCTTAGGCTGCATTTCTGTTGCTGTCATCTCTGGACCCACAGGTTGTGGTACTTGTAGGGGGGAATGATATTGGCTTGATCTTGATTCTCACGTCATAATATCATTTCAATCTGGGATGGCTTATTTATTGTGCTAATACATACCGTTATTTTGATTTTAAGCTGAATATAATCATCGAGACGAGGAAGATCACAAAAGCAAAAAGCGTGTTAAAGTCACTCGGTCCCACTTCAAGATTGTACTGTGCAGAGTATGGAGTAACGTCACTATGGAAATAGACGCCTCGATAATAAGGCGGCAATATCCCCCCAGATTCAACGTGTTCCATTCCACTATTGGTCAAACCTGGAACTGCAGTACACAAAGCAAAAGTCTAGAACTCCATACACATAAGTCATCGACTCGGAAGCTCATCTCACCCACTCAACCCATCCGTGCACCGCATCGCCACAGTGGAAGATGATCCCGGTTAAGTTACAATCAACCTACCGTAGACCCTACACAGTACATTATGTTACTAGTGATACTGTAACAAGTAACAAGTTTCCTTATGTCCAAGACCCTCTCGAGTTCTTTATTGGTAGTCATGAGACCTCAACCCAATCACATTCTCGGTCGTCGACTCTTCCAAGGCAACGAGATACATGCATTGAGTTAGCTATGACTCATACTGATATAGTCACCTGCCAAGCATCCATCCCACTGTACTCAATCTCAGCAGGAGGGCTGCCCATGTCTCCCGTGGGGATTAATTATGACGTTGTGAGCTCATTGTGACTCTTTCCTGTTTCCTGTTTGTCCTGCTGGAACTGGACTGGGGCCCCTGTCGGGTTTGTAGCCTGTTTGGCTGATATGTGGGTACTTGTGTGGCGGCTCGTTCTGCTCCTTGTGGGAATAATCGTGTATTGCTTGTACGTTCAGCCTTGGACCCTGGGTTTAGGTGGGATATCTAGCTGTAAGTGTAGAAGTTGTCTAGAGAATCGTTCAGGCTGCTGGAATGTTCCATTCCAAGGGCTGTTCGAGGTAGAATCACACCCTGTGGATGGTCACTCTACTGTTATTCAGCCAGATGATGGACGGGCATATCTTGAGAACCGACATCGCACGAGTACGAGCGAGATACTCGAATGGCTATATGTCTACTGTTGTCACAACGTATTCAGACAATTACTTGTACAAGTTCATTCAATGTGCAGGTTGAGCCCCGGCTACGTCGGATAATTCTCGAGGACCACGACGCCTGGGTCTTACTCTCGCTTCAGAGACGGGTATCAGACGTCTCTGTTTCTTTTCACCTTGTACATTTATTCCGTACTTGACTGTTCATCTTAATATTGCTACGCACAACACTCAAACCATATGCAGAGGGAGGTTGTGGTGTAATCATCCGAGGCGGGCATCGGTATCTCGAGACGTCGTTTGGCTACTGGGATAGACTAATTGGGGGTAGGATAGAGACAGATGGATCTTTGTATGAGGACTTGGTTACTTCGTTGTTCGAGATGGGAGGGGTCGCGGCTCAGTGTGTCACGAGGTTGTGGCTGATGGACTTAGTGGGACGTTGAAATAGTTGAAGGTAGGATGCGACCGTGAGCTGTCAGGGATCAGACCAGACTGAGGTCAAGTCATCGCGACCAAAAGCCACGCCAAGTGGGGTATCCCTCGCAGAGTCGTGTCAGGATAACAAGCTACGCGTTACAGAGAAGTTTGGAAAGAAGTGATTGGAAGAATCATAGATATCGCATTTCGCGTCTATGCCATGAGCTGATGCGCGCTAAGGCATCAAGTTAAGAGAGATCCCTTTTAATGTACATGCCCATGACCGATTCATTCCGGACAGTAGCATCGAATCCCAGGGAGAAAACAGCAAAATCAGAGAAACCCAGTTCCCGAACCCATTGATATTGGAAAGCAAACCCATCATGTATCGCCAGTCATGATAAAAGATAAAAACAAAACCCCATTATCGCCTTTAAAACCAGCTCGTATTAGAGATGAAGAGATTACGAGCGCTCGCCACGGAGACGGCGGGCCAGCTGGATGTCCTTGGACTGGATGGTGACACGCTTGGCGTGGATGGCGCAGAGGTTGGTGTCCTCGAAGAGGGAGACCAGGTAAGCCTCAACGGACTCCTGGAGAGCACCAATGGCGGAGGACTGGAAGCGGAGGTCGGACTTGAAGTCCTGGGCAATCTCACGGACCAGACGCTGGAAGGGGAGCTTGCGGATCAGGAGCTCAGTGGACTTCTGGTAGCGACGGATCTCACGGAGAGCGACGGTACCTGGGCAAATTAGCAGCTGAATGAGACGACGATGACAGCGATGGGAACTTACCGGGCTTGTAGCGGTGGGGCTTCTTGACACCTCCGGTGGAGGGGGCGGCCTTGCGGGCAGCCTTGGAAGCGAGCTGCTTACGGGGAGCCTTGCCACCAGTGGACTTACCTGTTTGGGTTGTCAGCATGATGTTCTCGGAAACGCGTCCACGCGTCGACACGTCTTCTCCTTTCTTCGTCTGATGAAGTCACATGACCAGATTGAAGAAAGTGAAAGAAAGTGATGATGTGGATAAGATGAGATGATGAAATACTCACGGGCAGTCTGCTTGGTACGAGCCATGATGATTTAATGGATAGTTTTGATGAAAAAACTGTTGTCGGAAGATGGATGAGGAAGGGAAGTGAGAAGTGGGTGGGGGAAGAGTATTTGTAGGAACGGGGGAGGGGGGAATGATCTGAGAGAACAGGCAGACGAATCAGATTGCTTGCCAGGCAGATCAGAATCACAGCACGGAAGAAAGACACCGCCAAAGTCTGATTTGCAATCGATGCTGATTGGTCAGTTGAATTGCCAGAGATGGTACACTAAGCGAGATTCTGGCCAATGAGAGCTCAGGATCACGGAGTATAGAATGCTTCATCCTGGAATTCCTGATCTCGAGCTCAAAGTGGGCTGGGGATTCAATTAATCGATTCTGAGCTATTCAGCATGCTTTGGAATGTATTTTCCCTTGTTTATTTCCCGTGATTAGCATTGTTGGTGGTGTACCGAAGAAGGATCAGAGATTACTTGGGCCAAAGTTGGAGTTGCCGAATTGAGAGGATCCCGGTAGATCAGACCAGGCCCGGGATCCTCCACTCCCATTGGCTGATCTGATGACTAGCGCGTGATTTCCCAACGCGCCCTCCCTCTCGTCTGATACAAATATCCTCTGCCCCATACCCTTCTCTTCCCTCAATCTCGACAACTCCAACAACAACCTTTCCCCTTTTTACAAACTTTCTTAAATCACACAACATGTCTGGCCGTAAGTGATCCACTCTTCTCTTCTCTCAACGTGTTCTAACGCGTCTTCTATAGGTGGCAAAGGTGGCAAGGGTCTCGGAAAGGGTGGCGCCAAGCGTCACCGCAAGATCTTGCGTGACAACATCCAGGGTATCACCAAGCCCGCTATCCGCCGTCTCGCTCGCCGTGGTGGTGTCAAGCGTATCTCCGCCATGATCTACGAGGAGACCCGCGGTGTCCTCAAGACCTTCCTCGAGGGTGTCATCCGTGACGCCGTCACCTACACTGAGCACGCCAAGCGCAAGACCGTCACGTCTCTTGATGTTGTCTACGCTCTCAAGCGCCAGGGCCGTAAGTTCTTCTGTCTGTTCTCTGTCTTGACCTCGTGCTAACATCCCTTTCTCAGGTACCCTCTACGGTTTCGGTGGCTAAATCATTTGTGCTTTTCTTTTCCGGGCTGGTTCTACGGTATGACGGGACGTTGGGGTGTTCTCTGATTTATTTTACTACAATCGTCATGGGTCTCTGGGTTTGCTTTTTACACTCGATTACCACTATTGCGCGTCCACTACGGTCTGCTAGTGTTCGCTTCTGAGCTTTTTTGTATCATAGCGGCCTTCTTCATTACGGCTGGCACCTCCATGGTGGGATCTTGCACTTTGTGCGATCCGATACGAATACAATCAAAACTTCAAACAATCATTCAATCATCGATTAATTCATATGTAGTCTGGTATTTCCTCTGTAATGGCGCGTTTGTGTTGTGTGTCTTGGTGGGGTGTTGAACTGCGCGTTCTTGATCTCGACGCGTTGTTTTGGTAGCCTCAGGCCATTGTCACCTCGCATGTCAGTTCTTGTAGTGGATATCGCCTTGTAATTCAGTTCCGTTCGTATTTGAGCCAGTGGTTCTTCTCGTGATTGTGTGTCATGTATGATTACCTGTTGCAATCTTGCCAGGTAGTTCTGGTACATGTAGTAGACTGACAGTCTATGGTGGCTTGGTGTACTGCTCTCAGGTGGTTGTTAAAATGGAGTGTTTTATCTTTAGCTTATGGACAGATATCTCCGGTCCCAATTTCCTAAAAATAAAGCCAAGGTGTAAGGTTGGGGTGGAAAGTGGTGGGTATATGCATTGTACTACCGGATGAGATATATATATGAAAGTATAGACATCCCGTAACCTGAAATCAACCACCCATAATGCTTATATGGAGCTACTATAGTGCCACACCGTCGGTAACCCGATACAATACCGCCCAAAGGAAAATTAATGTACATCGACAAGTAATTGTGGCGTGGTAGCCCAAAAAATGAAGTTGCTGTATAGTTCAAGTTGAACCCCCGTTTTGGGGGGGTTCAACTGGTCTTGGCACTGCGACCGAGGTACAAACAACCATCCCAACCAATACCACACGAGCATGCCACCGAGAAGACAAAGCGAGAAAAACAACTAAACACAAAAATCCCACGATGAATCTACAAGGAAACTGAGCAACAAAGCAGAAAAATGAAGCCGCAGAGATGACATAGGAGGTTTGATATGGCTACAACCCCAACAGCACAGCGTCTATCCATTATCCACGGACAGCCGCCGAGGCGATTCATCCACCAGACAAGGAAGATCGACCATCGCACACAAGCCTAAGACACAAAGACACACAAGTGGTGTCTGCCCACCACAGCAAACCGACAGTGAGAACCGGGAAGACCGAATCGACAGCCTCGACCACAAGAAGCAAACACGGCCAAAATACCGTCGTCAGTCGACCGACCCGGCACTCAAACTACCACGTCTCCTTCAATAACACGAAACCAAACCATGTCACCGTGAGGCCTACAAGAATACTCTACCATTCAGCCAGCCCCGGAAAGAAGCCCAGCAGACCTCACCAGTCGATCATTACGGATCACCCACGCATGGCACCCGAATACTAGCTATAAATTGCATCCAGCGGTCCATTCAAATCAACAGACGAACAGCAGAGACAATCGCCCACGAATTCAAAGCAAAAGTGGACTGTAGAGTTGATCGATGTCCTCATCCCACCCTCTGAGATGTGGGCCCCAGTACCTACCAGACCCAACAAGCGGGTGTTCATCGAAACAGAGCCATTAACCAAGACCAAAAGTATGGCCGAAACACAGTTATTGGGCCTACCGCTAGATGAGCCGATGCACACATATACTAGGTCGGCTGATCCCGTGCAATCCAACATCACTCCGAGACCTCTAGATACTAAGCAAAACGACAAGGTTATGGTATAATAGCATCACGCAAAAAGTAGCATGGCTCTACTGGTATAGTGATCAGACACCCACGAGATGATCCGCTCCGATGACCAAAGGTCTCGTCAGGGTAGCAGCTGAGAGCCTGCTATTCACCACTGATCCGAAACTATCGCAACCTCGGGCGTATAAAAGGTCCGCCATAATGCGGTGCTATTACCTCCTGGGCTGCACATATAGACTGGGAAGTAAGGGAGCATATTGGGTTATGATAGCAATTTGGTTCTTCCAATCTAATATCCATGCACTTCCATATGCTAAAAGTCGTTTCAAAATTCAGAAACACTCGCATCACACAGATCGTAAGAAATATACAGTACAGCAAGGGAATAAAACTCGAGAACCAAAAAAAAGAAGAGAAAAAAAAATGAGCGACGCAGGGATCGAACCTGCAATTTTTTGTGAACAGGACCGAAAACAAACGCCTTACCATTAGGCCAGCCGCCCATTAATTTAGAAAGTATCCACTATTATTGATATATAGGAAAAACAACATCTTCCTGATTAGGATGTATATGAAAGTAATTTTGCCCAGGAAAGCGAACGAACACAGGTTATTGGAAGGAAGACATGTGATATTAATTCCCAGAAACTAATTCAGAAAGGATAACTTCTCATCTCATCCTCCTTCTCAACCTTCAACCCCCCCTCAACCTGCTCGCTATGCTTCCGATCCAAAAACTCCAACAAAACCTCCTGATACTTCTCCTTCCCTTTGTACCGACTAACATCATCCCCCCAGCTCCTTACAGCATCAGCCAACCGCCCAGGAACAAAAGGCTCCTTAACAATCTCGGTAACAGGCTCGAAATAGGTCCGAATAGTAAAGACCACCGCCCCAGACTTCGGCAACCGTCTCAAACTCTGCCGCTCAGATCGGAAATAATGACATTCCACAGCGCGATTCTTCTCCGCCGTATTCCACGATACCGTCTCCGCATCTTCAGACCCAATACTATACGACCAAGCTAGATTATCGTCTACCTGAATGAAGTAGTTGTTTCGGATCACCGGGTCTTCGGGTTTAAGCCGGCGGAAGAAATTCATCATCCCCTTTTCGAGTTTGGATTCGTAGCCGGGGACAGAGCCTGATGTGTGGATTTCTGAAAGTCGCATGCCGAATTTGTCGGTTAACCGCCAGAATCCTGCGAGCAGTATTGCGCCGCCTAGCAGGTAGTATTCGCCGTCTGGGCGCTCGATCATTAGGGCTAGGTCATCTTGTACTAGGCGTGCTGCTGTTGCCATTGGGTCTTCCGGCAGGGGGCGTTGGGTTATGTTGAAAGTTTCGTTGGTTATTGTGTTTGTTATTCCTGTTGCCGTCTTTTGGAACATGGTTGGGTATCTTTCTGGTAGGTAGGCGCACCTGGTGGGTGGTTTAGATTAGATTGGGGCTCTTTTTGAAGGGGGTGGGGATGATGTAGGTTTGTTGGACTCACAGTTCTTCTAGGAGCTCGATTGCTCCGTCCATTGCTTCTGGGTCTGTGTGGCAGCATTTGCTTCCGCGTTCTTCGATGCGACGGGCTTTGTCGGCGTGGTATTTTAGATAGTGATTGTCGAGTTCTGTGTTCGTATGAGGTTAATGGGTTTCCTTGTTCTGGGGCGGGTGGATATTCACCGATCCATTCGTCCCATTTCATGCTCCTCAGACCCATTGTGATGAAGTATTTTCTATGATACCTGGTTAGAGACATCCAGGAATGAAGACCTTGGGCTATTCGACTTACGGGCCATATCGAAATGGTCGATAGGGGATTGGTTTAGTTGTGTGGACGTTCCAGTCTGGATAAGGGGCTGCCGTTGGCCTTTTGAAATCCGACGGTGTCCATTCTATACATGAATTAGTTGGGGTTTCTCTTGTGTGATGCGATTTACTTTACCACCCGGTGGCCTGGTGACCTTTCCGCGAACACCGCTAGCTGGTTTCTCTACATCAGGACTTGAAGCCCTGGCTGTCTTGCCAAATAGATCCGTCCATCTTTTTGAGACATAGACGACAAGGTAGGCGCAGAGGTTTAGCGCGAGAAAGACTCCGACGACATCTTTCGTCGGGGCATTTGATAAGATAGTTTCCCGTAGGGACTCAAGCGCCAACATATTTATGGCAATAATCTGGACCCAGGTGGAGATAAGAAGAAAACTGCAGCGTATTTTTAAGCCCACATAGTCAAATATAGTATAAAGTCATGGAAGAGACGTAGGTGAACAGAGTCTATTAGTATGTGGACACAAAGTGGGCCCTGATCACCCTTATCAATACTATGCACGTCAGATGGTCATCTCTTGCGAGCTGCCCTTCCTGTTAATTCGATGCGAGATAGACCTTTATCTCTCTGGTATGTGGCTTGGAGCAAGGGTTGACCTCATATGGCGGGGAAGAGGGGGGAAGTCTTCTCCACCTCGTCTCTTTTGAGCCGTTGGATCCGGGGCTGCGTATGGGAGTAGAGCGAATTGTACAAGAGAGGCCTTGTGTAAGGAAAGTTTACCGGTGTTGAGCTTATCATTCGCGGTTACCTTAGGGATATTTTGTCCCGATTGGGTAAGGTGGCTTTTGCACTTGATAGCCATTCCCTCAGTGTAGATTCAAGACATTCTATGTAGTCGCTTTTACATATAACCTCTGTATAAAAGGTTATAAAATGCCCACCTAGCCGGTCTATACGTTGCTTGTGCTGCGCTGGAGAAGACAGTACTGGCCCCATTTGCGTCGGAAGCGATCTGGGATGACAGGGAAATCAGGGATCCAGATCAATCGACCCAGGAGACCAGTCTCGGATGCATCAAGGAAGCTTGCGCATGACAGAGTTTTCCAGTTCTCCTTGTCCAGGAGATAGTTGGGTTCCAGCTCGGTCGCGGCGTGACCAGGGAAGTAGGAGTCGACCAGGAAAGAACATTGAGAGATATCAACCTGGATTAAGTCAGTCAGAAACTTCAATATTATAGTAAGCATCGCACGACATACGTATTTGCTGGGATCCTCAATATTGAGATCATTCATGCCAGATGGGATCTGCGAGGCGCCATCCAGACGAGCGAGGTAGCTCGGCGCATTCGGGAACTCACCCGGAAGTAGTCCCCGGAACTCACTTCGGATGAATTTGGCACGCATTTCGTGGGGAAGGAAGTACGACGATGGGAAGCGATACCATTCCTTGCCGAAACATACCGAGTCTCCCGTATGCGCAATATCAACCTGCTGGAGAGGTTCGAAGACCCTCAGTGGCGCACCATACGCTGTAACCATGCCCAGGGTACGCAGCATGCCGGCGTTTACAGCGACCAGAACAACAGACACAGCAGCGGCTAGCTTGAGTTTGGCCGGTACACGACCAATCAGCTCCTTCGGGTTAGTAGATCCAATCCAGGTCAGGATGAGATGGAATGAAAGAGCCGCGCTGAGTGCAAGGAATGGGTATGCAGGGTACATAAACCGCTCCTCCTTGTGAGGCTGGGCCGAGAAAATCCCGAACCACATGTAGAAAGGGGCGACCAGGGCCATGGAACGCAGCATTGTCTTCACAGAAGTTCCGTTCGCTCGGCAGACGGTCTGCAAGAGCAGAATTGGCGCGGATAGTATGGCAAACAAGAACCACACATTAAAGTTGAGCAGGAGATTCCGAATATAGAAGGTCCATGGCTCTGTGCCAAAAATGTCTGGCCCCTTGCCCTCGCCACCCAGGATATTGTATGCGACAATGTTCCATGGCACGAGAACGAGCTTCTGAAAGAAGGCATAGTCAACTGCTACCTCAAGAGTCTGTAACATATTAGCTGAGAATTTTCGAAACACAACCTCATAAGACTTACCAAAATTGATAGACAAAGCATAGCACCATCGGAGATGGACCAGAAGAGTGAGGCAAAAGACCTAGAAGCAATGGCGAGAACAACCTCCTCGATCAAAAGAGGAACAAGTAAAGCACCGGCGAATGGCCATCCAACAATCGCACCCAGACCAAACCACATAATCCCTTGTGCTGTCTTCCGTCCATTCTTCCAATCCAAGAAAGAAGCCAAGCCAAGCATGGACATATACATGGTAAAGGTAGATGGCAAAAAGGCAGTTGAAGCATGGAACATGCCCGGGCTGACTGTAACAATCATCACAAACAAGAGACCGATGCGGGGGCTCAGGGTGCGACAGATGGCCGAGTATAACCGAGTCTGACAGGCAGCGCATACAAATGCAAGAGTAAGGCGAATTGTGTAGAATTCAGCTGTCTTGCTATGCACCACCATGGAACCCAGTTTCCCTACCGCGGCATGTAATGACACATAGAGCCAGCTCCGGATAGAATAGGCTGGCGAGTATTCCCAGGTTTGGAGACCATATCCATGCTGTAAGTAGTGTGTAGGCTCCCAGAAGTTGAACACTTCATCACAATCTTGGATTGGGGAGAATAGTGCCGCAAGGCCATTGGCCACTAGGCATAGGTAGAGGGTGATGTTGAGTGGGATGTAGAATGGTGGTGGTGGGGGACTATCAAGATAATGTCAGTGGCAATCTTCATTCTATACAGGCACAGCATACCGCTGCTTCGTCTTGGGCGTATCAGCCCCTGTATTCGCCATGTTGTTGCGCAACTTGGCGTGAAGATGGAGAGCTGCGATAACCGATAAGGCTGGACTGACCGCCCTGGCAGATCCGGCAAAATAAAAAAAAGTTCCCGTCAGCTTTTTTCTTGATCTTCTGGTCATTCCATATTTTATTGTCTATTTCTAGTTTCTTTTCATTTGTTCCAAGATGAGTGACCACCATAATCCACCAACGGAGACAGCAAGTGTCAACGACGTCCCTACCTCGAAGACAGCTAGCATGGCCGATACGCCGCCTAGCGCGGGCACCCCAGACAACGGCAGCGATTTTTACAACACACCCTTGACAGGAGGAACACCGATTGTGAATGTCAGCAACATAGCTCCTGAGGGTCAGTTCAAACAAGAGGCCCCCGAATCAAAGCCGCAGCCGAGACTTCCCGGATTGAACCTCGCCGAAAACCCCCACCAGCAGGAATCTGGCACGATGCACACCAAAGAAGAGCCTACTGCCAACCGTGAAACCATGGAGGTTGAGCAGACAGATAACGATGTCAAAGAAGAGGAGCACCCAGAGTGGGAGGTCGACTCTTCCCCATACGAGTCATCTTCAGACAGCTCCGACTCCTCGGACTCCGACGATAGCGACGACGAAGATTATCCGATTCTGAGTGCCGAAGAACAGGCGCGCATTCTCATGCAGGCAGAGGCTGGCGAAGATGACGACGGAGACAAGGGCAAGGCTGGCGCGCATCTTCGGACCGCCAACGAGATTGAGCAAGAGGTTCTGCCAATTCCCGAAGTTGAGATTACACCCGAGACGAAGATCGTGTTCCTGGGCAAGATCCAGGCAGCTATCGACAATGCTGTCCTCATTGAAGCCAACACATCTGGAGAGTACCAAGTCCTTGAGTCGGGCTCCTTGCTCTGCTCCGCTGACCGTAAGGTTGTTGGTGTTGTGACGGAAACCCTAGGCAGAGTCGAGAATCCCATGTACACCGTCATGTACTCTACGGCATCCGAAGTCCAGGAGAGAGGCTTGATCAAGGGCATGGACATCTTCTATGTGGAGGGACATTCTACATTCGTTTTTACCCAGCCACTGAAGGGCATGAAGGGAAGTGACGCCTCGAACTTCCACGACGAGGAAGTAGGCGACGAAGAGATCGAATTCTCCGATGACGAAGCGGAGGCTGAATACAAACGGAAGATTAAGCAGAAGCGCCAAGAGCGCAAGGAAGCCCGGGACGGCCCTCGCGCAAAGAAGATTGCACCAGGGCCCTCGAAATTGAGCCACACCGAGCTCAACTACGATGACGCCGGGGGGGAGGATGGTTACACCCCTCTTGCACGCCCCACAAACCTCCACGAGATGATGGGTGCCCGTGAGGCCCCAGTCGAAGGCACCGAGCGCGGCGGTTTCCGCGGTGGACGTGGCCGTGGACGTGGTGACCGTGGCCGTGGAGCACGCGGCAGAGGCGGAGCCGGACGTGGAGGAAGGGAGTGGGAGGACCGTCATCCTCACCAGCAAGGCAGCTCAAACTACGAGTCTCAGCCTCAGCCCCAGCCTCAGCCTCAGCCTCAACCCCAAGCCCAGCCCACACCCTACGGCCAGCCCATGTACCAGCAACCTCAGCCTGCCTACGGGATGTCCCAGCCTTACACCGCATACGCACAGTACGCTCAGCAGCAAGCTCAGAACCCGCAATTCGCACAGCAGCAAATGCAGCCGCAATTCGGTCAAGGTGGAATACAGGCTCAATTCCCCTTCCAGTTCCCCTTCCAGCAGGGTTATCAGATGCCCGGTAACTTCCAGGGTGCTCATATTAACCCTGCTTTCCTGGCTGCTCTGCAACAACAGCAGCAGTTCCAGCAGCAACAGCAATTCCAACAGCCTCAGCCGCAGCAGCAGCAGCAATATCAACAGCCACAGGCTCAAAACCCGGCTATGAACTTTGACCAGGTTAAAGCCCAGCTGGATTTGCTGCGGAATCTCAGTAGCGGGAACCAGGGTCACCAGGGTCACCAGGGTCCTCCTCCTTCGTGATCTATTTGATTTGATTGTTTTTACGTGTTCTTCTGTGATATCCTGGCATCGGAACATTTGCATACGGAACGGGGTTATGTGGTTAAGGGTTTTTCTTTGTGTAAAAGTTGATCGTGGCTCTTTTCTAGTGATGTCTGGACATGTGATGGTGGGATTGCTAAGAGTACATATCTGAAGCACCATGTGCATGAATTGAATTGACAATAGCTAAGAACGAAGAGCAAGCTCGCTTTCTGTATACATACATAAAACTGGACCGGAGTAGGCATCTTATTAAAGGAAACAGGTCAACTAGAATTCGGCAGGCTTGGCACTCTTTGCCAATGTCCAGAAGTTTTCCATCTTGGCTCGAGATAGAGCATCTTTGGCTGCCGAGTCCGTTTCGCAGACTCGCGCACCGAACCACCTCTTGAATGACCGTGTCTTAGCCTGTCCTTCCCAAAGGAGAGTGCATGTGTTATCACTGAAATCCCTTGGCTGTCCCTTGTCATCCTCTGTCGATAGCCATGAAACTTGGGCTTCGGGGCTGTCTGCGGCAATACGGTCCGAGCCTGGGTTCTCGGTCCAGTCGATACGGTTCATCATCAGCTTCCGGTAATTGTTGACGGAGTGCTTTCCGCCCTCGACGATCACCAGGTTGAATTTCGGGTGCATAACACACATGCCGGTGAGATTATTTTGCTCTGCGTTTTTGCCAATCTTGAAGCGGTTTCTGCCGCTTGCGAGACTGTCAATTCGATAGACAGTTTGAAAGACGCCCAGGGAGACATCCTTCTCCTGCTTGGCCGCGAGTTTCTCGCGCCGTTGCTCTTTGGTCAGCTTACGCTCCTCGTTTGCGGCCTCATGATGCTCTTTTCGGTCTGCGATCTCTCTGGTCACACGGGCTTCAACGGCAGTGGGATCCTTGACGGCTTGTTCGCCTAGAACCCGCATGAGGTTTGATTTCTTGACCTTTGGAGCGGGAGCTGGCTCAAGACCCAATCTGATCTTGGCCTGCTGCTCCTTCAGGTCCGCCATACGCCGCTGTCGACGAATTTTGGCTTGTTCTTTCGGAGTAAGGAACATGGGCTTTTGGGCGGGCATATGCTTTTCTTGTGGGGGTTCAATAAGGATAGGATGTTGAACATAGCGGGTAATGATTGAGTCGGGAGTATCGACTTTGATATTCTGCTGATCGTCAATTGCAGAGTAGTCGCTGCCATTGACCAAGCCTTCGTCCCACCATTCCAGATCTGGGGGAGCAGGAACAAGGTATGACTTCTCCACATCCATTTCCTCATCAAGGCCAGCTTGTCGTGCTCGTGCTGCAATGCTTTTCTTCATTGCCTCCAACTGTGCTTGCCTGCGCAGGGCCGCTGCCTGCTGAATATATTTGCCCTTCTGGTTGAAAATAAGTTGGCGGGTTTGGCGTGGCTTGGCCACTGTTGCCTTAGGAGCAAGAGTAGGGTCGAAATAAGGGTTGTTCTTGATTTCCTCCACAGAGGGACCAGATAGGTCAAGCTGGGCCTTGTCATTGCGTTGATTTGTTGTCTTGGCCTGTCGTCCCTTTCCACTTCGGAATTCTGGTTTAGCGTCGGAGAGTAGTGCCGGGTGAAGTCCAACGTCCAGACCACCTCGAGCCCTGGAAATGCTATCATCATCGCGGACTGGAGGTTGGTAAGATGGAGTGGGCGCACTGGGTCGTTGTGGAGGGGCCGCGCTGGCTTTTGATGTAGCTGCCGCAACTCGAGCTTTCATTTGTTCCAATCTCGACATCGCAGCACTGGGCGCTGGCGGCGGCGGAGTAGGACTTGAGGAATCGGGTGTAGGTGCCGTTGGTGTCGCGCCACCGCGCGCAGCTTGTAGACGAGCGCGCACAGCTTCTGCCTTTGCCCTGGCCTCGGCGACCATCTTTTCAATATCAGCCTTCCCCTTCACAGGCGCTGCTTGTCCGGGTACCGGGGACCCATTATTGGAGCGGGTTCTTTTGGCGTTGTTGTCTTCATCCTGAGGATGAGGGCGCTTCAGCGCATTACCCGACGCGTCCGCCATAGTGTAGATAGGTCTCACTCGCTTCGGACTGGCGACTGAGCTACACAAGTGATCGAGCAAGTGGTGATAGATAAGAAAGAAGAGTGTCAGACAAGTGAGAGTAAGTTGTCCGCAGAAACCTCAAAAGGGTAAGGCGGTGGACCCGGGCAAAAAAAGTTGCTCCTCCGGAAAAAAAGTTCGCTCCAGAACTACACTTGGAGACTATTCCGAGCACTTTGATTTCGTGCGCCAGCGTTTTCTGTTGCTCCAGGAGCTGCAGGATACCATGGCAACTTTCGCGCGCCCGGTCGCCTCGACCATTAATGGGGTCGACTTCAATGTCTACTCCGAGCAAGAGATTAAAGCTCTCTCGGTGAAAAGAATTCACAATACCCCGACTTTGGATTCGTTTAATAACCCTGTCCCTGGTGGTCTTCAGGACCCTGCTATGGGCGCATGGGGAGACCATGTGTAAGCATTTGCCGTGTCTTGTGCTCAATTGACAATCTCTAACGAGAGATTTTTTCTCCATCTACAGATGTACCACATGTCGTCAGAACGCTTTTACCTGTACCGGACATCCCGGACACATTGAGCTTCCAGTCCCGCTCTATAATGTTACCTTCTTCGATCATATCTACCGCCTTCTCCGAGCACAATGTGTGTACTGTCTTCGCCTGCAGATGGGCCGCAGCCAGGTCAACATGTACACCTGCAAATTGCGCCTTCTGCAATACGGATTGATCGACGAGGTGTCTGTTGTTGATTCTATGGGATCCACTAAGGGTGCCAAAAAGGCATCAAAGAGCAAGGAGGAGGATTCTGACGACGAAGAAGACGATGATGTGGACTACATGCGCAAGAGAACAGAGTATGTTAGTCGGCGCATCCGGGAAGCCAAGGCAGAGGGCAAGCTGGATGGCTTGATGGCCGGTGGACAGAACCCCATTGCCGCGGAGGCCAGAAGAGAGTTGATCAAGACTTTCCTGAAGGATATCAACTCCTTTAACAAGTGTGCCAACTGCAGCGGGTATGTTATGCGAAACATAATGATCTTTGCTTGTACACCCGCTAACATTATGGCAGAATTTCGCCCTCGTACCGAAAGGACCGCTACAACAAAATCTTCCGAAAGCAACTACCCGAGAAGGCAAAGCTTGCAATGATGACTGGAGGATTCCAGGCACCAAACACCATGGTTCTTCTCGACCAAGAAAGGAAAAGCGAAGCCAAGCAAAACGGTACTCGGACAAACGGTGCTGAGGCCCATGGAGCCGAGGAAGAAATCCTTCGTGGTGCGGCTGTCATGCAAGCGACACAGAGCACCACAGGCCAGGAATTCATGTCTTCCTCCGAAGTTTACGGAGCTCTTCGTCTTCTTTTCACAAAGGACAGCGATGTCTTGCAGCTGGTTTACAACTCTCGGCCTGTGCCCAAGGGAGTCAAGGTTGTGTCGGCAGACATGTTCTTCATTAAAAACCTGATGGTACCGCCAAACAAGTACCGTCCCGCAGTTCAGCAGGGTGCTGGAACTGTCATGGAAGCCCAGCAGAACACCTCTTTCAATGCAATCTTGAAGGGGTGTGATACTATCAACCAGATCAGCAAAGAGATCCAGAATGAAGAAGAGAAGACTATGTCTCGGGCACGGAACTACAGTGATCTCCTCCAGGCTATTGTTCAGCTCCAAGATCAGGTCAACGGTCTGATTGACCGCGATCGTACCGCAGCAACTGGCGCAGCTGCCATGGCACAGCCTAATGGTATCAAGCAGATTTTGGAGAAGAAGGAAGGTCTCTTCCGAAAGAACATGATGGGTAAGCGTGTCAACTTTGCTGCTCGAAGTGTCATCTCGCCCGATCCCAACATCGAACCCAATGAGATTGGTGTGCCTCTTGTCTTCGCCAAGAAGTTGACTTTCCCCGAGCCCGTGACAAATCACAACTTCTGGGAATTGAAGGAGGCTGTCATCAACGGCCCTGACAAGTACCCCGGTGCTTCATCCATTGAGAACGAGAATGGACAGGTAATCAACCTCAAATTCAAGAACCTCGAGGAGCGGACAGCACTTGCCAATCAGCTGCTCGCCCCATCAAACTGGCGGATGAAGGGCTCGCGCAACAAGAAGGTCTACCGTCACCTCACCACCGGTGACTACGTCTTGATGAACCGTCAGCCCACCCTGCACAAGCCCTCTATCATGGGTCACAAGGCCCGTGTCCTTCCCAACGAGCGTGTCATTCGCATGCACTACGCCAACTGTAACACCTACAACGCTGATTTCGATGGTGACGAAATGAACATGCATTTCCCTCAGAACGAGCTTGCTCAAGCGGAAGCCAGGATGCTGGCGGATGCTGATCACCAGTATCTTGTTGCCACCTCAGGCAAACCGCTGAGAGGTTTAATTCAGGATCATATTTCCATGGGAACATGGCTCACTTGTCGTGACAGCTTCTACGACGAGGAGGATTACCACCAGCTGCTGTACAGCTGTTTGAGACCAGAGCACTCGCACATTGTCACCGACCGTATTCAACTGGTCGAGCCTGCTTTCCGGAAACCCAAGTGCATGTGGACCGGAAAACAGATCATCACCACAATCCTCAAGAATATCCAGCCCCCTGGGCGAGGAGGTCTGACCTTGAAGAGCAAGTCTTCGACTCCCAGTAACCGTTGGGGTACAAACAACGAGGAAGGAGATGTTCTCTTCCAGGACGGCGAATTCTTGTGCGGTATTCTTGATAAGAAACAGCTTGGTCCGACTGCTGGCGGTCTCATCGATGCTATCCATGAGGTCTACGGACACAGCATTGCTGGAAAGCTAATCGGTGTTCTTGGAAGACTGCTCACTCGCGTTCTGAACATGCGTGGCTTTACCTGTGGTATTGACGATCTTCGCTTGACCAAGGAAGGTGACCGTATCCGCAAGGAGAAATTGAGCACTGCCGCAGACATGGGTCGCGAGATTGCTCTCAAGTATGTCACACTCGACCAGGCCCCTGGAGATCAGACTGCCGAGTTGAATCGACGACTGGAGGAGGTCCTTCGTGATGATGATAAGCAAAGTGGTTTGGATAGCGTTTCCAACGCCCGCAGTGCACAGCTTTCCTCCGAAATCACCAAATCTTGTCTCCCTGAAGGTCTTGCGAAGCCTTTCCCTTGGAACCAGATGCAGTCTATGACAATCTCTGGAGCGAAGGGATCCGGTGTCAACGCCAACCTGATTTCCTGTAACCTGGGCCAACAGGTTTTGGAAGGTCGCCGTGTACCACTCATGATTAGTGGAAAAACCCTTCCATCTTTCAAGGCTTTTGAAACACACCCCATGGCTGGTGGTTACGTCTCTGGTCGTTTCTTGACTGGTATCAAGCCCCAGGAGTACTACTTCCACGCCATGGCTGGTCGTGAGGGTCTGATTGATACTGCCGTCAAGACTTCCAGATCTGGTTACTTGCAGCGTTGTTTGATTAAGGGCATGGAAGGCTTGAAGGCTGAGTACGACTCCTCTGTTCGCGAAACGTCCGATGGTTCCATTGTTCAGTTCTTGTACGGAGAGGATGGTCTCGACATCACCAAGCAGGTGCATCTCAACGATTTCGACTTCCTCGCCCAGAACCACGTCTCCATTTCTAAGCAAGTCTCAGCCGACGATTTCCATTCTTTGGCTAAGGAGAACGTGACTACCTGGCAGAAGGATGCCATGAAGGCGGTCCGCAAAACCGGAAAGGTTGATGCTATGGACCCCGTCTTGTCTCACTTCCCCCCTGGAGGAAACTTGGGCAGTACGTCTGAAGCATTCTCCCAGGAACTCAAGAAGGTATGGATTCGCTATTTCTGTGTCAAATTGTACATTTTTAACTAACTTGAACAGTACACGGATGCCAACAAGAACCAGCTCATCAAGGACAAGAAGAAGAACATTGAGGGCAAGGTCACGAAGAAGACCTTCGAAGCCTTGATGAATATGAAGTACATGAAGTCTGTCATTGACCCTGGTGAAGCTGTCGGTATTATGGCCGGTCAGTCTGTTGGCGAGCCATCTACTCAGATGACACTGAACACCTTCCATTTGGCTGGTCACTCGGCAAAGAACGTGACGCTGGGTATTCCCCGTCTTCGTGAAATTGTTATGACCGCAAGTGCTAATATTATGACGCCCACGATGACCCTGCTCTTGAACGAGGAAATCTCTAAGGAGGATTCCGAGAGATTCGCCAAGGCCATCAGCAAGCTCAGCATCGCTGAGATTGTTGACAAGGTGCAAGTCAAGGAGCGCATTGGCTCCGGTATTGGCCATACTAAGGCTAAGATTTACGACATTGACATCACTTTCTTCCCGTCTGAGGAATACACCGAGGAATACGCCATCCAGACCAAGGATGTCCAGATGGCTCTTTTGAACAAGTTCATTCCTCGCCTGGTCAGACTCACCAAGATGGAGCTCAAGAAGCGTAACGAGGAGAAGAAGGGTACCAAATCTTCGACTGCTCAGCCAGATATTGGTGTCTCTGTCGGCAGAATCGCCGAGGCACCAAGAGGAAGCGACGCCGAGGCCCAGCCAGCGGATGATGACGACGAAGATGATGAGGATGATGCCAAGCGGGCCTCCGGTGCTCAGAACAGGAGTAACCAGGTCTCATACGAAGCCCCTGACGATGGCGAGAGGGATATCATGAGACGCCAGGATAGCCCAGACGAGGAGGAGGACGACGAAGTTGAGACTAGCAAGCCCGCCAAGGCCACTCGCGACGTTGAGATGAAAGATGGTTCCTCATCTGATGATGACTCCGACTCTGACTCCGACTCTGAAACTGAAGAGAACAAGGCCCACGAGGACGACATCATTGGCAAGTTCGAGGAGATCACGAAGTTCAAGTTCGACCCTAAGAAGGGCAATACCTGCACTATCCAATTGCAGTACGATATCGAGACCCCCAAGCTTCTACTCCTTCCCCTGGTTGAGAAGGTTCTCCACCTTGCCGTCATTCAATCCATTCCCGGCATGGGCAACTGTGTCTTTGTTGAAGCCGATGTGAACAGCGGTGAACCTGCCAACGTCCTCACTGAGGGTGTCAACTTGCTCGCCATGCGCGACTACCAGGACATTATCAAGCCCCACTCGATGTACACCAACTCCATCCACGACATGCTCCACCTGTACGGTGTCGAGGCTGCTCGTGCCACCATCGTCCGCGAAATGGACGCCGTTTTCAAGGGTCACAGTATCTCCGTCGACAACCGTCACTTGAACTTGATTGGTGATGTGATGACGCAGTCTGGTGGCTTCAAGGCCTTCAGCCGTAACGGTTTGGTCAAGGATGCCTCGTCTCCTTTCATGCGCGCCAGTTTCGAGACCACTGTTGGTGCCTTGAAGGACGTTGTGCTCGAGAGAGGTGTCGATAACCTCAAGAGCCCTAGTAGCAGAATTGTTGTTGGTCGTGTCGGTACCGTTGGTACTGGTTCCTTCGATATTCTCGCTCCTGTAGCATAGTCACCTCTCTGACTGGACGGAGTTTGAAATGTGTATTGTGAGCTTGTCTTTCCTCATGTGTATATTGTGTTCTTGCAAAGCTTTTTGGTTTCAACGTTTTGTGTTTTTTTCTTTCTGTCGCTTCATCTTTGATGTGTCGATGATCTGGAGTTTGTCTTCTTGCAGCGGAACCAAAAAGTGTTTGTCCCTGTTCATATTAGCATCTTATTTAGTCCAACAAATAGATCTTTTCGAAGTCATTCACTTACAGATGTCTCTAAATTTGGAGGTGTAGACGCTTCTTTTTCATGGTTCCCGCCTTTTGTACCTCTTGAGGATCTTCTAATATCCTTGTTTCGTTGCTAAATGTGATAACAAAGCCTTAGATAGTCTAGACAGGTCGAGGAAGAGCCAAATGTACTGCTTCATTACTTAACTACTTACTACAGTTAGATACTCATTAGATTGATGTCATAAATTTTAGAATGGCTTCAATGTTTCAAGCTCGATTCCATCTGCCTGGCACTGTCTCCAAACACCGTCCATGCTAAATGACATCCCTGCCAAATGATAACGCCCCAGGGTCCATGCCCAAAGAAAGCACCACTATGTACGCCCGGTCCTAGAAAAAAAGAACACGATTATTTTATTGCGCATCCATCATCATGAGGTCTTCATCAATGTCATCATCGAACTCGTCCTCCACGATCCGAGATGCAGATGGAATGAGACCATCCATGTGTCCATTGTTAATTTCCTCCCTCATCATCCGCTCTTCCTCGGTTCTCCGCTTGGCCTCGTGGCGTTCGATATCAGCCAAGCCCCAAGTGGAAATACCTTCTTGGTCCTTCGATTTGAAAGGCTGGGCCATGGTCCGCAAGAAATTCTTAGCATTTGATACGGCCATATCTGTGCTGAGATTGGTTTCGCTATCCAGCATTGCCTGGTTGATCCACTTGGGGAGCTGGGGACGTTTCCGTTCGAATCGTCGATCTGCTAACACCATGACTCCGTAGTCATCCTTACCACGCAGGACACGACCTAGACACTGGGCGGCGTGTCGAATTGCGTCGAAAGACAAAAAGTCGTTCTCTCGGATGCGGTAGTTCTCACGCAAGAATTCGAGACGAGCTTTCAGAATTCGGGATTCGGTGTATTGGAAGGGAACGCCGATACACAATACTGCACGGCCATAGTGATGGTCGAAATCAATACCTTCGGAAACCTTGCCTCGAGCAACACAGAACAAGATCGCACCACGTCCGTTGCAGCACGCTGTTCGATAGGTCTCCAAAGCAAGCGAGGATTCCTGTGCATCAGGTGTTTCGACAAGAATCAATTTGTAGTTCCAGATCTGATCCAGAATGCCCATTCCTTGCCACATGCTGATGATGGATTCCATGTAGAGATAAGAGGGGAAGAAGACCACGACGCCGTCGGGTGTAATGCGAGCAAACTCGGTGACCAAAGTTCCATAGTTTCGCACAACACCAGGATCGTTACGGATTCCAAAGGAGGATGAGACTTGGGCTTGATCTGAACCTCGGGTGACGATCATAGGAAGGAATGATCGTCGCGCGAGTGTCATGCTGTATGACTCCTGCATGACGGCAGTGAAGCCAAGCATCTTTGGATACATTTCCAGGGGTGACAAAGTTCCCGAGGTAATAATCACGGAGCTGAACCGGTCGAATACCGGTTTGATAGCAATAGCGGCATCCAAACAGGTGAAGTGAAGTATCGGGTTCGGTACAGTAGCTGCTTCGGACTCGAAGGGTTCAAGGATGAGAACAAATCCTTTGTCGTACGTTGCGACGAGAGTTGCAAAGGTAGCCACCTCTTGCAGAGGTTGGTAATCCTCTATATTGACCAGTTCCAGCGTCCGTACAAGTGATGTCAGACGCTCAGCGCAGAATCTCAAGGGCTTCCGCTCAATGTATGTAAGGTCTTTCAAGTGAGTTAAAAATGAAGGGGGTGTTTCTGATATGGTATGGGTGACTTTCATTCGAGTCTTGAGATATTCGATGAACCTCTTCAAGAAAGAGACGAAATGTTCGGCACGACGAATGTTTCCGGGAACAGCTTCCTTCAGCAGATCATCAGGCAGGACCGGGTTCGAGATGAATTGGTCTTCCTCACGGGCTTGCTCTGCTTCCCGTAGTCCTTCCACCAATTTTGAATATTCATTCTTGAGCTTTTCCTCGTCTGTACTCTTCATTTCTTCAATTTTGCGTTCCAGATTGGTGGCACCTCGAGTTGCTTTTCGTAAAGAGTCTTCGCTCAAGTCTATACTAAGGGATTCGATGCAGACGTTGTCGATGTTATGCGCCTCATCAAAAACCACGATGCAATCTTTCGAAAGTTCTCGCGACACTCGTTCCGCAATTTTCGGGTCCAGGAGATAGTGGTATGAATAGATGATGATGTTACACCACGGCATCTAGTGAAGCTTGTCAAAATCAGAATGTCACACATGCTCTCGTCCATTCGCTTACCATACGCCGAGCAGAGAAGTAAGGGCACTGCTTGTGTTCTTCTCCATATCTTGATAGTCCGTCGAGGGTGAAGACGCCGGGGGGTACGAGGTTATGCGGTTCGAGTAGGTCGAGGTTCTGAGCCAGTTAGATCGTCCAATGTGTTATCAGAAGCAGCAGAGACTCACCTCGTGATAAACACAAAGGTCAACATCTTCTCCACGCTCTTTCTTCTCCTTGACGAATCCCGCGGTCAAGCTTCTGCACCGAGCATCAACCACTGTACCGCTCTTCTCTCGTTTCACTGAAGGGTGAAGACAAAGGTTCTTTCGGCTGGTTAGACCCAGCGCACGGAACTCCTCTTCATATCCCAGTTCCTTAGCGCGGTGTTCCATCAATGCCTTCAGCTCCGCCAGAGCTTTCTCAATCTCCGACATTGTTCGGGAGCAATAGATGAGCTTGCGGTGCTCCGGATAATGCTGTTGGTATGCGACGATCAACGACAGTAGTGAAACTGTCTTGCCGGTTCCTGAGGGCATCTCCAGCACACAGTGACCCCCTGCATCGAGGGTCTTCTTGAGATCGCACATGTAGGCATATTGTTCGGGGTAAATGCGAGGATAAGGAAACAGCACCGGAAGATCACTATCGGAGACAAGGAGAGTCAGCTTGAAGGCAGGGTAGGAGCAGGGATAAAAGCATACTCAATGAAGAACTTCATCTTGGCTGGGCTCCGATGCAGAGCGCAGAGCGAGAGACAAAAGAAGAGCGCGAGCTCTCATCTTTCGCGCACCGACGCTTTTCCTGTTTGGGACAGCGATGACACCAGCTCACGTGACTGCTATCATGTCCCGCGGATCTGTTGGAGATCGGGTGGACTTGCAGCTTCACACACGATCGAAGACGATTTCAGCGTTCAGATCACTTAGTTGATCCTATCATTCATTACTGCAGCCACTCGTCCTCGCTGGAGTCTCTCCAATCCCTCGATTTCGACCTCGTCCCCCACTACTTCCTTATCCCGCTGACCTCATACCCCACATGAGCAAAAAGTTCAAATCTCAGGCCTCTAGCAGTCGCGCTGCTGCTAGTGCCTTTGGGTCATTTGGAGGCTTCTCCGGTGGGCTCTCCAGTCAAGGAAGAGAGCCATCTGCTCTCACCTACATTGCAGCACCACCAGATCTTTCTCGTATTGCGGACCAACACCTGGTCATCGCATTCAAAAATTTGCTTAAAAAAGATGATATCACACGAACAAAAGCTTTGGAGGAGTTGAGGGATCATATTTCTAAAGTCGAGGGGAACAGTGGAACTCTGGACGACGGGTTCCTGGACGCCTGGGTATGTATAGACTGCTTCATCTTTATACAGTCGACTAATAAGACTCTCTTGATTCAGGTCAAAATTTACCCTCGGCTCTCAATTGATCTCTCCCGCAGAGTTCGACAAATTGCCCACCCGATCCAAGGTACAATTGCCGGCCTTGTGGGAAAGCGCATTGTGCCCAATCTACCAAAGGTCATCGGAGCATGGCTTGCCGGTATTTACGATAACGATCGACCGGTCCAACGAGCCGCCCTCGAATCATTTACCAGGGTCTTCTCGTCAGAAGAAAAGAGGAGCAATGTGTGGAAGATCTACCAAAGCTCCATCTTGGACTTCGTAGATGATGTCATTCTTCGCCAAACAGCCTTGACACTCAGTGATGAGAGGACAGTCAAGAGAGATGATGCTGAGGGAAAGTACGCTCGCGTTGTTGGGGCTGCAATTATGCTCTTCAACCGGGTACTGGGTACGTTAAATACTTTCACCTGAAATTTTACCACTAACGATAGACAGGAAACTCGGCTGATGAAGATCTGGAAAAGAACCTCTCAGAGATTGAGACTTTATTAGGAAGCAAGCCCCTTTGGGCTCTCTGTCACCACGATGACCCGTATGTTCGTCGATCTGTATACATTCTGCTTCGATCTGCAGTTTCTCGAGAGCCTGGATGGCTTGACTGGAAGATCCTCAGCTCATCCATCATTGGAAAGTCGTTGTCTCTCCAGCAGACTGGTTCGGGCTCCGAACTGTCGGAGTCTCTTCTTCTGTTGACATCGTCAAGGCCTCAGGTGTGGACTGATGATTATACCGGGAAATCATCTGCTTCGAAGAGATTGCTACAGTATATGCAGAAAGGATCCCAGGGTGGGCATGGTAACTACTGGTCAAATCTAGGTCAATTGCTTCGGATCATCCCTCAAGAGGTACTGGCAGGTGCCGACAAGGCAACTGCTGATGAAGGAATTACATCCACCAGCGCAATTGCCCTGACAGAGGCTTTGCAGGAAGGCCTTAACTCGAGAGAAGAGCCGCGCCAAAATCTGGCTGTCGGATGGAAATCTTACATCCAGATCGGAACGTGGCTTGCAACCCTGATCCCCGAAGATCAAAGATCCGAATTCATTGAAAGGAGACTTTCTCCCCTAGTGGTACACTATGTGCAAGTTAATCCAGAACTGTCACAGTGGTCTCTTCCTGCTCAATCAGCCGAAGGAACTTGCGTCAGTTATCTCTGCACCTTGGCTTCTACAAGACAGGAACAGGCATTACAATCATTGTGTGCAGCCCTTTCCGACGGTCTATTAGAAGCAGTGAAGTTATCATCGCCAGAACAATCAAAGGATTTCCGCGCTTCACAAGACTCAATATGCGCCCAGTCAATACGCCTATTGGCTCTACAATCTGCCGCTCTCTCCCGAATCGCAGAAACCGAAGTCGAACCTCAAGTCTTGGAGATCTTTGAAAAAGCAAGTTCATCTCTTCTCGAGGGTTGTCTGCAGGTTCTGCGCGCCCGCAATGGAAAGCCGTATGGAGCTGCAGCCGCTGTAGAGGAGTGTGTTCGCAGTATGCCATCTGTAGCCAAGAAGTCTCCATATCTTCTTCAGTTTGTTCAAAATGATATGCCGGAGCTTTTGGTCTCACCATCTGCAGACCGCTTGATTGCGATAATTCTGGCCTGTCGGGAATGGGATGGTTACGCGTCCAGTTTCGAGAACATTGTGGAACAGGCGCTGGCTCTGGAGCCAGAGCAATCAAACGTGCATGTGCTTCAAAGCTTGCTCTCTTCTCTCAACTTCAACGAGGTTGATCACAAAGAAAAGCTCAACTCGCTTGTCGTCCGGGCTCTTGATAAAGCTTGCCGAGGAAGCCATGCACATTGGCCTATCATCACCGCTGTTCTCCAGAACAAGTCATCACACGGCGAATTGATGGACCAAATCTTCTTGTCTCTGATTGATGCCTTGTCCTCAGACGACGGAATCTTTGATGCCTTGCATGGGCTTTCGCACATTGGAACAACTGCTCCGTCATCGGTCCGGGAGTTCCAAGCTGGACCTCACGGGTCAAAATTAGCGGGCAAGTTGCTCTTCCTTGCAGAATCCCCCGAGGAGGAAGTATCAAGCGTAGCGGATTCATTGCTGAAGTCCTTGAAGGCAACTGCTGTTGGCGATACGAGTGCCAAGTCAGGCGTCGAAATTCTTCAACATGGTTTCAGTAACGTGAACGAAGAATCATTATCGTGAGTGTCCCGATCTTAAAATTTACCAGAGTACGTACTAATTTGACTCAGGATCGAATCGCTTCTTGCTATAGCAGACGAGTTGCTGCCAGGTCTTACAGCCGAAGGTGCAACTGGCACAGTCAAAGATATTTTGCCCACTCGCCGCTCATGGGAGGAAGCTTTGAGTCCTTTCCTTCAGCTCCCGCCTCGCTCTTCTGTCGCTATCACGAGTCCTCTTGGAGGTATCGTTTATCTGGTTGGCCGGGAGCTTTCTGACTCTTTCAAGGCCTTGTGGCTTACAATTCCTCGTGACTCAGACCATTGCTCTTCTGCTTTCCGTCTGGCAACCTACACTATCAGTATCTTAACAAATTCCGAGGTAGTGAAGCACCTGGAACAGGAAGATCTGGAGACTTTGTTCCAGTTCCTACCCTTGGCTGTTCAACTAATTGATGATGATCTGAGTATTGAAAACTCCAATGGTATCTCAGGTCTCGAATTGGCCGATCAGCGTGAGGAATACATGGAGACCGTCTTCAATGGTCGAAAGGTTATTGGCGGCTGGGTTCGTGCGAACGAACCAGTTGCCTCCGTGCCGGATCTGACGGTTTCCTCCTTATTCACTAAGCTCTGGGAGACCAGGTTGGAAGAGCTCAAGGGCACATCGCCAACGGACTATCGGGTTGGCGAAACCTTTGTGAAAATCATGACCGCTGTTGATTCATCGAAATCGTCAGATGATGTTGCAAAGATTTGCAGAGAGGCTCGGACAGCAAATGCTATCCGTTCAGCATCCTGGTTTGCCGTGCTGCGAGGCCCTATCCTTTCAAACCCCATTGGAAATCGGATTTGCAATGAACTGGTCGCGGATTCTACAGGGCTCAAGCCCCAGGATGCTTCTCTGGATGGTAAGTTAACGGGAGCGAAACATGAGAAGACGTATACTAACCTCCTATAGGCCTGCGCAAGCTTGCACTCCTCAATATCCTCCTTTCTGGGGAAGAAGAGGTCATCTCCACCATTCCCACGCAGCGATTGGTTTTCTTGACCAAACACTTGATCGAGTGTCTCCGATCTGACTCGATGCCTCTTGGTCTGAAGGCTGAAATTATTAAAACGCTTTCTTTTGTTCTCCCGGCTCTGAGTGAAATTTACGGGTCTCACTGGGAAGAAAGCATGGATATTCTGAGCGCTGTGTTCCGGGAAACTAATGGAGGTGAAGATTCTTTGCCGCTGCTCGTATCATCATTCAGGCTGTTCTCGAAATTGAAGTCCATCTCAGAGGGTGACAGCAATGACGATGTCCAAGACGCTTGGTCAGACCGAAAGACCAATCTTTTCAATGATGTGGCGTCTACCATTGACAAATTTGGTAAGCATCCTAGGACGTCTCCATTTATTGGTATTTTCTAACCCTATAGACTCGTCTACCACATTCCACCAGCCTCGCGACGTTGCCGTTGAGTTATTGCGGCGCCTGATCACTACCATCCCGGTCGATAAACTAGAAGATGTCAGTGAGACCTTCCATCTTCTGACTGCACACAGCCGAGCAGTACAGAGGACTGCTTACACGATTCTCCATCGCTATATCCCCCATTGCCAGGAGCAAGTATCTTTCGATGTCGCCTTGTCAAAGACTGCTGTCAGTCTTCCTGATGAGCTGGTGTCTCTGTTGCTTGAGCCACCAACGATGCAAATGATATCTTCTGGCTATGGAGACGATAAAATGTGGACCACAATACGCTCATACCTCCTGGCCTGGCAGGTGGTGTTTGACCACTTCTCGAACGCAGTATGTATTGCATCTTTTTACAATAATCTCTGAACGTTGCTAACAACTTATAGTCGCTTCCTGTCCAGGAGTATTACACTGCTAACATCAAGGAGAACCACGTCCTCATTCCACTACTGGAGTTCACGTTCGATTTCCTTCAGAAGTCCCACGGAAAGATGATTGATGCGTCCAGACTTGACGTTCGGTCCTTCGAACCAGATCAATCAGATTCCGCCGAGAAGGAAACACAATGGCTCTTGGTCCATTTGTACTACCTGTGCCTGAGATATTCGGCCAACATGACCAAGAATTGGTGGATTGACACCAAGAAGCGTATCAAGGGCCCAGTAGAGTCATGGACAGAGAAATACGTAAGTTCGATTGACACTAGCCTACACATCGCGCGATCACAGCTAACAATATCTAGATCTCCCCTCTCGTCGTCGAAGATGCCCTCAAGGGCGTAACCGACTGGGTCGCAACCCAAGATCCAAATGAAGAGCGAGCGTTAGACGTGAAAATCTCAGCGAAGACAGGAGAAATCATCGCATCCATCCCCGTCGACGAAGAGTCCCCTCCAGTCGCCATCTCAATCTCCCTACCTTCCGCATACCCTCTCCAACCCGCACTGGTCGTCGGTCGCAGCCGCGTGCTCGTCGACGAGAAGAAGTGGAAGAGTTGGCTGCTGACAATCCAGGGTGTGATCATGTTCGCCAATGGAAATCTGGTCGACGGCCTGCTGGCCTTCCGACGGAACGTCCAGGGTGCCCTCAAGGGCCAGAGCGAATGTGCCATCTGTTACTCGGTTATCTCGACGGACATGCAAACGCCCAACAAGCGTTGTGCTACCTGCAAGAACACTTTCCATTCGGTTTGTTTGTTCCGCTGGTTCAAGAGCAGTAACCAGAGTACTTGTCCTCTGTGCCGGAATAACTTTGTTTATGTATAAAAAAGTGCTAGCGATAGAGGATGCATTACTGTCAGATTCTCGGACAGCTTCGATTGAGCATATAAATGTTGCACTATCCAGATATGCGATAGACCTGCCGGCTTCCGGATTTGGATATAGGACCCTCGCCTCCCATATATATATCTCACGGTCCACAGATACGTCCAAACATGGGCATACTCAGAAAGAGGAACGAAATAAAAAAGAAACGAGGCTCAGCATACTGAAAACAAGGAATTATATGTTATACTTGGCTGCTGTACCCAAATAAACGTAGAATATAAAAAGTGCAAGAAAATAAAAAATTCCGGTGGGCCGGAGTCGAACCGGCGACATTCAGATTACAATGGTCAATTACAGTCTGACGCCATAAACCAACTAGACGACCGCCGGATGGTTGTTGAAAGTCGCTCTCTTTTGTATTTCATAAGGGCATCACGTTGCACAGCTCATCCCTTGATACACTATAGCACGTGCCACATGTCATCCATGCGTAGCTAGCAGATTCACTTGCAGACGTAAAACATTGAATATCAAGTGATTTAACGTTACTATGAATATCAAAATGAATTAAGAAAAACACAACAAAGACGATGTACGTATCGGTTGGCAGTCGACATATACCAAACCCCACCATGCAAGTCCAAGCTCCAAGCTTCCTCCACCCCTCATGGCCGCATCCCACATTCCCAACCTGAACACACTGCGACGGGGCCGAGGTCGCGATCGAGGCACAGGTCGTGCAGATTCAACTGTGCCGTCTGGCAAAGACCGCGTTGTGCAAGGAACCGACAATGACGCCAGCGTGTCCCGCCTCAGCGCTGTCGAGCTAGGATACCTAGAAGATGCATATGCAACGGCGTTGACACCCCCGGGTTCCGCGACACGGCGGCTCCCAATCATCAACAGAGGTGAGGCGCCCCCAGCTATAAGCACAGAACGAATAACTGACCCGCATATCTTCACCGCGCAATAGGAACCTACGTTCGCACGACAGCTATCGACCAGCTCGTAGCTCGCTTTCTCGGTCCATACTCGCCAGAAGTGCGGACACCCAAGAAACAGATTATCTCGTTAGGTGCTGGCTCAGATACGCGGGTCTTCCGTCTTCTTTCATCACGACAAGTACCGGACTTTGTCTACCATGAGATTGACTTCGCGGTCAACACGGCTGCGAAGATTCACGCGATTTTCTCGGCGCCGATAATGCAGCGCGCGCTGGGAATTGACTCCGAGAAGAACACCAACAGCTCGGTGACAGTGGCGGAGGCCGGGGATGCGCTTCATTCGTCTGCCTATCATGTCCACCCTGTTGATCTGCGATCGCTGGCTGGTAGCAGTGATCCCGGCGCAATCCTCCCAGGCGTGGATACCAGTTTGCCGACTCTCTTGATATCAGAGTGCTGTCTTATATACCTGTCACCGACTGAGGCAGAGGAGGTAGTTTCCTTCTTTACGAAACGTCTCTTTGGCACAGAGGATCCACAAGCACAGTCACCGCTGGGATTAATCCTCTATGAACCTATTCGCCCGAATGATTCATTCGGTCAAGTCATGGTCTCAAATCTTGCGGCGCGCGGTATCCAGCTCCAGACGCTGCATCGATATGCGTCGCTCGAGGCGCAGCGGGGCCGGTTCCGAGAGCAGGGCTTTAGGAACGGTCAGGCAGCGGCTGATATTGAGTTTATCTGGAAGCAGTGGATTAGCGAAGAGGAGAAGGAGAGAGTTGCGGGCTTGGAGATGCTGGATGAGATGGAGGAGTGGCAGCTTCTTGCGAGGCATTATTGTATTGCCTGGGGCTGGAGGGATCGTGAGGATGTTGCGGCTTTTGCTGGGTGGAAGGATTTAGAGGCTCAGCAAGGCGAGTAGTCTCGATTTTCTTGTGAATATTTGATGATGATATGGCTCACATTTATAATGAAAGACTTTGATACACCCCCTAGACAATACAAATGAACAACCCGAGACTACCTCATTTCGAGTGTGACCTGCAAAGCAGGAATCTCAACACCAATAGCCCTCCCCTTGGAATCCGACTCAAATACAAACTCATCCAACCCCCTACCCTCATACCGCAACTTATCCAAGTTCAACCAAGACACACAAGTAGGAGTCCCAGCATCCGCCAACTCAGTCATATCCTGAAAAACAGCCTTAAACGCCATCCTCGACCCAGACCCAAACTTTTCAACCAGCTGCACAGGATACAACCTGATACTCAAATCAGCCGGAAGAGAAACACCCAGAATACCAGCCAAAGTACCCCTGAAATCAGTGCCATTACTGATAAACTCCCGGATATACAATCCAGGCAATTCATCAACCCCAACCACAATCGAAGAATTGAGCCCTGCACCAACACTAGCCCCCTTATACTCATAAACACCACCGAAATTACTCAAAGCCTGCTCAGCAGCAACACCCATCAAAGCCCCCAATACAACATCCCCTATAAGATCCGCGTGAGCATTCAGATCAGCTGATTTTCTAGTATCAGCCGATAAAATCGCAAACCCAACGCCAAAACTGGGCACGAGACCCAGGTAAGAGCTGTAAAGGCTTTCGCTGGGACTTTCGTTGCTGAGGACGGTGTAGATGTCTACCATTGATGTGTTGGGGTAGTTTCCTGCGCTGTAGATTATCCACGGGGCACCGAGGGAGTTTGCTGGGTTTGAGGTATGTGAAACTGGTTTTAGCCAGGTATTTGTCTGGGGGTTTGGGAGGAGGGTTGATGATAGGATTGCTTTTCCGGCTTTTGAGAGGTCTCTTGGGCTGCTGAAGAGAGATTTTGATCTTTTTTTTTTTTTTCAGTTTCGTTAGTATTCAGGTGGAGTGGGTGCATTGTTTGGACATACGCTTCGTTGCTGGTGTGGTGGGTTGACCAGCTACTGGCTTCTTTGCTTACTGGTATGATCCCTTTTGACGAATTACTGGGCGCGAAGATGGTGGTTTCCGTCATGTTGAGTGGCGTTAGAATTTGTTGCAGGAGGATCTCGCTGAATGGCTTTCCTGTTTGTCTTTCTACTATGTAGCCTAATTGTTGGAATGCCATGTTGGAATAGCTGGGTGTTACCCCTGCTTGGGCCACGGGTGTTTCGTCGGCTATGTATCGGATGAAGTCTACAGAATCAGTCAATATGCACAGATGTGGATTTGGATTCGGAATTCATACCGCTGCTATTACACGTGGTGTCATCACTACAGCAAGGCTTGTGAATGGCCTGATGCGGAGGAAATCCCAAATCTAGAGGGCTTGTGTGTATAGTTACATCACTCGGGCAATCTGCGTACGATCAATGAGTTACTATCGACAAAATCCTTCGATTAGCATTACTCACAGTCTCGAGCAATGCCTGACATATGACTAGCAAGTTGGCCAACAGTAACATCTTCCCATTGGACATACTCAATGGCATCTTGATCGTCTTGATCACCTGTACCATCAAGCAGTTCTGGGAGATACTTCGTAACAGGATCATTCAAGATCCGACCTCCATCTTCTGCAAGGAGAAGACTCCACACAGTGAATATCTCCGTAAGACCACCTATACGATAGATGCTATCGTGATCTGCAGTCTGAGACCCAACTGTTGGCTGGCTCAATGCATGTGATGTGTGGTGATATTGCCAGAGGAAAGGCTCGTCTTCGGCGTTCCAATTGTCGGACGAGAATAGGGTAATACTGAATGTTGTATTTGGCGAAATGTCCCCATGTGAGCCTGTTGTGGTATTGATTAAGGTATCAAACTCCTGGGTGAGCTTCGTTAGGGCTGCTGTGATCCTTTTGTCGGTTGTGTTTAGGGTAAATGGGGGGAATGCTGGGCCGAGGAGTGGACAGGGTGTGAAACAGAGTGCTGATGAGATGAACAACAAGAATGATACAACACGGATGATTGAGGTAGCCATTTTTGGTAATGGCAAGTTGGTTATGATTCAGATATTCTTTCTTTCGTCCATATATCGCTTTTATGTTCCACATCGGGTCGGGGATATACATGGTCTTGGCGCGCTGTATACGTCGGCTCGGCGATAACAGTGGGGACATTAATTGCAACTGAGAACTGTCAGATTAATTCTAGCACTGCCGCCTTTGATAAGCTATTTCTCATGTTGGTTTTTATGTTCTGCTAAATGTCCGGAACTCGATTGCAGACACGATTGTCCAAGCCAGCGGAGGTGAATGAGCCTGATAGAACATTTGATTCGCATTAACTTACTCCCAATCACCCATGCCCCCAAAAGAAGACGAAAAGAAATGACCCTGAAAACCCTGCCAATTATCCACAAAAGGAGAGAAAAAGTCCCCAAGAGGGACATCAAGATCTCCCATATCTTCTTCCATAGGGCCTTCGAACTGACACGCCTCAGGATTTGACCTGCTATTGAAATCCTCACAAACGTCACGACCCTCATCACTTAGAGTGCTTGCTTCGTCCTTGCCATTATTGACAAGCCAACTCTCAATCCGAAGTACCCGTCTTTTAAAATCAAAGAAAACATCTCGGGCACCCTTCACGTCTACATGTGGGGTAGATAGTGCCCCTACCCTCAACCGCACTTGTGATAGAATATGAAAAAGTGCAGCCTTCTGCTCCGGCTTGGAAGTGGTCACGGTATGCCGGTATGAGACTAGCGTAGCAAATGCCATCTGTACCCATTGTGTATTGTTAAACCCATATTCCTCACCCGGAGGGAAACCTATGTATTTAGTGAGAATCGCATTCGCTGAGATTTGTGCCGCAAGGTTTATTTCATCTCGCCAGGAGCAGAATGTCATAGATCTTGGTTGAGGGTGTTGGTTTGCGATGATTAGAGACACTTGATATAGGCTGAGTCCGGTTGCATGATATTGTGTAGCGAGCAGGGCTGTTAAGGTTAGTATCGTGCCTCCGGTATACATGGCTTGTTTCAACATACGACTCTCATTGAGATCAAAGGGAAGCTGATGATGGAACCACTCTAGTTCCGATTTTAGATTGGTGATATAGAGCTCTGACCCTGAGCCAGGGTGTTCCAATTCAATTCCATGCTTTGCAGCAAAAGAGTCGATCTTTTCTGCGATGAATTGCAGTCGAATAATATGACTGATGTATTTGTCATACTGGTACTCGTTTGCCCGGGAAAGAGAGTTGCAACACTCTTCCAGGTATGGGATATGTGCAAAAGTTGAATGTTTCTGCACAAGCACCGCAATTCTACAGAAAAAGCATTAGCCAAATCTCGAGAGACCAATAAGCCTAACTCACTCACGATGATGATAGATAATAGCAACCCAAAACAGCCCTCTGCCCATCACTCCCCCAACAAGGGCGATCTAACAATTGCTCATCCAAATTATACCTCAGCCCAAAGCGCAACCCTGTCTTCCACGTCCTGGTCTGTGGCGGACGGTCCAATCGCAGATCAACAACGAGACTAATAGCCAATTGGAGAAACTGAGTATAACGGTGTGGCCGCGAGTAATAATGCGACCTGTCATATAATGTCAGGCGCATCTCCCACACAAACCTTATACCCCTGATAGGTCAAGTGGAGACTCACCATGCGAGGAAGACCAGTAACCCTTGCAGCAATTCAAAAGAGACTTCACCATTTATTAGCATGCGCGACGCAACACATTTCTTAATCTCTTCCCCTAGCGCCCTTTGCAGTGGCATGTTATCGTACGCGGCTGATGCAAGGATTGCCAGGCTTAAAAATGGCTTTTCCTGGTGGAGTTGTGTGATAGATGTTGAAGGGGCCACCACGACGAATGGGAAGTGTGGGGTCATTTTGGTCTTGAATGTGTTCAGTAAGGTCTCAGCTGTCTCTATTGTTAGGAAGCCTCGTCTGATGATGTCTTCGGCTGGAATTTTCTCGTCTGTTACTATTGCGCCGAGCGTGCTTGAGTCCTGTTCAGTTTCTACTGATGGAGCAGAGCGGTCGGCCATCAATTCGGTTATCTTTGACTCGAGAGCCTCGATCTTTCTAAGTAGGCATAAACACGTAAATATGTGATGCTATCTCCGATTATGATATGAAAGCTGCTCACCGATCCTTTTGGAAGCCATTAAATCGACGACCTGTTTGACGATATAGACATTCTCGGCCCAAGCGGGCACATCTAGTATGGATACATAAGCCATAATAAATCTTTTCCAAGGATGGTATTTCTACGTCCTACCGGTTACATGCACCCGCTGTACTCGGATTGCGGACACATCGCACCTTGGAATCTGCGCAACTCTGACACGTTTTGGACACGGGAGGCATGGCTTTGAGCATCCACTTGGTGAGGCTGAGGCCGATCACAGAAGATCACAAAGATGGTCCTGTACAGTCCATACTTCGTTTGGGTTCAAAGCACGGAGCTAATGGTGCAACAATTAGAAAAATTAGGAATGGGACGGTGTCGGGCCGAGCGTCAGAGACAGGTGGAGGCGATCAGTTTTAACAAAGTGAAATGCTATAAGTTAGTGATGGTATCTTTTTGATATTCCAAAAACTCAGTGTTGGCGTTAGGCTGATAGCATTAGGCAGCGTAGATTCTTCCGCTTGGAACAATGTTCGTAGCCTTGTCCCGTTTTCCGCCCCCATGTTTTGTATTCAGTTGCCTGCTAAGCCCCCAGGCTCAGCTATGCTGATACTTAATTATTAGCGAAGAGGCAAGAAGGCCGTGGAAACTCGATAGATTGATAATCCTTGAGTCCTAGAGTTCCATTCTTCCTTTTTCGGTTAATGCTGTGAGATCATTTGTGCGGTCATCTTTACTTTAAAGTTGATTTTCAATGCATATTCACGTTCATACTAATGCAAAAATTTTCAAACGAGTTTCTGTCTTGTGTGCTTCATCTTCTAGATAATATATGAATTGAAACCTGACTCTTTTCTAGATGCGACACAAGAGAACATTGCCTATGGCTTCAAGCTCTGTAAAAAGCACCGAACATACTGTACAACAAACAGCATTATAATATAAAGTTAAACTATAGTTGAACTAACACCGGCCCTTGCATAGAGCTATATCCCTGCTTGCTTCATCATTGACAGAAGCGACCAGGTCACCCAATCCTCATGTATTCACCAGAACACATTCGATCACTCACAAGAAGTTCGACCAATGAAGACTGGGCAATCTAGTTCAGTGTGTATGCTGATCACCGGTACCACAAAATACAGTGTAAAATCCCTAGACTCCATGCTGCCTTCTCTAGACCAAGCCTGAAACAATCATATAGTAACCTCCGCATCAACATATCCGCAATTAGGAGATCATCTTCCGACGAGCGAATCTCTTGGCCACGTGATCCCGCGCCTGTCAGAGAAAGAAAGTCTCCGAGATCCCCCTAGGTGCAGTGTCATTGGCTGGGTTCAACGATTGGGATAGAATTCTATCATGATCAGCAGGTCCAGACCAGACCAATCTGGTGGATTTGATTGGGATTGACAGTTTCTCAGCTTAGCAGCTTCGTGCACAAATTTAGGGCTATTGCTTTCCCCGTAACACAGTTGCTCGATTCAGTTGGGTGGAGTCACTCCTTTTTGTTTGCTCTACCGGGAGTTGCCCGTGATTATGAATCTTATACTCCGTACAGTAATTTCTTTTGTTTATAGGGGTAAGTCACTGTGATACAACATTGTGTTCACAATTGCAACCAAGTTGCCAGGGCTGATGTGTCATGTGATTTTACACCATTTGTCAAGAACTCCCATCGTTTCTCTCCTCTCCTACTCCATATAACACCCGTTAAAAGAGTTCGCGAGATAACTCTCCATGGGGTCCTATTTCCCACAAGCTTATTGGCTTCTCTCTACTTGCCAAGCAGGAACCATCGGGGTATTATGCCCCATCATTGGCTGAAGTCGGGCGCTGCCCCTGACGCTAACTCCCTAGTAGCTTCATGTGGCTGCCCACTAGTGGGGTTTGCTCAGGGGCACAGCACTTTGGGGGTCCAAGGCCCCGCGCATGGTTCCTGTTCGGGTCAAGCAATTATGGGCAATTATGGGTTTAGTCCGCAAGTTCGCGAGCGCCATAGCCACTCAGGGTCTGTTCCGTCCAAAGTCAAGAGTTAGCACTCTGACTGTACCGGAACTGCGTGCGTATCATTCCAGATCTATCTCTCTTTCAGGCTAGCACCGTCACTCATGGTCTTGGTCGTCTGAGTAGCCGGCTGGGGTCCATTTCCAGGCTTGCACAGGCCGTGTCCCTTTTCTTGGTGTTCCTCCCCCATACACTTTCCTTTCCCTTGACCTTCATCTCTGCGAGCATTGTTGTCCCTTGGCCCGTCGGCCGTACTTTTTTGTCACTCGTTTGACTTAGCCATTCGCTTTATTCACTCTTTTATTTGACCGATTTCCAAATCCAGTCTTTCCCCTGACACAATGAAGTTCGAGATCACATCTTCCCGCGCCGCCGCGCTCGTCGCTCTCATTGCGAGTGCTGAAGCTGCCAAACATGGCCATGGCCACAGCCATCACCACTCTCGTGATGTTACCCTGGAAAAGAAGAGCGGAAAGTGCCAGTTCCCCACCGACGCCGGCCTGGTTGCTGTCAGCCCGAACGAGCAGAATGCCGGTTGGGCTATGAGCCCTGACCAGCCCTGCAAGCCTGGTAACTACTGCCCCTATGCCTGCCCTCCTGGTCAGGTTTCAATGCAGTGGGATCCTAAGGCTACTTCTTACTCCTATCCCCTGTCGATGGTACGTATTAATTCGTTGCCTCGGTAATGAAGTCATGGCTAACCGGTTGTAGAACGGTGGTCTGTACTGTGACGAGAACGGAGAGATCCAGAAGCCCTTCCCCGAGCGTGATTACTGTGAGGATGCTAAGGGCCCTGTGAAGGCTCATAACAAGGCTGGCAAGGCCGTGTCTTTCTGTCAGACCGTGCTGCCCGGAAACGAGGCTATGCTTATCCCGACCCTGGTTGACGAGCTCGAAGATCTGGCTGTTCCTGGCATGTCCTACTGGTGCTCTACTGCTGCCCATTACTACATCAACGCCCCTGGTGTCACTGCCGAGGAGGGATGTATCTGGGGTACTTCTGAGAACCCCGTCGGTAACTGGTCCCCGTACACCGCTGGTGCCAACACCGATGCCACAGGCAATACCTACTTGAAGATCGGCTGGAACCCCATCTACCTGGAGCCTACTACTCCCTTCCGCAACGTCAAGCCTGACTTTGGAATCGAGATTGAGTGCGAGGGTGGTGGTTGCAATGGCCTGCCCTGCAAGATCGACCCCGCTGTCAACTCCGTCAATGAGATGATCGGTACTCCATTCACTGGCGCTGGCGGTGCTACCGGCTGCGTTGTCACCGTCCCCAAGGGCGAGACCGCCCACATTGTCGTCTTCGAGAAGGAGGGTAGCGGCAGCACTGAGTCCGAGACCATCTCGGTTTCCACCAGCACCGCTACTCCCACTAGCACCAGCACTTCTACCCCGACTAGCACCAGCACTTCGACCGAGACACCTACCAGTACTCCTACTCCCACCTCCACCCCTACACCCACTCCCTCGTCGACTGAAACCCCAACCTCCACCCCCACCCCTAGCTCCACTTCGACCGCCAGTGATAGCTCCACATTGACCCCCATGTCCAGCGCTGCCTCCAGCACTGCCCTGTCCAAGTCGAGCCCCACTCTGAGCTACACCTACCAGCCCCACGTTCTCACTGGTTCTGCCGACATCTCCATGGCCTCCTCTACTACCGGTGCTGCTGCCGCATCCTCGTCCACCGGTACCAGCGGTGCCTCCAGCGCTGCCGTCTCCATTCTGACCCTGGCCTTTGGCGCTATCGCTGCCATGGCCGTGAACTTCTAAATCAGTCGAGACTGATTTAGCTGTATTCACTGTACATTACTGCAAATACGTGTACGAGGGTGTGTATTGAAAACACCCCAGGGCATCCATTCAGCACCATTTGCCCACTGCGGTGATCAACCTGATCACTACACCGGCATTTTGTTCATTTCTCATCACATTTTAATTTCTCTTCTACATAATCCCCCCTTTTACGGTTCTTCACATCCCTTGGATGCCCTTTCTTGACGACGCTCAACGTTGGCCTTTTTTACTTTCCGCTTCATGACTTATATATCCCTTGGCTCTCCAGCACTGTTATTCTCTTTCTACTTCTTTGGATATCCCTTTCTCTGCTTCTGGTATGCATTGGGGTTTTGCTTTCACATTGGATGGCCCATCCAGGCCAGGTTGTTGGATCTTGTTTGTTGATCATAAGTTTAAAAAAACACAAGTTCTTTTTGTTTTGTGAAACCTTGTGATGTATTTACTGCTAGGACTTCTCGGATTCCAAATCCTTGTAGATTATGCATCGCTCTTTCACTGAATACTCTCTCTTCTACTTAGGCCAGCATTCAGCTGCCTCTTAATTGAATAATCAATCGCATATTGTCCTTGGGATAGTTTATTGAAACAAAAAAGAAAAAAGAAAGCATTTACATATGACCGCGGACATAGTAATATACAAGTATAACGTTAATTCCCAGAGCTAGCTAACCAGCCAGCCATCTTGTATACAATTCATACAACCATAACACCCAAACCAATGCAACCATTCATCCAAAGTATTGCTCCATCTCTCCTTCTCAGCCAGACCCCAATCTACCAATTCAACTGATCAATCGGAATAATCATATCAGGCCTCCTAGCCTCGACAGCAAGCCCATTCAAATTGCGCTGCCGAGCCTCGCGCATGTATTTCCTTTGCTCGAAGGATACATCCTTGAATGTATTGTTATCATCTAGTCCGTGGTACATAGTCCACACGCTGAACCCGATGAGACCACCCACGATGCAGCCGACGATGATGAGGAAGACCCAGAGGGGGTATTTGGAGGGATCGCTGAGGGAACTTCGCTTTAGGAGGTTTGTGGTTATGTCCAGTGTGGTGGCTTTTGTGTTTTCCATTGTGGGTGGGATTGAAGGCATGTCGGTGGGTTGATGAGATAGATCTGTAGGGAGATAGCGTTGGGTTAGTCATTGCCTAGAGAGAACAGAAGAGAATGAGGGTGACTTGATCGAGACATACGCAGGGTAAAATAAGACTTTAGTGTCGAGGTCTCTTCTTCTCTTGGGTATAGTTCAGTGCGAAGTGGTAGCGAAGACAATTGGCTTGTAAAGACAGTGATGGTATACAACAGAATATAAAAGTGCGAACCCGATCCACTAAATAGACAACAGGGGAAGAAGCTACCCGCTAAATTCTTCTCATGCTATAACTACACCTACAGATAGTGAAACGCAACGGAAGTACTAAAATGAGCCATACAGTTGACTTTATTCCAGATTAGGCATGGCGGCACCAAGGATCTCACGTAGATGATGTCATAAACCGAGCAGGCCAATAAGGGTGCGCAATTAGCAGGTGGGTCGGCCGCTTAGGGTTGATCTAAATGTTCTAAATATACAGACGTGACTGCTAAGTCTCAATTTCTTTTTTTTTAACCACTCTTAGTCCCTAAATGCCAGATCTGGTGGGTTTATACACTGGTGTGTTATTGGTCTGCTCGGGTTCTTTTGTTCCTCATTGGACGTGTGATTTCCACTCTGGGTCTTGGACTCTTGTTAGTAGCACTAAATCTAGGATTGATCCGTGCCTGTCATCTCGTTTGCTTGGCTCTAGTTTTGCCTCATCTGACCTGGAGACTCCATGGTATTGATTTGCTGGTACTCGTCTCCATTGCACTGTGAGGACCCACTGCCCTCGCTGGAGACCTGTTGCTAGTATGAATGCCTCGGCCTACTGTAGGATCCGTACCCAGTTGCATGCTTTATTACATAATGCTCATTCATACTGCCGGAGTACGGGCTAATTCAGATTTACCACCAGTCAAAAGGGACATTGGGGTGGGGAGGCACAACCCGCAGGGTAGTCGGTATCTCCGAGCTGAAAGTGGCAGAGTCTGCGGATCTACCAACTCAAGTGTATAAATCAAGAACTCCTGTTTACATGAAATATTTGGTGTGGGTACAATTTTATGCGTAGAAATGTTCTTAAAGGTCCGAATCCTGCGGGCAATGGCATACATACACGAAGAAGTAACCCTTCAAATACGCGTGATAGACAACGTAAAAGGCTTGGATAGACATCTTCTAATGTGCGTGTCTTAATATTGATTGGCTAAGTATCACCCTCTCGAAGATGGGATTTTATGCAGATAGCCACTGATGGACGCAGGACTCCTACGGGGAGAGAGGGAGAAGAGGATGATGATTCTCTATGGAAGAGCAGCAAACTAGATGGCCTTATGGACTAGGGCAAGCAAACAAGGGTGGCCTGATCTCCGAGGCAATCATGCAATGCCAGGCACGCCAGCCCTAACAGGCAGTTCGTAGGGCATAGGGTAAGGAACAAACAAGCCAAATAGTTTAAATGGTTTAAGGTTTACGCAACGCGTCTTCAAACTACCAAGGACGCGCTTTTACGTCAGCGACTAGAATTCCTCCCTCCTAATAATTGGAAAACATCGCGAAATTAACACGTCGGTCCAAACAGGAAATCCGGGGTAGCAAACAAGACAAATACTTTAAGATCTAATCAATCAATCTTAACATCATCTCACGCGCCTTCATCCAGACTACTGGGCTCCTCCCTCCCAAAATTCTGAGACTACGTCATCCACCCCCAACCGGTAAGGTCGTTCAGCCCAGGTGTGATATCCTTTCCCTTCTCCAATTTCCCTACATAAATTCAACTTCACCAGGCAATATATAAGCTATCCACCTCTCTATCATGTTTAAAGCTCTTCTAAGAGCGTCTCAACGCACTTTTTACCATTGCAGCGAAAAATGAATCTGGTTTGGCTGGTGGATAGCTGATGGTAGTAACTTAACATTGACAGCACACAGGTCTGCCTAGAGACCTGCTAAGGGGCCATGAATTTCTCTTTCAGTTCATATCTGCTAATACTATAAAAGAGATCAAACTTGAGTATACAGTACTACTGGTTAAGTATTGGACACCTTCTACACAGAAGCCTCGAAGCGAGTATACCGTTTCATCCATTGTTTCGCCCTACTTTTATCACAATTTTACACATCTCTTTTGCTCATTTTCGAGTGCCTCGAGTTAATCATGTAAATTGGGGGTGTTAAAGGACTTTGGCCTATGACGGTAGTACTCTGAATTCGAAGATCTTGTCTTTTTCACTTGATGTAGAAATACGTAATATGGAGAAAGTAGTGATCATGCATATGCACGAGATGATTACGCCACCTTCTTTTTCTATTCTGGCATTGTCCTACAAACCAGTCATATGCTCTCAAAAGCGACGACGGGATTGATTGTAGTTCTCTATATACCCGAACCTTTCCGTTTCCGGAAGTTGACGGGAGTGGGGCCCCGACCTGCCACCATTCAGCATCGCAGTCTACCTGAATCTGAGTCTAATTGGACGCCCTTTTAGGAACTTGATGGGAGTGGAGATAGTATCTGGCATCGAGAAGAATATCAAAGCAAAGACACGAAGAAAACTTTTATTAACCTCTCAACACCACCGACAAAATGGCACCAACGCATGACAGCCACCCTTCCACCAAAGCATTACACGCAGACGATGCCTTGAATCTAGTGACTGACGTCGCACCTCCAATCCATCTATCCACAACCTTCAGGTATCCCAACGACCCAGATCAATTCATTCCCTCCGAAGATCCAGTGGTACGTATCAAGCCAAGAACAACTTAGCCAACCAACCGGTCAATCCCAAACTAACAACCACAACAGGACGAATTTAACGGCAAAAACTACGTCTATTCCCGTGAATTCGCCCCAAATGCGACCCGTTTCGAGGCAATTCTGTCATCCCTCTTAGGAGGCCAAGCAATAAGCTACTCAACAGGGCTAGCAGCCCTACACGCAGCCCTAACCCTCCTAAACCCACGCCGAATTTCCGTCGGCGACGGATACCACGGCAGCCATGAAGTAATCTCCGTGATATCGCGTCTATCAGGACTCCAGAAGCTACCTCTCAACTGCCCGGCCGAGAGTCTAGAAGCCGGCGACGTCATCCTCCTCGAGACGCCGGTTAACCCGCTCGGAACGGCGTTTAGTATTGAAGAGTATGCAAAGAAAGCGCATTCTCGTGGTGCGTTCCTCGTTGTTGATAGTACCTTTGCCCCGCCTGGCTTGCAAGATCCGTTCCTTTGGGGCGCGGATGTTGTGATGCATTCCGGCTCGAAGTATTTCGGCGGTCATAGTGATTTGCTTTGTGGGGTTCTTGCTGTGAAACGGGGTGATTGGGCGAAACGGTTGTTTGAGGATCGGATTGCGCTTGGGTCTGTTATGGGGAGTATGGAAAGTTGGCTTGGGACGAGGAGTTTGAGGACGTTGGATGTTCGTGTGCAGAGGGCGAGTGCGAATTCTGCGAGGTTGATTTCTTGGATGCACAGTGCTATGCTGGCCGAATCTCCTGCTGTTGGTAGTGAGGAGATGGTGGTCCAGTCCGTTGTGAAGACGATTTATCATGCTAGTTTGCAGGATGGGGAGTGGTTGGAGAGGCAGATGCCTAATGGGTTTGGGCCTGTATTTTCTGTTGTTTTGCACAAGGAGGAGTTTGCAAAGGTTTTGCCGACTAAGCTTTGCTTCTTTCATCATGCTACTAGTCTGGGTGGTGTTGAGTCTTTGATTGAGTGGCGGGCTTTGTCGGATTCGAAGGTTGATCGGAAATTATTGAGGGTTAGTGTTGGATTGGAGAACTGGGAGGACTTGAAGGAGGATTTGCTGCAGGCGTTCAAGTCGCTTTTGGCATGATTATGCTATCTTCGTGTTATATTAGAAGCCAGTCCCGACCCAAACGACCAATGTCAAAGATCCACCGCGACGATACCTCCAATTTGTCTTCCTGCTGCCACCAATCGCGCAAGATATTCGCCGCATTAACCACATTCAAACAACTGGTCGCTACCCAAAACTGCTCCAAACACCCAACAAGGAAATCCCTCTGTGCATGAGTGCGGCACTCCAGACCCGCAACAAAAATAGCCCATAGAATACACTTGAAGAGTGCCTCGTCTTCTTTCAACGCATCAATCAGACCAAGTAACTCCGATACCAAGTCATCTTGCAGGGTCACGTCCTCTGTGAGGGCATCCAGGACTCGTCTGCCATATACCAAAGCCCCGATCTTGTATGCCTGCGATAGGGAGCAGAGATTGCTTATTTCTTTTGCAGATGATTGCCTGGAGTGTTGAAGGCTCGAGGCCCAGGCGTAACAATCGAAGTTCTGGATGAGGGATAGCATGGCTGTTGTATCTTGGATATGTGTTTGGATGGCAGCTTGATCGAGCTTCGATCCCGCGATGGTGTCTCGTTCGCTCGAGAGGAATTGTATCGCTGTCAATAGGTATTCCGGACATCCAAGGAAGGATTTCTCAATAGCTTCTTGGGATGAAGATTCTTCCTGGTCGGCGAAAATGAATTCAGAAAGTAACTTAGGTCGTAGGAAGGTTGCTCCCAGAGTCTCGATCCTGTGTCCTGGTCAGTCACACCCCTTCAACCAGCTGGGAACATCAAGTATAAAAGATAACCCACAGGTGTATTTGCTTAGCAATAAATCCCCGGATCTCCCGAACCGTCTGACCAGGTCCATTATTGACACCAGCATCCCCCAAGAGCAACCGCTGAGAAGAAATCAAACTCTTAGCGCCCTCGAGATGGAAATTCCAGCCATCACTCCCAGACTCCAGAAGATCCAAAAAGATAAGCAGAAATATACTAGCAACAGTAGTATCCTTCTTGGATGAATTTGAATTTGCATTGCCCAAAGCCCGGGACAGAGCTTCCATAGCTTGATGCTTGAACAGCAGTGCGTCGCGATTGGCATTGATGAGGCCAGGAGATGTCGGCGCTTCAAGCTGATAAAACGACTGACCTGAGTTGGCGTGGTGCCGTGCCGCGAGAGCGAGAATGGCCTTTTGTAAGATTGGCTCTTTCATTCCGAAGGGGATCAGACTCCGGAGTGGGTTTTTGTCGCTGTCGTAGACGATGAATAGCTTGCATATGCGTTCGTTATCTGGGTTAGTATTAGTATACCTGAATTCCTCGGTGTTTTGTATGATATACTCACAGTAATCTATGTAATACTTCGAAACTTGATCTAAGTGCGATGTAGATGGGTCTTGTAAGGCAATAGGTAGGGTTCCGCCACTGGCTATGGATTTGACCAGCGCGCGAGGTTTCTTGGCTGGTGACCGTACGGGATCCACAGCAGAGGGTGAATCTCCTGTCTTGCCTTCATATGAACGGCCTTGCATCTTGCCACGGATTGCCACGCCTTTGACCCATCTAAATGGTCGTTTATCGAAGCATTCTAGTCCGGCTTTCTCGCACTTGGCGCATGGTGCGCCAGACTGGTCGCATTGGATGCGCCGGTTGCGACATGTCCAGCATGGGTCGCATATCTCCATCTGGATGTGACATGGGAGTGAAGGTGAAGTTGTATACGAGTTGCGGTTCGAGATAACGGGTTGCTGACTGAGCGGGCTGGTGGGGCAATTTATACTCCAAGTCCGCGCATTTGAGGCCAACGTCCTTTGTAAAACATATTGATCATTTCTTAGGTCATTTGGGAAAATAATAATACACACTTCAAGGACAAGCCGGGTAGTAAAAGCAAAAGAGGCTTTAATTGGTCATTCCAGTCAAGTGCATATGCAGACGCAAAATTCATGAAACAATCGAAATTAAATCCGAACAGAATGCACGGAATTGCTTGAAATAAGTCAAAGTCAACAAGATATAACGTTACTTGGCTGTGGTATAAAAGAGAGTGGGTATCCCCGACCTTGGAGACTCTCCTCTCCCCGCTTGACTTCTCTCTCCAACACACCACACCACCGTCAAGATGCCTCCTTCAGCGCAAACGGTAAGCTCTCCAGAGATCCTATATTTCATTATGTCTTGTGTCTGCCCTCCATACTCCCGATGACATCTCCAAACCTCGCTGCCTAAAGCTCCAGACTACCCCGCATCACCGCATCTTGTCCTCCTCGTCTCAACCCCAAACACAACCCGGAAACACAATTAACATGGAACAGACCAGATTAGTATCCACACTCCGTCTCCTAATTCCCCGCCTCCGCCTACTTCAAAAGAAAGACAACGCCTCGTCAGTCGTCCAGCGTCGCGAACTCTCCCAACTCCTCAGCGAAGGCCGCGAAGCCTCCGCGCGCATCCGCGTCGAAAATGTCATCGCAACTGACGTCGCCGTAGAGGTAATGGAAATGGTCGAACTATACTGCGAGCTCCTCCTAGCACGTGCGAATGTCCTCGACCAACTAGCCTTCGCAGACCAAGGCAACCGCGCCCGCATCCGCGCGAAGGAATTGCTCAAGAAGCGCACTCAGGCTCAGGCCGGCACCGCGCCGGTCACGGCTGGGAAGAGTGAGAGCTCTGGGTCGCGCTTTGGGTTTGGGTGGTTAGGCGGTGGTGCTCAGAAGAAGGAGGCCGAGCGGTCGGGTACGCCTGTTACGGCGGCTGGGGCTGCGGAGGACTCTGGGGATGCTCTTGCTCTTGAAGAAGAGAACCCTTATATGGATACTGCGCTTGATGAGGCTGCTGTTGTGATTTTCTACGCGTGGCATCGTTTCCCGCATGAGCTGCGTGAGCTTACTATGCTTCGCACTATGTTGGGTGAGCGGTATGGAAAGGAGTTTATGACACTGGCGCAGGATAATAAGGTCGATACTGTTAAGGTGCCTGACCGGCTGCTCAAGGGATTGCGTGTCCGCCCACCCGGACAGGAGCTTGTTGAGCTTTATCTTCGGGAGATTGCAAAGGCATATGGGGTGGAATGGGCTGGAGGGGAGGAAGAGATAAATACGCAGAAGCTTGGGGATGCGCCGCCGGAGTTTGTGGACGATATTCAGGGTGGTGGCGGTGACGGTGACGAAGCTGCATTACCGCAAATTCCCAGCAAGCAGGATGGCTCGAGTCCGAATCTTGAAACAAGACGTGCTTCTGAGGCCAGTGAATTGACCAAAGCTACGCCTCCGCGAGGAATTGCTGCGGGTCGGAGTCCTGTTAGTGTTGCGCCGCCGGCTCCCAGGACGGACAATCCCAATCCTCGAGTCAAGGTTCCCGGTACAGAAGGGAAAGATGAAGGGGTCTCTAAAGAAGGCAGTGGGGCTGCCGCCAAAGGGAAGAGTAACAACGGGATACCAGAGCTTGATGAATTGACTCGGAGATTTGCGGATTTGAAGCGCCGCCCTTGAGTTGGGATCTGTCAAATAAGCCATGGATAGTGGGCTCGATACAAGCCTTGCCTGGCTGTTGTGTCTGTGTCTTTTTCTTCAGGGTATATTTGTGATCTAGATTGAGTTTGTTTCTGCTCGCATGATAGATCACATTCACGAATTGACGGTTCAAATTCACCTGCCTGTTGCTAACTTGTAAACTGGTCTGAGCCCATATTACAGAAAACATGGTCAAGTAAAGCAAAGATTGTAGCCATGAAACTACGCACAAACCTGCTAAGTTGTACAGTTATAGCTATAGTTATAGATTGGATCAATACTTTTTCCGATTACCCCAAAGCAAGATCTACCCGAAATGAGGAACTTGCAGACTATATGCACCAATTCTCCACCTGATAAAAGTAATAGGCTGCATAGACGCTAATAATAAATTTTATAAGAGAGACAGTTATTCCCCTGTACATAAGTGTCAAAACGCCAAACGGGAACGGGGAAACCCCAACGAAACCCAACGATCACCGCCCTCCACAATATGAACCGACACCTCAACTCTCTAAGTCGCGACTCTACCTAGGCACCTGCCACGCGCAAACCCTCCAAAAAAACCAAAAAACCAAAAAAAGAGAAACCAGCAATGCCAGTATACATGCTCCACGGCTTCCGCTGGCCACGCGCAGGCTTCACCGGAATCCGCGTGTACATCGTCCTCCACAATCTGGAAGAAGCAGCCGCCGAATACATCCAACAACCCCTAACCACATCCCTAATCATGGACTCCTTCAACAAAACAAACCCAGACCTCCTACCCCGCCTACCAGAGCTGCAATTCATCGAGCAGTACGATCCAGCAGACGAGACGAGCGGGACGGTCAGTCAGGACTATGCATATGTCGGTGCGCGGGTACTGACTATTCCCGACGGCGGAGATGGAGCTACGGCGCAGGGCGGACAGAATATTGAGGATGTTGTTGAGCAGGGATCTGGCTTGACGGAGGATCAGACTGCTGCGCTGGAGACCTTGAGGGATCGGCTCGCGCCTGGTGAGAAGATTGGGTGGTATTTGGTTTATAATGGAGATCCTGAGAGGTGGTTTCCTGAGTCTGAGTCTGAGTCTGAGGATGAGGATTATGAGGAGGATGGGGATGGGAAAGGGAGTGTTGATGGGCGTGGAGAGAGTTCTACTGAGCCTCCTAGCCCGCAGAGCGTTACGGTATGTTCTTTGGACTTTGGATATTGCTTATGCTGTCTATGTCTGGACTTGCGTGTTGGTCGGGTGCTAACGTTGTCTATAGGCTCGGTTGACGAGGTTCTTCAATCGGATGAGCTCGGGGTAATGGATGCGCTGCAGGAACTTGGTGGAAGATTGCAACAGCATAATCTCATCATCCATCACCATATCTACCTCCCAAGGTTGTGCCTCGGGATTGGAGCTTTAACGAAGTCTACGCTTTATGTCTGATACTCTTGTCTTGTGAAATACTGTATTAGCCACTTGTTATATTTGATATCTTTGGACCACTCAATCCAAATAAACAACCCTCCTACCCAAAATCTAACAGAGACCCGACTCTTCACACTCTCTATAAGATTGAATCTGCCCGGGCGGTGAACAGTGGCAATATGGGGTTTCGAGGGGGAGCTTCGATAACGGGAGCAGCGGAGAAATCACCAAAGCTTGTCGCAACACTCCCCGAGTGGTTTCACGAATGCAGACCAGGTAACATCCTGGCTTTATCTCACAATGGTCCTCTCATTCATCCTGGTTCAAAATCGCCAGTGAGTGGCTGCCCCACGGATGTCATTTCCAATTGAATTGCTGACGATGGTATAGGGGGAAAACGCGCCTGGCGAAGTGGTACGCCCCATACAGTGTGAGTGATACCAGAACCCAACAAGAAAGAGAGGATTGTGCTAACATTCGCTACAGGATGAGGAGAAAGTAAAACTGAAAGGCGAGGTTCGTTCCGCATCACCCATCACCTGCACCGCAGTACCGCCGGCGTTCTAGCTAACCACCTACCACCGCCCAGGTTCATCGCCTTGTCGCCCCCCGAGATCAGAAATATCAGTCGAATTTTGTTGAGTTCCGGCGTAGTACGAAGGTCGTCTACCGCCGGTATGCTGGATTGTTCTTCTGTGTCTGTGTCGATGCCAATGACAATGAACTTGCCTATCTGGAGGCTATCCATTTCTTCGTCGAAGTGCTAGATCAATTCTTCGGGAATGTTTGCGAGCTGGATTTGGTGTTCAATTTCTACAAGGTGCGTGTGAAGATGCGAGGGTCGAAGTGAGTGTGCATGGAGCTGTGGTGCTGACTCCGATGATAGGTCTACGCTATCCTGGACGAAGTCTTTCTCGCCGGCGAGATCGAAGAAACAAGCAAACAGGTCGTGCTTACGCGACTGGAGCATCTTGATAAATTGGAGTAGTGGAAGTGGCCAGTGCCCGGCATCGATTGAAATCGGCCTCGATGCCTTATCAACACTACAGGCTGCGTCGGTTGACACAGCACAGTCATTTGCATGGAGTTTCAGGGGTATTGTGGCTTTCACTGGACAACGTTATTACTCATGTTCATGTTCATATTCATTTCAAGGGGGTCAATTCAGGGGATATCAAAGATCAAATATCAAACCGTTCATTCCACCACTTTGGCCCCAATGTCGAAATCACGGACCAATCTATAGTCGTGCCAAGCTTTTCCACTCGTATTCTCTCTCTCTCTGGCCCGGGATATGTACTGTGTTGGCCCCCGTCGCAGACGCAACACCAACTGCCGACAAACACTGCCGTTGCATGGCGGGGACAGGATTCCACGCACGATGGACCAAGGAGCTTTTAAGCTTAGATTAGATGCAATGTTAATCGCACAGCGGAGTTCGTGTCGTCTGAGGGTCTTCCTAATCGGTTAAGGTTGGGTGAGGTGATCGTTGTCATCGATTGCGAAGACGGTGGTGTGCTACTATGAAGTCTTGGCGCTGGGCATTTAAACTGTGCCTGCCCACTGCTGACCCTGAAGGGTCTACTTTATTTACTTCTTGGCCATTCTTTGTATTTCTCATGACTATTCTGGCTACTGTCAAGTGTGATCAACTTGATCTCCATATGGAAACTATACTCCAGCGTCAACCAATACATTGATACTTGATACATGTACATGTATCATGACTGATCTTGTTACTGACTGTTACTTCGGACCAGCACCATCCGCCATAGTCTAACCACAACACAGCCTACCAATATCAGCTCACTCCAAACCTTCAACTCTTCAGAACCTGTTCAGAGTAACGACCCTGGCATTGATCGTCCGACCCACGAGCACACATCCCCGAATGGAAAAATCTCTCACACGGGACGATCACCTCAGCTCACCGCACCATACATTACAATGTAACGCCGAACCAGCGAAAAACACCGGGCAAAGGACACTGGAAAAAGAGATCAAATCTCGTACACCGGCCAACGCCAACGCCAACGCCAACTTCCTTGTCCGCCAATACCCTTAAACCATGGTCCCGCCCTCAAGACGACACATTTGACACATACGTGCAAGTATTTTCCGAGATACGATGGTGCGCGGCCGATCCAGGAGGTGCGGGCTCCATCTTGACCGCTGCACTGGTCTCATTTATCTTTCAGTGTTGATCCGTTGTCTGTTGGGTGCGGCTTGGCGTTGTGGATACGGACCTGTAATTGTTACGGGCGAGTCTCGACCATGTCTCGACGCTACTTGCCGAGTACCAAGCCCAATGTCCAAGCCCCGAGCCCCTGAGCAATCTGGCTATGGTGGGGCCCGGCAGATGTCTGCTGTCTTACTTGTATACATGGACTGAGTACATGCATTTATTTATATGTACCTATGCGTATATTTATTTGGACACCGCGTGGACATTCTAGATGAATGTGATGCAACACATTGCACTGTTTCAATCTACAACATTTATGCAATCAAAGTGGCACAGTTCCACTGTGTACGCGTTGCCATTTAGCCTGCGCCAATGAGGGTTGGCTCATGCACGGATCGTCAAGGCAGTTCTGGCGTCTAACGGCAGAAATCATTCGTATACGTGGATCGAAGGCTTGGCAGGGCGGTATTCTTCATTACGCGCTGATACATCTCCACATTCCCCTGACAATCCTGGACGTCCCTGTGCGTCAGCCTGTGACGTCGCTGTTTACAATACGGCAACGTGCATTACGTGGGGAGGAACAGCCACCTTTGACAGAACATCGCATGCTTAATTTGGGTTTGGTTTTTTTTTTTTTTAATTACTTCAATGATTTCCCCCTTATCTATCTTTCTTAAAGACCCCCTTCCTTCTAGACTTTTCCAGTCTGTCCTTTCGTTATCTTTCTTGCTCTTGCTTTCTTCAATACTTCTATACTGCAATTGAGCTATACATCATGTCTCTCGCGCTATCCGATAACTTGCCTCCTCAGCCCATGACTGATATCTTTACCGATGACACAAACATTGATCGCCGGAAGTGCCACCGCACAGTGCCTATGAAGGTGCTCGCTCTGGGTGTTGGCCGAACCGGAACTGCCTGTGAGTATTGCGGATCCGGAATTGGATCTGTAGCCGGGTATACAAAAGCAGAAATTGAAACTGACTCGGATCGACAGCTCTGCGCAAAGCTTTCGAACGTCTGGGCTATGGCAAGTGCTACCACATGATGTGCGCCAGTGTTGAGAACCCACCGGATTGTCTCATGTGGCACGATGCCCTGAACGCAAAGTACAAGGGAGAGGGCGAGTTCGGCCGTAAGGAATGGGACCAGCTGCTGGGTGACTGCCAGGCCGTCTGTGACTGGCCCGCCTGTGCCTTTGCAAAGGAGCTCATTGAGGCATACCCTAACGCCAAGGTCATCCTGACCACCCGCGACGTCGACCCATGGCACGCATCCGTCATGAAGACCGTCTACTGGCGCGTCTCAGACCCAGAGCACAAGTTTGTCTCAAACTTCAGCTGGGCCGCTGGAATGTACTACCCAATGCTGAACAAGTTCTTTGAGACCTTCTTCCGCGGCGACTTCCCCGGAAAGGGCAAGCAAGTCTACGAAGACCACGTCGCCGAAGTGCGCAGCCTGGTTCCCCCCGAGCGTCTGCTCGAGTACAACATCAACGACGGCTGGGCCCCGCTTTGCGAGTTCCTCGAGGAGGAAATTCCTGATACGCCTTTCCCCCGCGGTAACGACATGGCCGATTTCTACAAGCGCTGCAGTACCCGTAACCGTCACCAGATGATGAACGCTGCGCTGCAGGCTGTTACTATTGGTGGTTCGTTGCTTGCTGCTGGGTTTGCTGCTACGGTTGCTTTCAAGCGGTTTTCTCGTTAATGCTTGGCATGGTCTGAGCATTTACTTGTCTTTTTCTATGTTCGCTGGCTGCTAGTGTGCGCGGGCGTCGCTGGTTGTCAGGTCCGTGGTTGTCTTTCGGGCAGACCACTATATCTATCAACGTCTCTAATACCCATATCTCGGGCATCCTATCCAAATCACTTGGAGGAAGATCACCGTGAGCCATTTCGGTAATATTTCAGTACATATTGTTTTATTTCGCATTTCTTTTGTTTCCTACTTTCACATCCCACCATCCATGTTCAGTGTTCAGGGGCTCCATTCCTCTCTCTTTGCTACACATTGTGGGACAAGCCACACAAATCTAGGGATGATTATTACATTGCAGACATGCAAGGGGCGAAGAGGGGACCCCTCACCGCTGAAATGGCTTGGATGTGTGGCAAGGATTGATTTCTCATTACCAAGGCAAGGCGCACCTGGAGTGATATTGGTAATTTAAAAGAAAAACATTAGTCGCCCAACACAAATAGCATTTATTGATTCATCTTACAAGTTTGTTCACAAGTTCATGCACATGTAGATCCTGGAATAGAAAGCATACACAGTCCAATAATCTAGTGAACAGACAAACCTACTGTACAGTACTGTAAGTAAGTAAATCGGAGTAAAGGAAAACCTTCACTATTCCCGACCCGCAACGGAACTCGATACGCAGACTCGTACTCGTACTGTATGTAGGATTGGCTCTTTCGATTGGAGGGAGATTCTAGATTTTCTTGGCTGGTTAGTATCTTGGCGGAGTGGTATTTTGTTTTATTACCATACAGTGCTCCATGATACAGATATAATGGTATTACTTAAATACAGACGGTACATTACGGAACATCATGGATATAGATTGAGGTCACATATACTAGTTGATATGACTCTACCCAATTGAAATATAATATTAAATATAGTAAAAACCCCATTCTGTAACATTTCGAGTTACATGTTATCAAGTTAGTTTTAAATCTAGACCTACTGTAAATTCCGATTCGCGCATAGTTAGTTCCCTGTGATCATCGGAGACGGCAGCTATCAGTCTGGGCTGGTGTTGTGCGTGCACGGTGTCCTTTTTCTCCGGTACATGTGCATGTGCATATCATAATAACTTGGAAGTTGCTTCCATCAGACCAACCAAGAAATGTATTGGGGTGGTTGATTGGCGATGTCCAATCGAGTGCACATGTGTTATCCCCGCGGCCATACCTGGTGTGGAGGTGTGGTTTTGGATCTTATCTTTTATCTTCACTTGAATCGTTGTATCATCGTGTATGGATGTGGACACGGACTGGATCTTGGTTGTACATGTACTCTAATGTAAATTAACTTACTTGCCTTGGAAGTTATCCTTGCTGAGTGTTGCTCAAAATCCGATATGCAACGTTAAACACTACCTAGATGTGTCTACGTAGTCTAGGTACGTCATGATACAAGTGCATCTACCGTAATCATTGATACCAATTCACATCAAAGAATCAAAGCTAATAGCCGACACCTCAACTAAGCACTAACACAAACTGCGTACACTCTGACGAAGCACACATGCACCTAAACAAAGCCAAAGCCACCAGATCTGTGGTATACGTAAGAGATGATGCTTCTTCTCAGCCACATGCACGTGGCCAGACTCTATCCGGCCCATTACACCTCCATCTAGGGTGCCACTAGCTGAAAAAGAAACTTCGTCATCCCCATTGAGCAATTACTACGGAATAAAACCTGGTGGGGGTACGTTCGTCGGGCCCGGGGTTTTGGGCTACCTTTGGGAACCGTTTAAGGTGTTTGAGGCTGTTTATGGATCCCTTTTTTACGGGGTTGATCGTACGTACACCTCGGACTTAGGGTGTTCGGGGCTGGGTTAGCGTGTTGGACTAGTTGGGCATGACGTGGCCTGCGATTCGGGAACTGGTTACCTGTATTTTGTATTTCAGTAATACGTGTATGTGGTCAAGGGGAATCAAGTTTTGAGGATGATAGGGAGTCGATCGACAGGTATCTAGGAAGGTGACCAGCTGACATTATATAACAACAGTTTACAGAGTATAACAGTCTAACTTACTATTTACGCCCCGCAAGTTAGTTGGACTGGGCATCTTGGCGTTGAATCGTGTTGGCTGGTTTGTCTGTGACTAAGCACCTTCCTTCGGCTTTAAACAGCTATCGGCCAATCAGGCCGGAGTTCTTACTGTCCACACCTGCAAGTGTTGACAGGTGGAGTGGGATTCGTACACTTTTTGGATTCGGCTTTCATGTTTTATGAACTCTCCCTTCTCCCTTGCATGAACATTCTTGTCACTTTTGGTCTTGCTTTTGCCTCTCATTTGTTGGGGGATGAGGACTCATGGTCGCGTCTATCATGTCCTCTCTGAGGACTACCCCCTCGCTGTTCCTGCTGCTTCTACTGTGGTTATGCGCTGACCGCGTGGTTGGGGAAGAAACCGCCTTTTATAAATCTGTGGGTTTGCAAAACCCCCTGACTGCCACGTTCGGGCCCTTTTCTAACTATCATACGCAGAGACCCGATATCTATCCTCCCGTATTCAAGGTGGAAAAGTCCGACCCGAATAAATTGAGCCCGGGCTATATCTTCATCACACCATATGAACTGTCAAACCCCGGCCCTTATATTTTCGACAACACAGGGGTAGGTCCTGAATTGCGGGGACGGGATGCAGATCACGGAGAAGCTGACTCAGGCGACATAGGAGTTGGTATGGAGTGGCTGGGGTACTTCAGGGCCCGGTAATGCGCACGGCATGCACGTGTGCAAATACAATGGCGCCGATCACCTGTGTTTTTTCCAGGGAAATCAACAGAAAGGATATTGCCGTGGTCATGGCATCATCATGAACAAGCAGTACCGGGTGGTGCGATCTGTGCAGCCCGGTGGAGGAATGGCTTCCAGTGACATGCACGAGTTCCGTCCGATCAACGGTGGCAAGACTGCGTTGATGACTATCTACCAACAACGCCAGTTCGATATGACTCCTTGGAACGTCAAGACCGGCGTTGGATGGTTGATGGAGAGTGTGTTCCAGGAAGTGGATGTCGAGACTAACAAGGTCTTGTTTGAGTGGCGCTCGCTTGATCATGTTGATCCTTCTATGAGTTATACCTGGCCTGCGCATACGGATACCTCTGGGACTGGACTGAATGTGCACGAGCCGTGGGATTACTTCCATATCAATTCTATCGACAAGAACGCCGATGGTGACTATCTGGTTTCGTCGCGGCATACATGTGCCATTTACAAGATTTCTGGAAAAGACGGTTCGGTTCTTTGGAGATTACATGGCGCGCAGCCGACGTTCAAGAATATCAACTTTAGCTTCTCGCAGCAGCATGATGCGCGGTGGTTATTCGAAAACGCAACACACTCCGTTGTCTCGCTTTATAACAATGGCTATAATGGCTTCAACAGGACTCATACTTATTCATCTGGTATGATTATTTTGATTGACCATGTGGAGAACACGGCGCTCCAGCTTCGTGATTATGCGCCTATTCAACATGACCTGGTTAGCTCAAGCCAGGGAAACCTACAGATGCTACCGAACAGAAATGTATTTATCGGATGGGGCAACAATCCATTTGTATCTGAGCACGACGAGGCAGGCAATCTGCTGTTCTGGGGTGCATTTGCCAAAGACACCGTCATGAACTACCGCGCCATGAAGTTTGAATGGGATGGTATGCCAACCGACTCACCAGCTCTATGGACCTATTCCCGCACCGCCGAGCCAATCTCCCCAACAAGCTTCTACGTCAGCTGGAACGGGGCGACCCTTGTCAAAACATGGCGATTCTACGGCGCCATGAACCTGACCGGGCCGTGGACCTTGCTGGACGATGTTGCCAAAACCGGCTTCGAGACCGAATACACAAACGCCAGCTTCTACCTCTGGTCCAAAGTCGAGGGCATAGACAGCGAAGGGAAAGTCCTCGGCAAGTCCGAAACAAAGTACACCTTCGTGCCCTCATCCGAATTGCGCGAATTCTGCGCAGACTCTACCTGCCTCGATGCCCCAGGCTACGGATTCCCAGGCGAAGAAGCTGCCCAGCCTTTCATCCCGCCGGTCGGCGTCAATACCGTCCCCTGGATCGACCCCGACAATCCAGGTTCCAATATCTGGACATACCCCACAAACTATCCACACACATCAGGCACAATGACCTACTCAAATGGGTGGAACATTGGCCGATTACTCGCCTGGGGCGGAGTCTGTCTCGTGGCGATCCCCTTCTTTACCGGTATCCACTTTGCATATCGCTATTATAGCAAGCATCAGCACGACCACCTGCAGGACCAGGAGTCCTCTGCGCCTCTCAATAGTATGGCAGAGGGGAAGGAACACCGAGTTCGGGCCACCCATCTTCCGTGGTGGAATTGGCGCAGGTGGACCAGGGAGGGTGAACCTTCAAACTATTTCCCGCTCCAGGAGGGGTGTTCGTATGGGAGAGAGAGGGCGGACTGATCCCGCTGTTTTACACTCTTTTCTTTCTTTTCATTATCGTTATCTCCATTTGCATCTATACCTGGGTCTCGGTTGGGTTTAGCTAAAACATGTACATACATATGTCCAAGACAATAAATGTCTCTCCATCTTTTTCGGCACGTTGTAGATCTAAGCATGTAAATCGTTCCACATGGAAGATATACTGATGGAGCCCACGCGGCGCCACGCAAAAAAAAAACCCATCCCGTCCACGGGCGTATCCCGTAACTTGAAATTGTAAATACCTAATACACATACCCGAAAATAACAAGTACATAAAGCCGACACTGACCCTTACGCAGTGTGTATACGTACCCCGGAGGCGGATGCAGATATTTCTATCTATTTTCGTATTAGTTACTTGATGGGGTAGGAATCTCTTTAGATCTATACGATTAATACACACATACACCAGTGAACATTGTAATCAATATTAATACAGAGTGTAAGTAGAGTACACGTATCATCTACATTATCCTTCCCGATTAATCTGTGTCGATCATACATCAAAACGGAAGCTGGGATTGTTTGATCCCCTGCCGCAAGATTTCATGTACTGTACTGTACGCTAGGCATATGCATAACTCGTCTCTTGGCGAGCCTTGTAGGGTAGTGTATATGTGAAGGAGTGCCTAGGCGCTAATGTATGAAAGTATACATATACAGTAACACGGGTATACTGTGTACGGTGGCTGTTGACGTGGATTTGGGGCTGAAACGCTAACTTCCTTAGCGCCGACTATTGCCGGATGCTCTAGAACGTTTGGGTATGTCTGTGTATGTTGTTTTGTATGTGTTTCAAATTCAAGCTTATTTGTTACGGAGTTACCCTGTTGCTTCGGATAGATTGTTATATTTGTTTGATACATATACGTGTCTGTAAATTAGGGGATCGAGTATGGCTACAGCAACTGGTGAAGCTGTCACAGAGTGCCAAGACTTCCGTCGTCAGAACGGGTGAGGACTGACGAGTCAGGGGGGAACGGTGGGCTCGGGTGTTGTGGAGCGTCGTCGCAAGCCGGTTTACTGTATTGTGGCAAGTGATTTATCGTAAATGTCTGTACAGTATAATGAAAGAGATTGATATATTATACTATTTAAAGTCAAAGAATAGAGAAAGAATATAGTATTTATGTTTATGTTTTATGTACTTCGTATAGGTATAGCGGGCATAAATGTGAACGATACAATGTGGGCCTTAACTGCGATGGACGTCATCCCCCTAAAGAGTAGAGTAAAATTACAGATCAGCCGGGAGTTAACTAGGCTAATGTCCCTTCTACTGTACTCCTCTCCTCCCTAAAAATACGAAACCGAAGGGGTCAAAGGTTTACTCCGGCTTACATACACATTCCTTCATGGCCAGGAACCATAAGACGAATGCCCGCCACGCGCGTACGACTTCCTGGTCGAGTGGCTTCCATCTGACCCAGGCCCCCGGCGAATCCTCCGAGAACCCGCAACGCCGCCGCCGCGAGTCCAACCTCTCCCTCGCCAGCGTTGAAGAAGGCACCTCCTCCCCCAACTCCGATTCCACCGATGATACAATGCTAAGGAACACCTCGATGGATATGGGTGGTGAACGCAAAAGCCAGCATGTACGCAGTCGCTCCATCAGCCAGGGTGCCGTGCTGGCTCTGCAGGAGTCGGAAATCCCTGCTGTTCCTGTCAAGCCCGCGCCTGTAACGTGGATGTCGCTGCCGCGGAAGGGTCAATTGGCGCTGCTGGGACTCTGTCGGGTCTTTGATTTCTTGCAGGTGGCCTCGTTGCAGGCGTACATGTTTTACCAGCTTAAGTCTTTCGATGAGAATCTCTCCGACTCCGATGTTGCGACTCAGGCGGGCATTCTTCAGGGTGCGTTTACCGCGGCCCAGTTTGCGACGGCTATTCCCTGGGGCCGTGTTGCCGATGCGGAGTGGGGTGGTCGGAAGTTTGTCTTGCTTGTTGGTCTGGTTGGGACTGCTGTGTCGTGTTTGGGTGTTGCCTATTCGACGTCGTTCGCGCAGGCTGTGTTCTGGCGCTCGTTTGGTGGTGCTATCAACGGTACTGTCGGTATCATTCGGACTATGATTGCGGAGAATGTCAAGGAGAAGAAATATCACTCGCGGGCTTTCTTGATCCTGCCTATTGGTTTCAATGTGGCCTCGTTATTTGGCCCTGGTGAGTTTTCTTGATCAATACGAGTTGCGAGGTGGTGCTAACTGGTGCAGTCATGGGTGGCATGTTGGCCGACCCCGTCAAAAGCTATCCCCGCCTCTTTGGTCCCAACTCGTCTTTCGGGGGTGAGAATGGAGTGCAATGGCTCGAGAAGTACCCCTACGCACTTCCTATGTTCGCCAACTTCTGTTTCCTCTCTTGCACTGCTGCCTTGGTGGCGTATGGACTGGAAGAGACCCTCTTATCCTGCAAGGGTAAGCCCGGTCTGGGCTCATTCGCCATGAAGCTCTTTGCGCGCAGTGTAAAGACGGTTGTTCCCTCTTCATCGACCTTGTACACAAGGCTGCCTTTCCGCGACTATGACGAGGACGGGCCTCTTTTAGGCCGTGGCTTGGAGCGTGCGGAAAGCTACGAGCTCGAAGAAAAGGCACACAAGCCTGTCCGCCTCCAACGTGTCTTGCCCTTCCGCCGAATCTGGACTAAGAATGTCTTGTGCACACTTGGAGCACAGGCTTTCTTCGACTTCCAAATGGGTGCCTTCAACAACCTCTGGCTCCTGTTCCTGTCTACTCCTCGCTACGATACCAATGACCCTGCCAGCCCCGCGCAGAGCCTGCCTTTCATGTTCACCGGTGGACTGGGTATGCTGCCGCAGAGTGTCGGCTTTGCGACCGCCATCCTGGGTGTGATTGGCATGTTCCTCCAGTTCACCATCTACCCCTCCATCAACGGCCGCTTGGGCACAGCCAAAAGCTACCAATACTTCCTATCTCTCTTCCCGGTTGCATACTTCATTGCGCCGTATATCTCTCTGGCTCCCTCCTCAATCCCCCCACCTGGCCAAGCCAACGGCCCCTGGGTTTGGTTCTGGATTATCATCGTCCTCTTCTTCCAGGTCAGCGCCCGAACATTCACCCTCCCAACCTCCATCATCCTTCTGAACAACTGCTCGCCACATCCATCGGTCCTCGGCACAATCCACGGCATCGGCCAGTCCGTGTCCTCCGCCTTCCGAACCATTGGACCTATTTTCTCAGGTGCCTGGTACGGTTATGGCCTGGATATTGGCATGGTCGGCTTTGCTTGGTGGTTGATTGCCTTGGTATCCATTTTTGGCTGTGTGGCTGCCATCTTCGTATACGAAGGCTCTGGGCATGAGATTCTTCTTCCAGGTGAGGAAGATGAAGTCGAGCATGCCCATTAGTGATGTGATACGATCTCAGCGTGTCTTTTGTTCTAGAGTTGGATTGTACATTGCTTCAACATTTTGCATATCATCGGTGTCGTTGGCTGGGTTTCTGTTATTTTTTTACTTTCTCGGTGTTCTACCGGTGCAGGTCACTCACATCTACTTCAAATCTTCAATGACCTCTATTTCTATACCTGCACCGGTGGACAATGATTTCTTTTGCATATTTAATTGCTTTGCTGCATTGCTTTGCTGCATTCTGTCATTTTCCCCTCTTTTGGATACCATTTTCTTGCGTTTCTTACTTTGTCTTGCTGTCACCACGGTGCCAGCTTTGCGTTTAACTGTGACATTGGAATAGAGAGCTGCCAGACAATCTGCCTGGTCAGTCCACCTGATCTAGATCTAATCAACCGTGAACGATATACCATATACCATATGCTATTTCCATATTCATGCATCATAAGTAGACTTGATTCATAGCAAACACTCTGCCATATTCTCAATCAAACCCAACCTCACAAACTAGCCCCATACCCCTTAATATAACTAGCATCAAAAGTCTCCTTATCAACCGCATACTCCCGAATATAATCCCTCTCCAGGTCATGCGTCCTGCGTCCCAGAAGAACAAGACTATGCAACGGCGCCCCCATCTCAACACCCGCCAACTCCTTCAGCGTACCCGAAACAAGCTGCTGATTAGCAGCCCCAACCCGCGCAGCCCCAACAGCAAGACTATCAGGCCCATAAACACCCTCCTTTCTCTCCTCCTCCGTCTCAAGCATCTGCGCTGCACACTGCGCAACAGTCATATAGCGTGGCGGCTCGAAGATCCGTCGTCCGCGAGCCATATTCTCAAGGGATTGCTCTTTCACTTTGATGTCTAGTAGCACGAGCGTGTGTAGGCCCATCTGCACGTTCTCGCGAACGCGGTCGTAGTATGAACTTGGTTTCCAGTTCTCTGTGAAGAATACCATGCTTACTGTTTGGCCGAAGTTGTACAGTTGGAGGCCTGTGCAGCCGATTCCGGACATGATTGAGGCGTTGGGGACGACTTTTGTTTCGATGTTTAGTTCGCGAGCGCGGAGAACGAGGTCTGTGTGCGTTGTTGCGCTGTGGGATTGGGTTAGTTGGGCGTTTGTATCTGGGGTATTGGGGATGTCTTACCCGAATGGATCGCCGACAACCAGGAAGACGATGTCTGCTTTGTCGGCTCCAGCGAGGATGTCGTCGCTGCCGGTTTCCACGAGTTCTCTGTCGGCCTCAATGACGGGACGGCCGTAGAAGGCTTCCTATTGGGTTCATACTGATCAGTAACTATGTTCAATGTAGTCATGTTTCGATATAGTGAAAATAGGGACTGGAACAAGGACTAACTCACTAGCTTGGACTTGTCAACAAGCAGGATACTCGTGTATGCCTCCAGATAGACTCGCTCGGCCCGCTTCACGATCTCCAGACCGCGGACAGTGATATCGGTCTCATCGGCGAGACCTAGACCAACGAGGTGCAACATGTTCGCTGTGTGATAGACAATTGAGCAATTTAATGAAGTAAAAGCTCAATTGAACAATTGAACAAGCTCTCAACAAGACAATGCCGTACAAATTGAACAATAGAGTCAATAAAATAAAAAAGTGAACAATGCCCCGCGACACCGGCAGAATCGCGTCACCGCCGGATAAAAATATCGCCGTTATCGGTGCTATCGCTATCGGACCAACTCCTCAATCAAGCTCCGCATCTTCTTCCTTGCATCCTCGCGAGTTGCAGCCGCGAGTCCCCTTCATTTCGGCTCATCGCCTTCAGAAATCAGCTCATACTCGCTTCGTTCGTCATTCATTTGATCTCAATTCCCATCGGAAGGGTTTCCGCCGTCCATCATGTCTGATCGAAACCCTAAGTATCGTCAGGAGATCCAGCAGGTGAGCGCTTTCCCTGGTTAGACTTGTTTCCTCTCGGTCTCTGGTTTCTTGGTAAGCTTTCTGGTTGTTGCGTTTTGAGTTCCTGGCGCCAGCGAGGTGCCCGGGACCACTCTTGACTTTGCGATTGCTCGGCGTGGCATTGCGGTCTATGCCTGTGCGCCGCTCATGTGCGCGTACCTTGGCCGACGTTGCGTACATCAGTCCGCCATGTCGGTTCTTCAATGCGCCTGTCTGGCCAGCTTCATATATCGACGTTGTCTTCGCGCTGGCAACATCCCGACTCCCTTTCGTCGCATCCTCTGCGTTCGGTCTTGCTCCGCTTCGATTTGCGGTATTGCACAAAGCCGTCAAAAGAGCACTGCTCCTTTGGCGGACATACCATGCCAATACTTCGATCCATCTCAGACATTGGATGTTCATTCGTGCATATCAAATTCGTCTTCATTGCAACGAGAAGCTTGGGAACCGAAGCATATTCGTTGCATTGTAGCAGCATTGCAATTGTCTCAATACGCAATGTCGCGTGTCGCTGTGCCCGAATATCACACCTTTTCTCAGGGCATACCGAAAAGCCGTTGCTCGACTAGGCTATGCTAGGAGCTTCATGCTGTGGATTCATTCACTGGGAATTGCTTGGAACCAGTCTGATCTTTTGAATGCCTTGCCTCGCCATTTGTGGGCATTTCAGTGCCTTTGAGAGGGTTCCACGCGCGGTTGCCCAGCTCAGATTCGATATAGCGCTCTGGAGGTGCGAGTACAACTTCTCTCGCTATGGCGACAAGGTCAAAGCTTCAACTCTTCCGGGACTGGTTCAGAGACATCTGTGAATGTCGAAGCTTGGTATCTGAATGGTTGCGGGGTATTGGGGGAAGATTGATAGGTTGAGGGTGGTAGCAAGGCTTCGTTTTATGCCTTTGGTTGCGCTGTTTCCTCGCCACCGGAAAGACTCGCCTTTCTCTTCTACCCTTCTTCTTTCTCCCGCCTCCCTGAACGCCCACTCCTCCACGCGTTCTCCTTCCCACTGTTCTACTATCCACCGTTCGGTATCTCTGTTTGATCTTCATCTACCATGTCTGATCGCAACCCTGTCCCCGGAGATCCCTCTGCGTCTGACGCGATGGGGGACCTGCGTCCTGCGCCCTTCGAAGTCTACGATCAGCCGATTCTTATTGTCTTTGAAGACCCCGCCGACCTGTCCTCGGACTCTGACTCGGATGAATCCTTGACTCCTCGCGCCAATTCCCCGTCCAGCTTCGCAGCCTTTTATGACACCAACCTTGCTGCCGCTTTTGAATCGGGATACTCCGTCGGCAAGGGTTACCAGCGCGCCTATTTTGGCCTGTATGATCTCCGTATGCGGCGTATTATGCCCACTTCTGAGGTTACTGGGGGACAGATCCAACTTCCTCCTGGCACTCAGGATTCGGATGGCCACGATGACGTCGAGTCTGTGACTGAAGGTGCGAGCTCTGTTTCTTCTCACACTGTCGGCAACAGCCCTAACGTTATGTCTGAAGCCAGAGAATCCGAGGCTTCTTGCACAGTCGGAGACAACGCCGGTTTCGTGTCTGAGAGTGAAGGATCTGACTCCTCTCGCACCGTTACTGGCAGCCCTACTATGTCTGGACTTTAAAGTCCGAGGCTTCTGTACAGTCGGAAACAACCCTGGTGTCATGTCTGAAAGTGAAGGATCTGAGCCCTCTTGCACAGTCAGAACAACCCCGGTGTCGTGTCTGAAAGTGAAGGATCTGAGAGTCCTCTTACACCGTTGCTGACAGCCCTACTATGCCTGGAGTTTAAAGTCCGAGGCTTCCTGGCCCGTTGGCGACAGCCCCTATGTCGTGCATGAATTTGAGATTTTTGAGTCCACCTGCAGTGTTGGTAACAACTTAATACTATGACCGAAGTTGCCAGCTCTGTTTTTTCTATCCCCGCCGATAACAGCCCTAATGCCATGCCTAAACCTGAAGAGTCTGAGACTTCTTGCACTGTCGGCAACAGTCCCGTGTCTACTACTGACATCGGAAAACAACTCTAGCAACACCAACAATCAGGAGGTTACCAACAGAAACCAGAAGATAACCAGGGGAAAGGAATTTGAAAATTTACGGAAAATGCTAACTGACTTTGTACAGATGATGTTTGTCTCTGGAGAGACTGCTGAACCGTCCACTGAAACCACTACTTTGATTGAAGACATCACTCGCCAGCAGGTCCTTGAAATTGTCAGTACTAAGAATCTCACCTTTAACGCGCTGTCACTAACAATTATATAGCTTTCTCGCAGCACCGCTTTGGCAACTCGCCGCGGAGTGCGCTCCATTTCTACTGATGACCTTATCTTCTTGATCCGCCACGACAAGGCCAAGGTCTCTCGCCTCCGAACTTTCCTTTCCTGGAAAGATGTCCGCAAGAACGTCAAGGACTCTGACGACAAGGGTGGTGGTGACGCCGCCGATTTCGCCGCCGCCGACGATGCGGCTGGGGTTGTTGCTGGCCCTCAGGACGTGGCCTCCAAGCCCAAGAACAAGAAAGCACGTGTCGGACTTGCCTGGGACGTCAACAGCTTCTACTCGGTCCAGATCCCCGAGCGCGAAGACGAGGAAGACGAAGAAGAGGAAGAGCAGAACTACGCCACCCTCCAGCGTCTGGCCGCCGCCGACGAGCGCACGCGCCACATGACTAAGGAAGAGTACGTCTTCTGGTCCGAATGTCGCCAGGCATCCTTCACCTACCGCAAGAGCAAGCGGTTCCGCGAGTGGGCTGGATTCGGAGTGGTGACCGAGTCCAAGCCTAACGACGACATAGTCGACATCCTCGGCTTCCTCACCTTCGAGATTGTCCAGACCCTGACCGAGCAGGCTCTGCGCGTGAAGGAGCGCGAGGACAACGAGAAGAACCGCCGCGGGGGCGCCGACGCCGGCGAAAACTTGAAGAAGCGTAAGCGCGAGACCGGCCTGTTCGACCCCCCCGAGGAGGGACGCACCCCCATTGAGCCCCGCCATGTGCGGGAGGCCTACCGTAAGCTGCAGGCTACGCCTCGGTCGCAGACTGCCATGCTGTTGCACAACGGCAGACTCCCTGCCCGTATGCCTCTCGTCCTCATCTGAGGGGAAGACAACCATACTTGGGCGTCATTAGGCGCTTTTCATGATTTATGCGCTCGGTAGCGGGAGTTTCGCGGTCAGCTAAGGAGATACCCAGGGTTTGCTTTCTTAGTATTTGTTTTTATTTGTGGCAGTTCGGGAGGGTGAGCTCCTTTATTTGCCTTGGTCACGGCTTTCAGTTACTGTCTAGATCCTCGTTAGACCTGATAGGTCCGACCTTCAGTCTTGATCTCAAAAATTCTCCCTTCGTGAATAATGTAGTGTAAGTCCTAAGTAAGCATTAACTTATCTTGTAGGGTGCCTGGTAAGTAAGAGATATATGAACAAGGCTTAGATAAGAGAGCTTCACTATGTATAACAGAGAAGATTGTATTTCTAAAGAGAAGGCCACATAGCATCAGGGCTGTTGCCGACAGTGCAGGAAGCCTTATGACTCTTCAACTCTGCCTAGGCATCGGGGTTGTTTCCGACGGCGTCGGTGGACACAGGGCTGTTTTCCACAATGTAGAAAGACCCAGAGGTAGCACCTTCAGTCACAGATTCATCGCCATCGTGCTCAAGATCCGAATCCTGGAGTTCAGTGCCAGGAGGCATTTCCATCTGACCTCCAATAATCTCAGCGTTAGGCAAAACGCGCCGCATACGCAGATCATACACGCCAAAGTAAGCGCGCTGGTAGGCGTATCAGTGCAGGAAGCCTCAGACATTTCAACTTCATCGATGACATCGGGGCTGTTACCCATTGCGCAAGAAGCCTCGGACTCTTCAACTTCAGGCTTGACGTAGAGTGAGGTCTGCTTCCGAAGGGCGATGGAGAGCCATGGGGTGGTCTTATATGGTTGGAGGGTCATGGGGAGGATGGGGGTCGCTGGGGGGAGGTTTCGCCCTACTTTAGCCTCTCTTTTTTCGCCTCTTTTTTGCTCATTTTCGAGTGCCTCGGGTTAATCATCTGACTCATATAAAGGTGAGGATGTAGAAGGACTTATGACCCCTGTTGTATGTCCCCGCAATGAACTATACAATCCTTACAAACGGAGCTACATCTTAAGAAGCAGTAAGAAAAATATGATGACCATGCAAATGCGATGACAGCTGAAGTAAGCAACTATGCCGTAGATTGATAGTAGATATCTCATTAAGTCATGCAACATAACTCAAGCCAAGTTCCTCCGGCACATGGAAGGCAAAAAGGTCTTAGTTCTGATGCGTACGGCGCCCTATAATCATCGAAGTTAGCAAAACAACGTCCAAAACAATCCAGCAAAGAGTAAAGGAAAAAACATACACTCAGCCAACTCCTCTCCAGTCAACTCCCGAATCCCATTAATGTGAGGCACATTACCCTGCACAGCACCCTTAACAGTATTATACGCACGACCAATAATCCCCTTCTGGGCAACAACATGTGTAGCCAGCTTCGCTTCCAGCTTGATAACGCCAATGCGTGGGTCGGACGGCCCGCCGTCGTGGACGCCATCGCCCATGTCGCCAATCCACGCCTTCAGCATGGGCGAGTAATACTTCTCCACGATGGCCGGGTCGCCGATTACGGATGCTGTTCCTGAGATTGAGGCCCAGGCGCCGCTGACCGGATCTAGGAAGGACATGTTTGTTTCCTTGGGGTGGACGGTTAGGTCCATTGTTTTGCCTGAGAAGAGGTTTGTGTGGAAGATTAGGTCAATGCCGCCGTTTTCCTATTGGAATTTGGTTAGTATGACTTTTGTAGTTTGGAGGGCTGGAGGAGCTTGGGATGGTTGCTCTCGGCTTGGCTCTGGTCGTACCTTTGCGGCGAGGGCCATGCATCGTGAGGTTAAGTAGTCGCCTTCTGATTGATGGGTTGTCAACATGCCGAATTTCACTTCGGAGATGAAGTTCACCAGATCTTCAATCTTCTGGGGGAGAGGAGGGTCTTCGAAGTTCTGGGTCTTGTATGGGTCCACGGAGTGGTTGCCCGTGGAGGTGTTGATGGAGGCATCGGCAGACATATTTGTTCAATGTTCAATTATAGGGGAGATATTGAAGAGTTCAAGCAGAGAATTGGAGGAGATTGCATGTATATATAGGTAGAAAGCTCTGCTGTTTTCTTGGAAGTATACACAGCTTCGTCAATGTGACGTCAGTGATAAGATCCGGATTAGGGCCTCAACCTCACGTCTACTTCGACATCATTCACAATTCCGATCATGAACATGAATTGACAAGTAAAATATATGTTACGCTCTTGTCTTTTCTTTACCTCACGCTAAGCAACCTCACTTACAATGAGATATGTACGTCCAATCGCAATGCCTCATCAAAAGTGGCAATCTAGTTTCAAGCCAATAAGGAAACAGGCCAGCTACTTTCTATTGCTCCTTGAAACAATTCTTACATGGCGCTCACAATCACAATGGCGAATAGAACCCCTCCCAGTTCTACTCTCAGCTACCCTAGAGAACATCCTAGGGGTGCCTAAGGTATAACTTTGGAAGTCTTTAGCTATCCACGTCATCCGTGTATATATGTCAACATGGATACCCCGACTATAATCCTGACTATGAATATTAATTTCTTTCAAGAACCAGTGGACAACAATTGAAAGAGAGTAACATGTACTATGCTTGCGCCTAGAAGCACTTCAGTTTAAGGTTGTTACACCATGTGGGTCTGGAGTGCAAGCGTCGATCCTTAAGTCTGAGCTGGGGGGCCCTAACTATATTACAGTCGGGTCTTAGGTCTCAGTGGGCTGCAATTCTAACTAGTGAAGCAGAACCGCATTTGGAATGACATAGAAACCAAAGGCTGTAAGCTGGTTATATTTATTTGACAAATTGAAATCTATGTAGTCTGTGTATTGGGTCAGATATTTCCTGCCGATGCATTGATGATTTTGATACATGGTCACAAAAAATCCACAACGCCTCCGTATGCCTCATGTAGGGCTATTTCTTAAGATATGCGTATGAACACTTATTCTTTCTTGCTCGCCGACGGCTTCTCACCCGGAGCCGCCTTGCCACCCGAAGCCGCCATGCTTTGGGCCTTCTTGTGCTTGTCTCGCTTCTCCTTCATGTAGGTCCAGCTCTTACCGATTCCTGCAGTCAGGGGCGCTTTAATGGTCTGCACAGTACTGGGCCAGCGGATAGTTTTCTCAATGGACTTGGAGACTTCCTCCTGGAGGGAGTCATCTCCGGCAATCCGCTGTTCGAAAGGACCTCCCTGGGGCCGGCGAATAATATCTTGAGCGTCATTGTTCTCTTTCATCATTTTGTCGAAGTCGACCCGCGGGATCTGGAAGCGGGACTGGTACTGGAAGTACAGCTTCTGCCGGAATGATTCAGGCAAGCGGCGAACCATGTTGCCACGCTTCACTGGATCCATATCCTGCGCCATGGCGAGGATGGCATTCGGGTCATCAATCCAATCTTCGCTACTGCAGCGGGGATCCTGGAAGGTGACGTTGGGCAGATTCTCAATGAGGGGCGCGTAAAGACGGCGGAAGTGTGCCATCTGTCCAGAGACAATGTTGCGCACCTTGCCGGGGTCTTCAGCCGGGAGTGCCATGCGCAAGTCTCCCATGTAGCTCATACCGGCAATTGTGCTGTAAAGCTCAAACTCGCTGAATCTCTCGGGGAGCAAGAGAAGTGCAACTCGCAGAGCAGACAGCAAGTTCATCTGGTTTGCCAATCGCACCTTCGGGTGGTCCCGTAAGATCTTCACGGGCTTGTGTAGCCGACCAGCAAGATACAGGGTATCCCACTGGGTGAGGTCCCGACATAACGTATCCAAGTTAACCACTCCGTACTTGATCATTGTGCCGTTTACTGTAATATAGGGATGGAAGTAGACGCCAGCACCGAACTTGTCTTGCACCTGAGATACCACATATGACCCAAGAGAGCCCATTCCAGAATAATGATCCCGATGCTGGTGCAAGTTCAGGTCATGCCAATGTTGGGAGTATGAAACTCCGAAAATAAAGTCAATCATTTTTCCAGAGCCCTGTTGCATATTTGAGATGGCTGTGGGTGCCGAAGGATGTAATGAGCTAGCCGGGGTTGCACTTCCACTCTGCGGGAAAACACCTGACCCATAGGCAAATGCATATCGAATTGGCGCTTTGAATTGCCAAAGGATCTGTCGCAATGCTTCCTTGAACTCCTGGTTTATAATCATATGCTGGTTAACTCCGAAATCCTTGGAGGGAAGTTCCGAGAAGTTGGAGATTGCCAAGTTCGGGTTATGGTCCCAGTCTGAATCGGGCAGCGAAGAAAATGAAGAGGTCGAGAATGAGGCGGTTGAGCGGCCGGCGGTGGCCTTGCATAACAGATGCGACGTCGATGAGCTGTGATTCGCCGACAGTCGGCTATGATACAGAGAGGTCGGGCGACAATTGATCGACAGGCAGTGGGCCGACGCAGGAACGAAAGAAAGAGACGAAAGGAGGGTGCGAGAGCGCCAGAAAGAGCTGGGACTGGCTCTCCGAGAAGCAATCATCTAGCCGACAAGTTAGTGAGATCCCTCGGGCCGGGCGAGATCGGACGTACTGTTACTCCCGGCATGGTTCTGAGTGGAAGATGAAAGGGAATGGGGCGCAGAGCGCAGAAATTGAATCAGATCAGAACATTGATGTTCCAGAAAGAGAGAGAGAGAGAGGGAGAGGCAAAGGGATTGAAGTTATCCGTCAACATTCCCGGTTCTGACGTACCCCGTCCTGCCTTCCACTTCGGGTGCTGAGTAAGATGTCATGTGATTACGCGCGCCCATAACAACGGAGTAAACAGACGCGGAGGATCAACAACAGCGACACTTTCGACAAAACCACGCCTACCTCCCCCACGAAGGCGTCCTTGCATATCACATATTGGGGCTAATTGTCTCAAATTGCTTGATACCTCGCCATGGGCTCGGAAATGGACACTTTCGCCGCTCGCCTAGCCAGCTTCGATCTAGTGCTGAAGCCTGAGAAACGCAGATCTTCCGGCGCAAAAACACCAAAAGCGATTACATGGCCGCACCAGCGACCTTCGCCAGCTGAGGTGCGCAGTCTTGGAGCACTATGTGTATCAGTACTAAGATGATCGACTGACGGAATTCTAGTTGGCGCACGCCGGATTCTTCTACAAGCCATACGAGACAAATCCCGACAACACAACATGTTTCGAATGCCACAGGGCGCTGGATGGCTGGGAGGAGGAAGACAACCCCATCACCGAACATCTCAAGCATGCGCCCGACTGTGGATGGGCTATTATGATGGACATTCAACAAAACAGCTCCAACCCCTCTTCTATCGAAGACCCCACAAACGAGCGCATCACACAAGCACGAGCGTCAACATTCGGGTCAGCCTGGCCCCATGATGGGAAGCGAGGATGGGTATGCCAATCAGAGAAGGTAATGCGCCAAGTCAAACTGTTGTTTCTTAGCTCACAATGGCACAGATGGTTGAGGGTGGATGGTATTTCTGCCCGACGGAAGAGAGCAATGATTTGGCCAGCTGCGCTTATTGCAAGCTGTCTCTGGACGGATGGGAACCCAAGGATGATCCTTTGTAAGTGTCCATCGCTCTTTCCGGGTGAATCTTGCTAACTTGTCCAGCGAGGAACATTACCGCCGCTCTTCGGATTGTTCATTCTTCGTATTTGCCCAGCCCCCAGGAAAGAAGGGCAAAGGTCGTGCTAAGAAACCTCGTGTTTCTAAGGCATCTTCTCGACTTTCAACTCAATCAGCTGGCACAGTTGCCTCCGAAACGCCCGAGGTGGACATGGACGACTCAATGGACCAGAGTATGATGTCTCAATCCACCACGAAATCGAAACCTACAAAGAAGGCATCCAAGGGAAAGGGCAAAGGAGCTAAAAGCAGGAAAGAAGAACCAGCGGAGGTCGAAAGCCACATAGAGACCGAAAGTGCGGAGGTTGCCGAACCAGAGCCTGTCAAGGCCAAACGCACAGGCCGGGGAAAGAAGAGGGCCAGTGAGGATATCACTAAGGAAGAACCTGTTCCAATTGTCTCGGAGGAACCAGAGCAGGCACAGCCGCCTGTAGAACCTCCTGCCAAGAGAAGGGCAACAAGAACGCGAAGCAGCAGCATTTCTCGTAACTACAACTACGAACGCAGTGACTCAGCGATGCCAGATGCAGATACTGTGGATGACGGCGCTTCAGAAGAAGAAACCAGGAGGGGCCGCAAGCCCACAAAGAAGGCATCTTCCAAGGCCCGCAAGGTCTCCGATATCTCCGTTACATCAAAAGCCCCGTCAAAGGCTCGTGCTCCTCGTGATTCGGAGATTGAAGCAGAAATCGAAGCAGGCCTCGATGCTGACATCCCCGAACTTCTCGAGGCTCAGCCTGAACCCGAGCCAGAGCATGAGGTAGGACCAGAGCCCGGGCAGCCACGTGCCTCAAAAAAGGCCAAAGCAACCAAAAAGCCCAAGGCCGTGGCCAGATCCCCAGAACCTGTCCTGCAGGAGCAGATACACGATGCTGTTGACGAGGATCATATGGAACCTCAGAGCGAGCCAGTCCCCGAGGAGGTACCTGAGCCGCCAGCTCCCAAGACCAAGGCAGCTAAAGGACCCAAAAAGAAGGGGACAAAGAAGGCAAAGGCCGAAGAGACAAAAGCAGAGTCACCAGAACTCCAAGGATCTTTGGAGCCTATGGTAGCTGATGACAGAAATGACCCGGAGCGCCATGAATCTTTTATCTCTGTGGAAATTATCAACAAGGAGCACGAACCTTCTCCCGAGCCTGAAGAACCTGTTGCTAAACCGAAGAAGAAAGGCTCCAAGAAGAAAGACGCATCAACGGCTAAGGAGAAGAAATCCAAGAAACTTGAGAAGAAGGCGGAGCCAACTCCGCCCCCCAAATCACCGATCTTGGAACAACATGATGTCGAGCTATCAGTTGACGAACAAGATGATGGATTTGAGACAGCGGATGATTTGCCTGATCAGCTTGAGGTAGTCCAACCCCCTCAGGAGTCTTCTCCACAGCAGCAACGATGGCATCGAACAACACCCAACTTGCCACCAAAAACCGCGAAAAGATATAGTGATATCCCCAAGGAAGAGCATCTCGCAGAAAGCATCGCCCATTCTTCCCCTCATGATACACTGCGCAACTCTCGACAATCTAACCGGGCAGTCTCTCCACTTCCATCGGCTCACCGGAGCACGCCCTCGATGTCTCCACAGTCATCAGATGCTGAGAACAGGCCTCCATCATCACGACCTTCGGCATCTCGTGGACATGATCAATCAACACCCAAGGAGCCCAAATTCCGAGCCGCTCTCACAGCCAGTACCCCATCGCCATCTAAGCGTAATGCCAATGCTGGATTTGGGCCTTCAGGTCATCCGTGGACCCCAATCGACATCGATGAAGCCCTCTTCGGAGACAACAGCGACAAGGAGAATGCCGACCTGGCTAGCCTTTTCAAGGGTGTCAAGGGCGGACTGACCAGCCCGGAGAAGAAGATGACGGTCCAAGAATGGATCGCATGGAATGCAAAGAACGGTGAAGAACGCCTGAAAAGAGAATGCGAACGACTTGTCGGTCAATTTGAGAAGGAAGGTGGCCGAGCAATGCAACGGATAGAAGCGATTGAGTGCGTCGACTAACTTATGAGTGATGCCATATTATTTTGGATGAAATGAACTTGCATGTTAGGCGTTCTGGGGAATCATTGTTAGATCTTTCGGTCTCAATTTGGATTTTTGCCAAGTGCAATTTTATTGCACATCGAAGAACATGCTAGTAAACAGAAAAGAAACATGCCAAAACACCATGGGTATCAAATGTAGAACGCACCCCAAGCACATAGAACATCTCTCAAGAAATAATGCCCAACCGTCCCTCCCAGCTATCATCCTCTTGCTTAACCTTCCGCCGCTTCTCATTCCGCTTGCGCCTCTTCTCCTCCCTCTCCTTCGCATCCTGCTCCTCCCGCTCCTTCAACCGAGCCCCAAGATCAAGCTGCCAAGCCTTACGCTCCTCTTCATCCCGAACTCTCTTCCGATGCGCCAACGCCCGCAACCGCATCCGCACCTCTTCAACTGTAGCCCGCTTAACCTCCCCACTTTGTCCCGTCGCAATCAAATGCTGCTTGCTATTCAAATGCTCGACAAGCTGCAGATTATCCTTGAAGGTAAGATCGCAGTCCTTGCAGTAGAATCCAGCGCCGGCTCCGCGCTTGCCCATTGACGCGCCGGCTGGGACAATTGTCGTCTTGCCCACCATCGAGGCCACGTCCAGTCGCTGGTTTCGCGCTGTTGTCGCTTCAAGCGTGCTGAGATCGACCGGAGCATGGTATTTCTTGCCTAGGAGCTTGGCTTCGTATCGTGCTTTGCCTTCGGCTTTGCGCTTGGCTTCTTCGTCCGCTGCTTTTTTCGTGTATTCTTCTCGGTCCCATGTTTTGCGGAAGGCTGTGTCGGACACCGGGGTGCCGTAGGCGTTTGGGCCAGACATAGCTGTGGTTTTTTTTGTGGATTGATTGGGGTTTGAGTGAGTTTGAAGGTGGAGGTTTGCTGAGTGGCGATCTCAAAGTTGGAGTCGAAGCTTCGGGCAGGTAGTGGTGATTACATAAGCTTCTGATCGGTCATTCCAATGTCATCAAACAGAGCTTCTGTCTCTATTTAGCTTTTCATTGATTCAATAGTGTGGCTATGAAACAATTCTTCCTCTTGATACGATAAGTGTTTATTTTTCACTCGTGCCTGAAACTCAGGCGTTGCCTAGGCCACATAGTAAGCAGGATCCACACAGTGAACACGGCATAAGCATGGCAATAGGCAACTACATCAACTTCATCAAGTCAAATTTCCCAATTCTGGCCAGTGTTAATTATCATTTCAAGAACCCAGCGTGGAACCTGCAGAGTTAGGCACCAGCTTATCCCAAACTCAGACCCAGCTCTATAAACAAGGCACATCCTCAAGTAACATATCAACCAACACTTTCAACGCAAATCAACAACCATGGCAAAATCAGACTCTCCAGTGCAGATAGCACCCCTCAGACCCGACAGATTAAATCTGATGGCCCTCCCATCAGAACTCCACATCCAAATAAGCACATACCTCTCCTACCCAGACGCCCTAGCCCTAAAACACAGCAGCCGCCATTTCTACTCAATAGTCTATACAGGCGTGCATCTCAAAGTGGATTGGCTGCTCGAACGGTTTGAGCGCAAACTCGAATGCCCCATGGAGAAATGCTCGTTTCGTACCGATGAGTCCTTTTGCAATCGGCGTGTTCGTCGTATTATGGAGCGCCGCCGTTGGCACCTTGAGTGTCGCCGGGCTAGGGGTGGTTGTGTTGTTATTTATGGGGGTACTTGTCAGACCGATTTGTTGCCCGCTTGGATTAAGATGCAGGGGAAGAGGAGGACTGTGAGAATGGTTGGAGTTTGGGGGCAGGAAGGTTTGTTTGTTTTCTTCTTTATGTGGTTTCTTATTGCGTCTGGATGGCTGATTTGATGATATTTCATAGCTATTATCGTTGGGGCTATGGCTTTTCTGTTGAACTTGTTGTGGCAGTTCTATCGGGGGTAATAATGTATCTGTTGATTGGTTATCGTATACTATAATGGGACTTTTCGAGGAGTCTGTGGCCTGTTTGTTGATCAACAGGCTCCTCTTTCGAAATGTATATACTTCTACACGATTGTCTTTTAGATATAACTAACACCCTGTAGGTCCACGTCAATCCTCTATTTATGGCACATTTCAGTAGACTTAGGCCAATGACTAGAGCCAAGCCCATGGGCTAGATGATGAAGCCAAATTCATAGACGCTGTTCCCGATTAAGAAGAGCTGTGGATAAGTCGTCACGTGTTTCCGGCACTGATTTGACTGCCCGAGTGCCTGCTCACTTCCAGGATATACATCTTGGCAACATCTGTCTCAGTCTCTCCCAGCTTATCAAGTGACATTCCATGACTACTCAACCGAGCGTTTCGGTGCCTGGTCTTCCGGGGTATCAAGTGGCACCCCGACGCCAGAAGCGGGTCCAGGTGGCTAGGGCATGCGATGAATGCCGACTCCGACGCAGGAAATGCGATAACAAAGTTCCTTGTTCAAACTGTACGGCAAAGGCACGAATATGCAGTAACAGTGGAGCGCCCAAAGCATCAACGCTTACTCAAGCCTCCGAGGAGATTGAGTGGCTCAAGCAGAGAGTCCAGCAGCTAGAAGCAGAGCTCGAACAGCGGTCCAACGAGGGCAATAATCTTCCCACGCCAACAGGGTCTTCATCATCGCCACCTCAGGTCTTTTCATCTGCAAGGAACTTTGAAATTGCCGACTCGGGCGATTTGAAAAAATACTGGGGCGGCATACAGCTTCGCCCTGCGAGATCATCCAATGATACATGGCTTGGCCCGTCATCACTGCATTCTTTCATCCAGCGTCTCAGCGCGTTTCTGAGTCTCAACCTTCGACAGACACATTCTGCAAATAAATTATTTCCCATCTCAGCGAGCGACAACAAATTGCTGGACAGACCAGCAGGTCCCGACATAGACCCAGTCCGTCGGCTGGTCTCAACGGGGAAACTCTCCACTGCTGGTGTCTATCTAAACCCGATACAAGAGGAATATTTTATCAACTTTTTCTGGCAAACATATCACACCTCATTATTCCCCATATTGGATGAAACCCAGTTCAAGAAGCATTACCAGTCTCTATGGGTGTCTGGTGGCAAAGAACGAAAGCCATCAGCCCTCGTCGATGTCATCATTGCCATGTGCATGCAATATGGCATTTCAGCCCTACCCTCAGACACCCAGGGACTCCTCGTAGAAGGTAAAGATGCCTTGGTCGCCGGCCGATGGCACTTTTGGCGTGGGCAGACACTGCTCACATACGAGCTTGAAAGTCCCTCGCTATCAACACTGCAATGCCATCTACTCTGTTCAGTCTATCTGTGCGGTGGGTCTTTCCACAATATGCTGGACAATTCCATCGGTCAAGCTGTGCGCACCGCTTACGCTCTGGGCCTTCATTTGGACCCCTCGCCGAGCATGCCTGAGCAAGACCGCGAGATGCGGAGACGCTTATGGTGGGCGGTCTATCTTATGGATAGTAAAGCCGGAATGAAGCTCGGTCGCCCCTTCATGCTGCGTGATTCTCATGTTATGCCGTACCTACCAAGCGACAGCTTCGAGGCTGCAAGGATGTCGGGGTCCGCTTTTGCACCCATTGGCGACAATTCTACTTGGCTGAGTTTCAACCTCCACCAGACTGAGCTATATATCAAAGCACGAGCTGCCTACACGAGCTTCTATGACCAGGAACTTCACTTGCAGGATGGTCAGGCGATATGGGATGATTCTCATGCCCTCCAAGCCAGCGCAGAAGTTTTGTTCCCGCATATTCAGATCCTCCAAGAATGGACCGACAGCCTACCAGAGGCTCTAAAGTTGAAGCGTCAAAACAATGGCAATCCTCTTTCCACGGATGGCACACGCCTGTTAATTGAGCAGTTTGCTCCACTCTGGCTCCAACGGCAGCGTGTTCTCCTCGAACACTCATATCACCACCTCAGCATCAACCTATACCGACCGCTGATCTCCTTCTCTTCCAAGCCGTCTCCAGGATCTCGAGCGGAGGAGATCGCTATGCGCTGTGCTTCCCATGCTATCATGCTATCGAAGATTACGCAACAGGTCCTTGCAGATACTTCCATCCTCGATGGGTGGCATGAGGCTTTCCACTGCCAATGGAATGCAGCTATGACACTCATTGGCTTTCTCATGGTGTATCCGGATGCAACATTGACCATCGAAGCCAGAAACGCGATCGACCTAGCAGTCGCTGTATTTGATAACTTCGGTGCCAAGTTTGCTGTTGCGGCGAATGCAGCCAAGATTATGCGAGATCTATGCACCAAGGTTGATTTTCTGGCAAAGCATAACCAGTCCCAGCGTGATTCATTGAATGGCCTCCAAACTATCTCTATGGATGGTTCTATCCCGCAAGATCTTTCTTTTGTCTCTTCCCCAAGTTCAACACTAAGAGATTGGAGCTCATACGCGAATGAGCCAACTGCACCAGATTTGAGCTTGTTCGACATGGCTGTTGATGTTGATTTCTGGAATAATCTTGATGCGCTATGGCCGGGAGCTGACAATTTGTCTCAATACCAATCGGAGATCTGAGGATCTGAATTTTCGTTCGGAAACATAATGACCAAGCCTACAATGACAAATCATGACTATGAAAGTTCCAAGGTTGAAGCCAAAGATGGTTCAGCGGAGTTGCGGAGTCTCAAACTTGATAACTACGTAGCTCTGGGGACGGATTGCGGAGCTCTAGCAAAATTTGATTGTTTTCACACACTAACTGGTTCTCCACTAATGATCAGGCCTTGAAACAGCCACCTATCAAGGATTCACGGATTCACGGAGTCGCGGAGTGGTGGTGGTGGTGGAGTTGCGGAGTCGCGGAGTTCATCCAACGCACGGACCGGGCCAGAGTATCCAAGTCCCAGATGCTGCAGGTCGTCTGGATATAAATACCACATGAACTGCCACTTCCAGAACCATCATCACAAGCATCCATCCAAACCAGCAATTCCAGTCTAATCCCAACTCCAAAAACCAATCAAAATGTCTCCCGCTCGCAAAGCCCTCATCGCCATCACCTCGGCCAAAGCCACCCTAAACAAAGAAACAACCGGCCTCTTCATCAGCGAAGCCCTACACCCCTATAATGTCCTCGTCGCCGCAGGCTTCGAAGTCGATCTGGCCTCCGAAACAGGATCCTACACCGCAGACTGGCTCTCCCAAACCCCAGACTTCCTAAACGGCGACGACCTCACAATCTGGAACGACGTCAACAGCGACTTCCGCAAGAAGCTGGACAACATGCCCAAAGCCGCTGACCTGGACGCTTCCCAGTATGGAGTGTTCTACGCCTCGGCTGGCCACGCCGCTCTGATCGATTACCCGACTGCGACTTCCCTGCAGAAGATCGCCGAGCAGGTCTGGGCTAGTGGTGGTGTTGTTGCTTCTGTTTGTCATGGTCCTGCTATCTTTGCCAATATTGTTGATCGCGAGACTGGTAGCCCTGTTATTCAGGGTCGGAGACTTACTGGTTTTACTACTGAGGCTGAGAATGCTATGGGCATCATTGCTGATTTGCGGAGTTGGAATGTTGAACTTTGTGAGGAGCTTGCTGCTCGTCTTGGTGCTAAGTGTGAGTGTTCCCTGTACATTGGAAGACTTTTGGAAAATTTTTACTAACTTTTACCCTAGATGAGCGCTCTGCTGGTATCTGGGATGACTTCCATGTGGTTGATGGTCGTCTCGTTACTGGCCAGAACCCTGCTAGTGCAACCTCTACTGCTAAGGCTGTTGTCGATGTCTTTGAGAAGCTTTAGACAAGCGATTTATATATTTTAGACCTTTATCGAGATGTTATTTATGCTATAAATGTTGTTGAACACTACTTAACATGCTTGCTATCTCACTTTAGATCCAGGTCTAGAGCAGAATACTGCCGGATGTCTTTTAGAGTAAATTCTGACAGAAACGACTAATTGAATCGGAAAGACGTATATGTAGTGGACTGTATTCAATTCTGTGATGGGTACCCTGGTGTATAGATGCGGCATTGACTCATAAGAGTTCCCGCTTCAACTCCGATAAATTCCCCGCCACCCCACCGCTTCCTACATTCTTCACTGTACATTCTTCACACAATGGCTTCAACGTCACCTTTTAACCTGGCCACTTGTGCCCGCCCTAATATCCTCCAATTGCAGCCATACCGATGCGCACGAGAGTATGTCGACCCGATATAGGTCCGAACCAAGCTAATGAGTCAGTGACTACAAAGATGATGGGACGAACGTGCTCCTCGACGCCAACGAGAATGCCTTTGGCCCTGGTCTTGCGCTGAACAGCGAGGGCGCATTGCAGGCCTCCCAGACCGGCAATGCGACAGGAGCCTCCAAGCCCGAGATCGACTTCCTGGGTTTGAACCGCTACCCCGATCCGTGAGTGCACCTCCGTTGCAAACGAATACAGTATACCGATCTAACTATGCCCAGTCACCAAATTGAACTCAAGCAGCTGTTCTGCAACCTCCGAAACACCCACCACCACACCCCCAAGACCCTACTCCCCGAGCACATGTTCTGCGGCGTCGGATCCGACGAGGCCATCGACGCCCTACTACGATGCTTCTGCGTCCCAGGCAAAGACAAAATCCTCACCTGTCCCCCAACCTACGGCATGTACAGCGTGAGCGCGCAAGTCAACGACGTCGAGATCGTCAAAGTCCCCCTCGACGCCTCGAACGGCTTCCACCTCCAACCAGAGAAAATCAACGCAGCCCTCACAGCCGACCCATCCATCAAATTAGCCTACATCTGCTCCCCAGGAAACCCAACGGCAAATCTCATCCGCAAAGAAGACATCCGCCAAGTCCTCGAGCACCCAACGTGGAACGGCGTCGTCGTCGTCGACGAAGCCTACATCGACTTCGCGCCCGAAGGCTCCAGCCTCGCAGAATGGGTCACCGAATGGCCCAACCTAGTTGTAATGCAAACCCTCAGCAAAGCCTTCGGACTGGCAGGTATCCGCCTGGGCGTCGCCTACACCAGCCCAGAGATTGCCCGCCTCCTCAACAGCCTCAAAGCCCCCTACAACATCTCCAGCCCAACCAGCGCGCTCGCCTCGGCCGCCCTGACAGGCCCCAACATGGCCGTTATGCGCCACTACCGCGAGCAGATCATTGCCCAGCGCGACCGGCTCGTGCGCGAGTTACCCACTATCCCTGGTGTGGGCCAGTTCCTTGGCGGGTATGACGCCAACTTCTTGCTTGTGCAAATTCTGGATGGCGAGGGCCGACCGTGTAACGTGACTGCGTTGGCGGCGTATGAAGCTATGGCGGAGAAGCGTGGCGTCGTTGTGCGGTTCCGCGGTAAGGAGCTTGGGTGTGAGGGCTGTTTGCGCATTACGGTTGGTACCGAGGCTGAGGTCTCGAAGTTCCTGCAGGAGTTGCGGGTTGTGCTTGGGGGGCTGCGTTAGACGTGTTGCGTGATGTAGATAAGGTCCCATGGTTTGTTGGGGGCTAAAATACCGCCACTAGATATAGAGATATAGGAAGATATTCGCCTATCATATACTTCGTACTTGTATAAAAAATCTGTTTTTTGTTCTAAATCGAGTCACAGGCTTATCTAGGCAATAGCCCACGTGTATTCCATCCCTAAGTGCCTACCCCTATCCTAATCCCTAACTACTTAGGGAACTAGGTCACTAAGTAACTTGAGTAATCTGTCAAGTGTCAATCTATTATACTTTATAGCCAAGGCCGATCTTTTCCGCTCCCAAAAGGTTAACTCCGCCGGAATCCGTGTAACGGTGAGCTCCTTTAGCTCCTGGCGCCTTGACCGATGAGAGGTTATTTCTTTGTTTCTTTGTTGGCGCATCATTCCATTGTCCAAGACTGAGACTCAAATGTGACAGGATTACGCGCTTGGCTAACAAGGATCTGACAGGTAATTAAAGAAGTAAAATGAGCAAGATTAGCGAGGTTAATATCACTGGTTCTTGGCTGGTTTCTTGGGCTTATCTTTGCACTTTGGTGGCTATTTACTCGTCTCGGCTTCCCCTCTTTGGCCATCTGGGCATTGCTCTCTCTCTGATCTGACTGACCTGAGACCTCCTAACTCTCGCACATATCAATATCCACATCTCCTGCGATCGCCATAGCTTCACTTTGCCCTATCCACTCCCCACTCGGCACGTGCAGACCATGTAAACCTCACCACCACTCGATACTCGAGGATCGCGTGTCTCTGAGTTCCTTGCTGTGACCTCGGTCAGGATGGCTGACTCCATGTTGGCGCGTGGCATCTACCCAGACTACCCGCCCGCCATGCAGACCAGAGACCAGATCAATCCGACTCTGATGATGAGCTGGTGGGCGACGGGTTTTTCGCTGGCTATTATTGTCGTCCGTCTGTGTGGCCGGTACATTCGTATCGAGCGCTTCTTTCCGGAAGATAAGATGGTTATGATCAGTGTTGTTCCATTGGTGATCCGCATGGTGCTGGTGCATTTTGTGCTGGTGCTTGGGACCAATAACACAACTACTGGGGAGTTGACGGGGCAGGAGATTAGGAATCGAGAGCTTGGGAGTAAGCTTGTGCTTGCTGCGCGCATTTTCTATGCCATTTTGTGAGATGCAATGCCTTGATCTTTGTACAGTGATGTTTGTGTGAGAGACACCAACTAACTATATCCCAGCATCTGGACTGCAAAACTCACCGTCTGCGAGTTCCTCAAACGAGTAACCGGCCTCGTCTGGCGCCGCTCAGTGGCCCTCTTCCTCCGATTCATCACCTTCTTCCTCATCTCGACCCTGGTAGCAGTGGTAATCGCAACCCTAGCCGAATGCCAGCCCTTCAACCATTACTGGCAGGTCATCCCAGACCCAGGCCCAACATGCCGAACAGGCTACGTGAACCTAATAACAATGGGCACCTGCGACGTGATAACCGACCTCCTCCTAATCGCCTTCCCCGTCCCAATCATCATGCTAGCCCAAATGCCCCTAAAACGCAAATTAGCCCTAGTCATCCTCTTCTGCCTCTCCCTCCTGCTAGTAGCAATAACCTGCTACCGCGTCCCGTCAGTCATACAACACAGCGGCTCACAGCAATACCGCTCCCTCCTCGCCAGCCTGGAAATCCTAGCCGCAACAGCCGTCTCTAACGCCCTCGTCATCGGCTCCTTCGTCCGTGACCGCGGCGTCAAGAAGTTGAAATACAAACGCGATCAAGGCTCCGCCTCGGTCTCAGAGAGCATGGATAAATCCTTCGTTAGAAGGAACACCGTCATGCAGAACCAATGGGGCAGCGACTCGGATCTAGCTACTGGTTTATGCATCCGCCTCGATCCAGATATGTGTATTTCCCCAACGACCACCGCTGATGGAACACCTCTCCCCCGTCCTGCTCCTCCTGTCGCCTTATCACCACATATGCCCCTCTCAGTCGCGCGCACCGGGTCTATTGATCCATCCTGGTCTTTCGCGACGAGTCGGCGTTCGGATGATGATCGTGCATCCGCGACGGATAGTCTCGATATCAAAATCAGTCCGCGCGAATATCTACGTACGAATACTTCGCCTCGGGAGTCGGCGGCTGTTGCTCCGCGGAGGGTTTCGTTTTCCGATGTCGGTGGGCTTTTGACTAGGGCTTTGCCGGATGATCCTCATACTCGGCCGCCGGTTTCAAGGTCGAATACAACGTCGACTTTGAATACTGTTGCTCCTGCTCCTGCTCCTGCTCCTGCTCCTGCTGAGGCTTCACAGTGGAGAAGTGGGAGTCGCGCTTTTTTGGAGGATTTGGGGATTGTTGCCCCTCATTCTTCTTCGAGGTTGTATGGACATGCTAGGCCTGGGATTGGTAGATCTCATACGCTGCCTCAGCCTCAGCCTCAGCCTCAGCCTCAACCTCAGTCTCGGCCTCAGTCTCGGCCTCAGTCTCATGTTTACCGCTCCTCTTCTGATATCACGCTTGATGGAGATGTCGAGTTACAGGACGTTGGTGGATTGCTTTCCAAGCAACACCAGAGAAAGAGCCAGGACCAGGACCGGGACCGGGACCAAGACAACTCTTGATATTATGCGATCTACGAAACGACATAACGCCATCTCTTTTTGATTTTATTTTTGATTTTGTTTGTGGAGGAGTCCTGGTACATACCCATACCCATGCCCATATTTGGCTTTCTCTGTTTCTATTACATTTGGTTTTCTATTGGTTTCTTTTGGCTTTCTTTACGTGATCTCTGCTGTATTCCCCCTGCTGCGTTTCCTAGCGTGGCGTTGGATATTTGGTGTTACCCTGTACTTTCCCTTCCCCTGCAATACTGTACCCTGGACTCGAGATGTCTGTTTCCGGTTCTTGAGGTCCGGAATTGTTAATAGTGTACCACCTACATTACATGCATTCAAGATTTGAGATGAGATGAGATGAGACGAGATGACCATACATACCATACTATGAATGAAATGAACATTTGACATATATTCCTTCATTCTTTTGATCACATGATGCTATATAACCCTGACATATTGAATACTGAACATAAGGATCTAGATCTACATCTAATAAACACTCCTTTCATAATAGATCAAATTCATCTAGACAGACAAAAAGGGTAACCATTAACTATGTGAAACAGGTAACCCCTACCAACCGCAACCACCCAAAGCTAGAGAAACGTTGCGCGCCTGTACGCCATGCTGCCCATAATACAAGGAGGGGTGGTGGACCGATCTTTTTTTCTGAGTATCGAGTATCGAGTATGTTTGTGTAGGCTGGGGCGTGAATTGGACCAAAAAAAAGAAAAGAAAAAAAGAAAAAGATAACAACTCCCTGGTGTCCACTTCTCTTGGTACTGTATCTCAATCCAGTGCTGCTCTTTTCTCTCGCAGTGGTATGCCCCGGAGAATAGCGAGTAGCAAGCATGGAGGGGTCTCAGATCGGTGGAAGTGGACCGGATGCGATATGTAGGAGGTAGCTCTAGAGGAACCCGAGCTCGGAAGTAAAACCGGGTTCCTCATCGCGTGAAACCCCCAGGAGAAAAGAGGAAGGGGAAAGGAAAAAAGATAATTAAAAAGAAGGGCCTGACATCGTTTCATATTGACCGGTGCAGCTGTGTATCATTTTTCCAATCCCATTTTACAGCCATTCCATTCTCATTTTTAATAATGAAAAAAGAAAGGCTTAGATGACCCAGCGGTAACTGGCATACCGACCGGCAGTCTCACTCTTGCGAATAATCTTAACAACCTGACCACGGCGCAGACCAAGGTAGCGCGCGACAGGGTCGGACACCTGTATACGGGGCAACTGCGACTCCTTCAGACGGTAGCGCTCGAGCAGACGGGCCTTCTCCTCCGGGCTGAGGAGGACGTGCTTGGGGACCAGCTCGTGGCGGGTGATGTTGACCAGCAGATCCTGCTCTTGGAAGTGCTCGCAGATGCGGCCGGGGACTCCGCTCAGCAGGCGCACGGCTGAAGGCGAGATCGGTGTCTGCGTGATGAAGATACCCGTGTGGAAGTTGTTCTCGTCGACGAGGTGGTTGAAGGCGCGGACTTGCTTGGTTCCGACGCCTGAGGCGTCCGGGCAGAAATCAACGTAGATTGTGCCGCAGTCGGGTTGGGGGTTGGGGTTTGCTTTGCTTGGAAGTGGTGTGTACTTCATCTTCATGGTTTCCGTGGGACGGGCTTGGATTTTCATCTTGGTGCGGCTGTTACAGAGAGGTTTGTTAGCTTTCGTTTTTCAATTGGGTGCTTTGTCGTGTGTCCAGGTGTGTAGGTGTGAGGGTAGGCGCAGGGTTTTCGCATACTCAGGATAGCCCAGAGGGTCAGAATATTTTGAGCGGAATTCGTTGAGATCGAGGGCCAGCTCATCCTCAGATACTTCGTAGCCCTGCGATGGTTAGCATTGTCAAGGCATGGGAATCTGGCTGTGCCTACCCGGTCTGCGAGCAATTCATAGACTGTTTTAAAGGTGCGCCAGAGCCGGGTCATCTCCTGCTCGGCCTCGCCGGAGTGTGTTTCGCCATCCATGACTGCGGTGTTCAAAGAAAGAGGTGAAAAACGGGTAGAGCTCCGAGGTGAGAAAGTGAAGTCGAAAAATCGGCGGGAACTTTCTGCCAACGACCGAAGCGGAGAAACCGACCGAACCAAATTAATTCCCCTTTTCTACTCCCCTTTTGGTGATTGAACACTTTCCTTCTTTTCTTCTTTCTTTTACTTTCATTCTCGTTTTATTTCGACAATGTCTGCTACTGAGGAGCCCCGGGTTAAGCCCACCAAGCCCGATGAGGCTGCCTACAAGGCCAGCCTGGCCGAGGCTGAGAAGGAGCACACTGCTGCTCAAGAGAAGTTGGTATGACTTGTTTCTTTTCGTTTCTTTGGACTCCTATTCTCGCTTTGGATTGGAATTGAGAGCATTGCGATGATCTCGACCCACACCGTTATGCCGTTATGTCCGTTGGTTGTATCC